GCGGGAGCTGGAGGGTACTTCTGGCGAATCTCCCATGTGTCGTCTGACAACTGAACTGCATGCAAAGTTCCTGTATTATTGTTCCTAGTCACTGCAAGTGCCGGTGCTACTGGGATGGGGGTGGGGGATGGGGGATGGGGGGTGACAAAGCACAGCCAATGTCAGCCAAATGCTATAATTACCCTTTTACAGACATATATAAGTATGTACTTAAGAAGTAGTAAGGGATATAGAACCAAGGGATGCAACGGCAACGAGGCGAGACTTCTAAGCGAAACTAAGTAGTTCTTCGAATCGGGTGATTTGTTTCGCTGTCTCTCGTTTCGACGGTACGCTGGTAGGTCTTAAGGATTCTTTTCTTAATTTTGACCAGGTATCTCTTTTAAAATACCAGGGCTACCGTCTGATCACATCATATGAGGTTTTCTGGGCCATGGGATTTCTTCGGCGCATTAATGGTCATATGATGATCATGAAGCGAGCAATGCTACCACTCATCCTACAGGTTCGAATGGGACGAAGTTCTACGAGATATTGGGGAGCCTTTCCTCGGGTATGTCAGTGCGACGTCCGCAGCCGGCGGAATTCCAAGTAAAAAATTTCCTTCATATGTTTCTTGCATATTTAAACGAGCGCGGCTTGCGGAATATGCATGCCAGACTGGCGATGTGGGGAACTTCATTTTATAATTACTGCCTACATATCTCATTAGCCCGAATCAAGGCTATTAATTGCCATCGTTTTCTTGGCTTGGGGGGAAGCTCTTTTTTTTTTTTCAGCCGTCAGCTGGGAAAACAAGCTTAGAGTTTGAGCTTGAGCTTTGGAGTTTGTGGAGCTGCGATCCAACTGGCTGGGGGAGCGAGGAAAGTGCCCGCTGGTGTAGCATCTTGAAGGCCTGAGCTTTCGACAGTTTCTCGTAGCTCAACCCCATCGATGTGCCACGACCCTGCGGCACCGACGATACTTTCCGGATACAATGTACGGGGATTGGATATAATACAAAAAAAAAAAAGCTTTTAAGAAAGTGGGTCTTCTAGACAGGTGGACACAATAAATGGGATGGGATATTCCAGTCAGAAGGAAACTCTTGGTATGTGAATATACTGTTTTGTAATGCATGTGCATAAACGTGCTTAAACGCCCAGAGCTTCTGAAGCTGCTCGAACCTCTGAGGAGCCAGTCGGTGCTTTTAAATTTCTGTTGACTGTAATGCCGTATGCATGTGCTCATCAACAAAAAAATTTTCTTGTAGAGCAAACTGCCAGTTTTCCCGATGTATAGCTATGAAAAGGGAAGGGATAACCTGTCGACTCTCGAGGGTGGAAGGAGATGGCACACGATATGCTACTATCCGGTCGCTGAGTAAGTCGCCCGGATTTTACCTTCTGATCGACAAGTTGCATATATTTCAATTGAGACGTCGACTAAGAATTAATCTGGGAAATTCGCTCGCTCGGGTCGTAACGAAACGAAACGACCCGAGAGTACAGCGCGGGAAAGGAATTTAGCGTCATGACAGCTGGATCCCGTTGTTCTGCACCTTTATCCATTCACGAGCTCGATGACCAATGTTATGAGGGGTGTAAGCCTCAACTAAGACATATTGGCTGCGACCATGTTTCCCCACTTGATACCGAGGGTTGGGAGGCAAATTATTTTTCCAGCGGGCGCAGGCTCGCATTCTATCGATATCGCGTCGGCATCGCTTGCTCATGTGTATGAAAGAAACGTGAACAGTCTTGCAAATTTGTCTGGAAAACTGGTGTGCAGTACTCTTGGCGGACGGCTGGTAATCTGTCGAGTTGATCGATGGCATGTCAAAATGTTCATTTCACTGCGAAGTTTAAAGCATCTTTCTAAATCTCTGGCTGGTGGATTTTTCATCAACCCATCTCCACAGCTATGTAGTAACTAGCAGCCACGTCTGCAATAGCAATGCCATTGTTCGTATTAATATGCGCTCAAACCTATAACCTTGTCTCCGCCCCCGCCCCGCCTCCACTTTGGAGTAGCGGGAGGAAGGATTTGTAGACATGCCGACACCGCGCGTCTTCATGTGCAAACCTGCAAACCTTTTCCCTTTTTACCGTGCTTTGCCAGACAGTTGCAGCGGGAGCTGCGCTGGAACTGAGGGAAGGGTCCCTCCGAATGAAAGTTCAGGTGCCCAGTTAGAACTGTGGGTGCTTTGACTCTTCCGCCCTTCATCCTCGCTCGCTACTCGCTTGGCTTGGACGTGCAGGAAGGACAAGCCAAAAGAAGGAAAAAGAGGCCAAACGGGTGGGGTCCCGAAAATCACCTGCTGTCCAGTCGGTGTTAAATATGGATACTTACTTCGTCGGCTTGCGAGCTGGCTAAACTCGGGTGGTGTGCGCGGTGCTCTCGCGCTCATGAGCTCGCGACCACAAACGTGCGTGCGTGTGCGATGTGCGATGTGCTCTTCGTTGATTGCTGGGACTTCCTCCCGTACCTACGTGTAAGTAGTACTTACATACTTACACCCAAAGTAAGGGGACGAACGGATCGAATGGAAACGGACGCCCTTCGAGTAAATTGATCGAAGAAGGGAATAGCATGTATGATATATATATTTCAGACGGGACGAGAGCGGATAGTATTGGATAATATGGGTAATGACGCTTTTTGTATCAATTATAAGACGGTTACGTGTTCTTCGAACAGGCTTCGAGGCAAGGGCATGATGAGACGGGATAGCATGACCGTTGTTTCGTTTTTTCCGATGCAGCTCCCTGGAGTATGCAGCATCGAACGTTCAAGGAAAATCGTAGGACCGAAGGATGAAGGGAGTCCTTGCTTCCGTTTTATTATTATAATTTTTTTTTTTTTGCTTTCTACCATATTTACCCTGGCGAGATAGGTTAAAATGGCAGGTAGCTACGTGAACCAGCACCTGCGCAAGGCGAGGAGGTTAGATAGATGCATAGACGTCGATGCATAAAGAAGGCAGGAAGGCGAAATCTCAACGTATCAGGGAAAAAAAAGTTTAAGCTGACAGGTACAGCATACAACGTACCGAAGCGAGAGGAGGCTAAAGTCATCTGCCTTCGCGTCAGCCCATCTTTAGATGATAATGCCTGACAGCTATGACAATCGTAATCCGAAACAGACAGAATGGCGGAATTCCGTTTAGTAAAACATTTTTTAATGCAACGGGCTGTCGGGGAATGGCGCTTGACCTGGAAAACGGATGCGAAAAACTTAGCCGGTTCGGCATCTCCAGTTTGCGGATGCCTCAGATAAAAATTTTAAAGAAGCATCTGGCCTATCGGAGATTGCTTTGGGACATGTTTGAATGGTCTGACCACTCCGGTATTACCACGACGACTGATACTCATGAATCTTCCCGATGGAATCGGGTTCGTCAGATATCGGGGGCCAGTGGATTACCGAACTGAAAGGTTTTTTCTTCCGTGCAGGGCAGTCTCTGGTCAAAAATTTCTCGTGTTCCTTGAATTTTAGATTACCTAGTCTCGAAGCCTATCGCTGACTAGAGTATATCGAGCATTGAACCGTAAAGAAGCAGGGCAAAGTGGCACGACTAGGTGTCGGGTTGACTTGCAACTGCCCGTGATATCTTCGTCCTTGTTCTGCCTTCTCTGCCGCCTTTTTGGGGAATCCCAGCAAGAGAATCATCCATTAGTTTGCATGCTTGGGGAGTTTGCCATCAATGGAGGGTGGACTGGACTCGAGTGAGCGGGCCAGACCCACTCGGCATTGGCTCCACCCCGGTGCAATTCTTTCTGCTGTCTCTGTGTGGGCTGATGTCGGTCGATCTTTCCTTTTGCTCGCCCAGTCCGTGACATGACAGAGCTAAGGAAGTTTATGGGTAAGTAAGTACTGCGCACCATGCAAGTACAGTACTTCGCTAACTAGTAGTTGAAGCTAGCTCATCAGCCAGCTACTCTAGTTGCGCCTTGCCGTTATGTCTCTCAAGACCCTTTTCCCCCCATCATCTTCTGATGCCACCGCAGTACCCGTCAGATTGAGTGAGGGTCATGGCCATTTAAGGACTTGCTTGATCGAGATGCATTCAGCAAGCAGGTAGACGAAGGCAGCCAGACCAGAAAGCATTGAATCGAATCAATTCGTGACCGGCTTATTGTCAGAGGCTGCTCGTCGTGCATTGCATTGAAAGGCACGGTTAAAGCTTGCTCACAAGCAGCGAATTGCAGCCTGCGAAGCTCATGCACAGGGCCGCGGTTCCCTGGTAACCTCGACCCGACTTCCTGCCTAGCCCTGGTGGTCCTGGTAGTTCGTTACAAACATGGTGTTTTGGTCATTAGCGGGTGTTTGTTTGTTCGAGGAGGGTATATATCTCTCAGTCGAGACAGCCGGGGGTGTCAAGATGTACTAGTTAGGTTCTGGATGTGTGCATGTACAGTACAGGACAGGACAGCTGTGGAGCTACCTTACTTGACTTATCCTTTCGCGCTAGTCAAAGACACTGGCTGCACTGGCTCGCATTACATCCCCAAATTATTATATCGACTGGAGAATATATATACTTCTACCTCCCGCCCTCCCTTGACTTATTCTACCATCTTGTCTTTTTTCCCCTGGTGTTTTATTTTTCGGTTTATATTTTTCTTCGTGGAGTCACCATCGCGCCTGATAGAAAAGTACTTCCTTAACCTGGTATCCAACATCAACCTTAACCTTAACCTCAACATTAACATCAATATCAACATCAACATCAATTTCAATTTCAATTTCAACTTCAACTTCATCAAAACCACATCTTGCAGTCGTTTACTCGTTCTTGCTTGAGACATTCGCCTATCCTTCCTGAAGAAGCTCTCTATAAATCATCTATACAATATAGATCTCGTTTCGGATTTACATCTTGTGGGCAGTTGCTATCACCATACATTACCATTCGCAAACCAACAAACCAAAGACCCAAAGAATAATTTACATACCACCGTATACTATCAGACATATACATATATTCAGTCTCTCTAGAAGAAAAAAAGATATTCAAAATGGTCTCAGAACACTTCCCAGACCCACAGCTCCCTTCGGAGGAGTCCACATCTTCCTTCTGGCTAAAGCAACCGGATGAGTTCTTGCTGGGTCACCGAACCACGGTCGAACTCCCCACCGAAGCTGATATCATTATCATTGGAAGTGGTATTGCTGGTGCTCAAACAGCGAGATATCTATCTGAGCAAGATGGTGGAGCATGGGTAAAGGGACGGAAGATTGTCATGCTGGAAGCTAGGGAAGCCTGCTGGGGCGCCACCGGACGAGTAAGCGATGACCCATTCTCATCCTCACGGATAGTAATGCCACGGTACTAACATATGCATATCTTACCTTAGAATGGTAAATATATAGCCATAAGCTGACGATATCACTTCGTATCTATTTTATTCACTAACTTTTGCACTTCTAGGTGGCCACTGCAAACCTTCGCTTTATGCTTACCCTCGTCTCCAGCATCTCTTTGACGATCTTGGCATCTCTGAAACCCTCACAGCCATCAACTTTGAACTACGCAACCTCTCTCTCCTAACTAGCTACATCCAAGAAAACGGTGTGGACTGCGATTTCCACCGTCTTCCATCTTGCGATGCATACTTTGACCAAGAGTCTTTCTCCCTTGCGGTCCACTCAATCCAAACCCTCCGCCAGCACGCCCCGGAGCTAGCAGACAAACTCACAATTGTCACGGACAAACCAACCCTCGCTTCTCTTCGTATTCCGTCAGCCGTCGGCGCCATCACCATTAAAGATGCAGCTAAACTTTGGCCTTATAAGCTAGTAGCCCATATCCTTAAAGACCTTATCAAATCTCAGTACTTGAACCTTCAAACGTCCACTCCAGTCCTTGCAATTTCCACATTAAACGATGGAGCTCCGGTTCCACTACATCGCGTGCACACTCCACGCGGGGCACTCACCGCTCCAGTTGTCATCCACGCTACCAACGCATTTGCATCACACCTAGTCCCCGCCATGCGTGATGCCATCTACCCAGTCCGAGCGCAAATGTCGGCTCTCACTCCACCAAAATCACTGATCTCCAATCCATTAAAACATACTTACGGCCTTGTCGACGGTGAACGTAGCAAAGCCGAATACCTCGTTCAAGAGGATGTTCACGCTAACGGCACTGGTGGCGCATTTCTACTCGGTGGCGGCAGGAAATACGCTAAGAACCAAGGAGTTGGTATTACTGATGACAACCACATTGACACTGATGTCGGTGACTACCTAAGAAGCAGTGTCGGAAAATATTTCGACGATGAATGCGGTTACCCAGTTGCCGACAAGGATACAATGTGCGACGCACAATACATGTGGAGTGGAATCATGGGATTCTCAGCTGATGAAAGACCGTGGGTTGGAAAGGTTCCTGGAACCGAGGGACAGTATATTCTCGCTGGGTTCGAGGGACACGGTATGGCTTACACCACCGGTAGCGCCAAGGCGCTTGCAGAGATCCTACGACATAGGTATCCTGTTCTACCGGACGAGGTTTACTCTAAGTACTGGAACAGGAATATCTGCATGGCTTTGTATGACTATGAAGCCCAAGATACTGCTGAAATGGAGAATGTTTTGGTCAGAGGACGTGAAGTTTCAATTAGGGCCGGTGATGTCGTGGAGATCATCGAGAAGGGACACAATGGATGGTGGTTCGGCTGTATCATTAAGTCCTCTGACCAAAGCAATGTTAACACTTTCGGTTGGTTCCCAAGCAACTTTGTCGAAGAATTACCATACGGTCATGCACGTGGTGGATTTGAGCCATCCATGTATGCATCTCTACAAGAGTACCCTAAGGATATCTTCCAATGGTTCCCTAGGTCCTTCACAGTCACCGAGGAGAGGCTGAAGAACGCCCGAGGGATCTTGGAATCAGGAGATTTGGAGACTGTAAGAAGACGAGCCAGAGGGCCAGCGATTTATAGTGGAAATGAGGAGAAAGAGGAAAAGCTATACAAGGAGATGTTGTATGAGAGGTATAAACTCCAATTTGCGGTTAAACTCGCAGAATGCGGGAAGGATGAAGACGTAAGTTTTTCTGTTCTGTTTCATATCTAAGATAGTACACTAACTCGATTTGTAGAACATCTTCCCAACACTAGAATCATCTGCCCTTACAAATATCGAACAAAAATACCTTGACGCACCGGCACACATCATCCGCAAAGCTAAACTAGCAAAGCCTTTAAAGCAACTATCAAAACTGTCTGGCACAGAGACACACAAAATCGACCAAGCGAGGGTATTGTCTATACTCAGCAAGCTGAGCCATTCCAAAGACGAAGAAGCAGGTTCCACTAAAGAAAAGGAACGAAAGGAACGAAACTCGGCCCACAAAGCAGAACTGAGGGCCATTATCAGAGAAAAGATAAAAGAAATGAAAAAAGGGTCACAAGATTCACAAGAAAAAATAATGACCGCATGCAATAAATGCCAACGCGGTGAAGTCATTGCTAGAGACTTTGCAACGGAAACCTCCTCACCGTTGGTGAAAGACCTGAGAGCTTCGCAAACGCTTGAAAGACACCCATTGTTGAGAGGACTAAAGACCGAAGATAACAAGGAAGGGGAGGAATGGGTTATGATTGTTAATGAAAAGAGATAGATTCCAAAAAAAACTTTACTAAAAAAAGAAAAGAAAAGAAAAGAAAAGAAAAGTACCTCTTCTTTTGCTTGTTTGTTTTGCCTGCGGTTTTCGTTTGCTTTTGAAAGTTTGTAGTCTAGCCTGCATTTCTGGTTGATTTTGTTGATTTTGTTATTTCTTTCTTTCGGGATCAAATACCAGGTTTACGAACTTTTGTCACGGGGTTCTTTGGACGGTTCTTTTTGCATTCTGATGTTTCTCGCCTACAATTTCTGGGAGGTCATTTTGAAAGATCGCAGATTATCAGGTTTATGATATAATGCCGGTTTCGAAAAAAAAAAAGGGAAGAAATTAGTTTTATGGTTTTATAGGAAAATTAAAGGCCTCTCTGGTATCGCTACCAACCCATTCTGTATCCACCTTCGCCATAATCAGAATCGAAGTAAACTTAAGCATAAGTAAAGCGTAATACTACTAGTCCGATACTAGTATACTCGACAGGTTCACGATATCGAGATATCGGTGTTCAGCCTGGATCTTTCGTCTCGTACCCAGCTGAACATTCAAACATTCAAATATTCTTCACTGTACAGCACAGCCTCAGCTTACACAGTATTCGATCCTTTGACGAGAAACAGGATCTGTCATTTTACCATTTTCAGGAATGCAAGTTCAAAAACTAATATTCTCAATTACGCAAATTAATATTAGCCACCACCGCAGAAAATTGTTAAGATCTCCGTTTGTGACTTGGCTCTTCGGTTCATGAAAAGCTAACCCCCAAAAACACCCCACTCGCGGCATACTCCCCCATCGACAACCAGATAATGGCTTTCGAAAAGAAAGATATTTGCTGACAGTAAAAAGAGGTAGTGAGCGTTTGGCAGCGAACTCAGATGGCAGATACATGCAGTTAACGAAACAAATTAGCTAGACAGGTTATGTTAAAACAGCAATAAGGAGCGATTGGGCTTGCCAATCAGGGATGAGGGGTGGAGTAGCATTGCATTCAAGCCCAGGAAAATTAGCGGGTAAAGCAGAAAACTGGTCGTGAAGGACAGCTGTCTTCCGTTTACGTGGCTCATTTCCCTTAGTAAATACTTGGTGCTGTAGGAAATAGTAGGGCGAATACTGATAATGAAAAAAGTATGTTGAGACATAGTCTCGTTCCCTAGGAACCAGACCACTCGAATCAATACAAAAGACAGCGCAGAAAATTGTTGAGATCGTTCGAATCCGCGATTTGACATATCGAAAGTAGAAGCAATTTAGTGATAATACTAATAGGGAGAAGATATCTCAGGACAAGACATCACCACAATGAATGCTAAGTAGGCTAGTCAGTTCCGGGAGAGGCGAGGTCACGGACAAGACGACCAGTACACCAGGCAAACTCGTAGTTTCTCTGATACCAGTTGACACTGATGAAGAAGCGGGCAGTTAGTAAAGGTCGTGCAAGCAACCCTCGTGAATATTTAAGGAGCATTCATAAAGGGCCATCTAGGACCAGGACCAGAGCACTTACAATGTTTTACGACCCGCAATTCTTGAGTGGGTGGCCCAACTAGCCCCGAGAACGATGTTGTGTTTGGTGTCGAAGAAGTCGGCTGCAAGATATCCCGCCACACCGGCGAGCAGGTTAGTATCTGAGACGTTCCCCAAACAACGGATCATTTACCCGTAGACGTTTTGACTAACCGGTGTATTCTGGGTACAGTTCCATCGCTTTGAACCCATCCCACTTCTCTAGCACAGTTGAACTCCATTCCCATGCTCCTGAATCACCCCTTCCACAAATCTTCCCCAGAACACTGGTTGGATGCCATCTTCGAAAGCTGACATTAGCTCCAACCATATTGGCGAACATGTCGTTTATTCCCGACTCGTCCGCCTTCCCAGCCAAGGCAGTAAGATCTGGTGGAGTGATGTGTACGCCGTCCATTGATAAATGCCTGTAGATTCACGGTAAGTCAAAAAATTGCTCGCCGTCCTTCGACATAGAATATGAAAGTTGGCTTACCCATTAACAGCATCGATCATGGCTGCGAGCTTCTTCGCTTCCAAATCCTTTTTGACGACCTCGGTATGGCTGTAGATGACCTGTAGTTCTTCACGGGTCGGAAGTCGTCCACCCATCCAATTAGCGCATCCGTTCACCTCATCATACGATGCGATAACTGGCCAATGCTGGGCGTATGTCAACGGAACAGGGCCAAAGGCAGTTTTGACGAAAACGCCATTGAATACTGCAGGCGAGGGGTCATCGCGGTTGACTTCGGCCAAAACGTTGGTGTTGGGGTTTCTGCCCTCTGTTGTCCACGACTTCGGATACGAAGTAGACCCCGTGCTTTTGAGGTACATGGCGTACTCGCCGTTGGTGATGGGCCGTGAAAAGGCTTCGAAAGGCGCGACGGATGATACGAGGGCTGGCTTTTCGTTGTCCCAGGTGAAAAATCCGCCTTCTTCTTCCTGATCATTGGTTCCGAGGACAATCTTCTGTCCCGGGATCTTGATCCAGGTTTCGCCTTCTGTCGCCTTCGTCGAATCCAAGAGAAATTGAGCTCGAAAATCTGGCTCTGGTACGCCGGCGGGTGGTACAGTCAGATCATGCTGCAACAACATGTACATCAAAGTCTCAAGATGCATGACCTCGTGCTCGAATCCGAGCCACAATCCACGTTGGAGACGGACCGAAGAGCTATCCCCATTATTATAGATAGCCCTCACTCGGTTACGAACTCGGCCACAGAAACCAAGGACATCGTCGAGCTTCGGCCAAGTATCTGGGATGGCACTGTGATTGTGGCATTTGGTTGGATCATCGACGTCTGGATCGATGCCACGTTGAAAGATGTCCCTGTAGTGGACCGGTCCAGTCGCGGCGAGGTCGGCAGTTCTGGATAGCTGAACATCGAGAAAAGTGGGAATATGGCCCAAGTAGAATAGAATAGGGTTCCTTAGGGAAATGGGTTTTGTGAGATATTGGTCCTTTCTGACCATACTCAAAGTGACTAAATCCCATATTTTCCACAATTCCTCCCATTCGCTGAGAGAGGGACACGATTCCTTCGCATACTCCTTTGGTTGGAGTCCAGTCCTGGCGGTGGGATTGTGAAGCAAGTGGAGGGCTGTTGGAAAAATAACATGGTCAACACATACTAATCTAGTAGTAGTCTCGTTCCTAGACGCCCGCGAGTCACAGGTGTCTCTAGTAGTATCCTCGAGGCTGGAAACACTTACTATATTCTCCATCTGGTTGCCCCCAGGAGTTACCGATTGAAAGACCTGCACCCTCGAACATTGCAACAGCTTGCGCGTAAGAGAACTTGTAGCTTCTTTCAACGCGGACCTTTTCACCCTTCTCGATCTTGACAGGCTTGGACAATGGAAGGGTCAACTCCCTGCGCGATTCATAGAACGCTTGATGGCGATCATAAACAACATCATATTCGCCAATATAAGCCCAATCGGGTTGATCAAATGCTTTCTGACCAAGAATGTTGTTTGCGTTGTTCAAACCGTTCATGATGAACCTCTCGGTGACTCGCTGACGATCGTTGTAGGCCAACCATACTCTTGCGGGATCGTTACAAGAGTCAAATGCAATGAGCATTCGGTCCTTGGTGCCTGGGCGGATGACGGTTTCACGCCATTGCTTGAGGAATTCTTCGGCTCCCTCACGCTCGAAATTCCCAATAGAGGAACCAAGCCAAAGGATAAAGCGAGGATGACTTTTAACCTCCTCATTGCTCTCTAACCAAGCCTTTCCATCATCGTATGTCCCATGGAGTCCGAAACAACGGACGTACTTGAAAGCATTCTGTGGAATGTTTGCAAACGTCCTTTCGAGCTCTGGGCGTGATAAGTCCAGTGCAAAGTAGTCTACATTCTTCTTAGCAGCTTCGAGGGCTTGCAAGAGGATGTTTACCTTGCGGAGGTTGCCAGACCCAAGTTCAATGAGTAGAGCTCCGTGTGGAACACGAGAGGCGATTTCCTCGGCATACGTCGACAGAACTTCGATCTCAGCATTGGTGAGGTAATAGTCATCAACATATGTGATGGCCTCAAACTCCTTGAGGCCAGCCTCGTCGTACAACAACATTGTTGGGAGAGTTTTCTCACCAACCGGAGCATCCAACCCCTTGACAATATCGTCATTGAGTTGCAATTCTACAGTGGTTGTTCGAATGTCGATTATTTGAACTGCGGATTGGCTGCTGTTCGTAATTACACCGGATTCACGGTCACTCTTAAAGACTGTTCCTCTGGGAATGACGTCAACACCCTCACGGTCGTGAGGCTCGGCAGGAAGATTTGCTGGCTTCACCATTTTGCTACAGAAGGGGGATCAGCAAAAAGAGTCAACACAGAAACGGCCAGGGCAGTTAGAGTCTAGCTCTAACCCTACGACAAGACACCACCAACGAAGCAGAAGAGTGGAATAGATGAGGGGACTCACATTACTGGGCTATTGTCTCCGAAAAAAAACAACGGTAACGCGAGAAGAAAAGCCTATACATGAGTCTTTCAGAGGTTGAGGTTTGCTGCGAACCAAGGGCTTCAAATACTTACTTGAGGTTGTTTCGCTCAAAGGGCCGTCAAGCAGAAGCTAGACAGAGGCTGGAATACAACAAGAACAAAAGAGTACCCTCTACAAAGCTCGAGTGGTCGATTGTGATAAGGTAGGGGGTTCTGATAGGATGGTAGAAGAATAGAAGGGAAGATTGCTAGATGAGGGAAGCAGGTGTGGTTTAGTATTTGATTAATGGGATGATCAATTAAGTACTGAAAAACGTGCAGTCGTGCAGGTCAGCAACGGAAAATCTCTCCTGCTTAATAAGACCCAGATTCAAGTCACCTAGCGAGCAAGTTGCAGAGCAGCAACGAAGCCACACAGATGATCGAGAGAAAACCAAGGCTATACGCTTTCGGATCGATATCGTCGGAAGGAGTCGTGATTGGGAAGATGGGGATGGGAAGTTGCGGATTTTTATATCCAGCTAAGGGACTTATAGCTTACCTCCCAGGAACTTTGCTAGAAGTGATGGTCAGGAACAAGACGTGTGCTCCGGAATAACGGGCCTGAGAATCAAGATTCTCGACGGACTAGTCTATGATGGGGGAAAACTTCGAAACCAGGAATTGGGCTGTTAGTAGTCGGGCTAGGCAGTTGCAAAATAGACCAGGTTGACGATCGTGGTTGCTTTATTGGGAGAAATGAGGTTGAGGAGAGACGAAGGAGGTCGAACGAAGTATGGATATCCGGATGTCTGTGCTGTGTAGGTACTTACATAGGTGGTCCTGCTACAAATGATGTTGCCCGCCTCGACATCGTATCCCCGCTGGAATGCTTGCATGCATAAGTCCCTCCACACCCTCCACTTAGCGCCCCTCCATGACCTCACGGTGCCCTTTCCGGAAACCTTGTACCTAATGGCCAAGCTCGGTTGCACAACGTGCGCAGCATACTGCTGCCGCTGTCTTAGATCGTTTCTTTAGAGTAGCGGCATTGCTTTCGAAACCAGTTACCCACTACCGTTCTCCATGACACGAAAACGACACGTCCGGTCAACGTCGCGCCCGATGGGTACCACGTTTGAAGCCCTCGAAAGGGGGTTCATAGTAAGCTGATTCGTAATCAACGGTGGAACTGGGGGAACTTCACGGCCTCGTCCGGATCACTAAGAGTCATTGCGGCTGGGATCTTTACTACGGGCAAGGACGACGGATGAATTCGAAGTCGAAAGGATAGTTCCGCAGTGGGGTTCTTTGCTTCGTAACCTAACCAGACCATTCCGGTGAGTGGCAAGGGTACAAAGTACGTAGCGGAACGCAAGATTCGATTCAGGTTCCCCCAAGCCGACTTTACGCGATGAGGATACCCTAACCTCCCCTAGCTAACTATGACATATTCAGAGCTGACAGGCATATCGTGCTTACTACCCTAGCTTCTGCATTGGCCGGCCAAATATCCACGGCGGTGTCTTGAGCTGAATGTAATCCGACCTTCTCCTCATGATGACACAATTACAAATAGAAAGGTATCAAATCTGTTTAGGAGACCCGAATTAACCCCTCCATCGGTTCCGGTGGCAGCCGTCCTACAAATACAACCTGCTAATAGCTCGAGCTTCAACAGCGCATCTTGACTGGAAGGTGTTGGTCCTGTTTGTTACTCGAAAGCCGACATCACATTTGTGTGCCTGAAATCAAGCTTCCCCTGCAATAGATATTGAAAGCTGCATTGCAAGCCTGGGCCAGGATGCCAATTTCTTGTCCTTCCGCCTGCATCTGGGAGAACTAGGAAAGAGAGTGTTTCTAGCGAGGTACTTCTCCCGCAGCAAGGTGTACCTTCAAATCTGGACGCCGAAAATTTCAAGGCTTGGATCCATTCGACCCCACTGTGTTACTCTAAACTTGCATATCTCGGGTCTATATTAACGCCGGAGCGAACCTATGGGGAGTTTTCCCACTGACAACCCTGACCCCACCCATTCTCGCGAGAGCAACTAGGAAGCTGTAGAAACAGCCGAGAGGAGAGAGAGCTCCAGAAGGTCTTTAGAAGGTGGTAAGAAGGTTGAAATTTTGATCTATCAGTGCGAAGTAGTTATCGGGTTTCGTTCCAAATCAAGTTGCTATCATACCGACAACTGCCATACATCCGACCACCACAGGGTGATTCGCAATGGCCAACAAAAAAGTCGTTAATTGTCGTCATGGAAGGAACGCTGTGTCGCCGTTTTAAAAGAGGCTCGTCTCGAAGCTGAGCTTCATCTGCATCCACCAATGAAAAACCACGATGGATCCTACGGAAATAAAATGTGATACTCAGCTCATCAGCGGTAACATTCGAACGCTAGTAGGCTGAAAAGGCAAAAAAAAAAAAAAAAAGTAGGAAGAAGAGGAAGAGGAAAGAGTATGATAGTGATTTTCTAACGGCTACAGCGTCTAGCGAAGTTGCAGTCTGTTCTTTTTTTCAGCCGGCTTATCGCCGTCATCATATTTGCGAGTGCGAGGCAAAATTTGAGTTTTGCGGGGTTAACTAACGCTATGCACATACCAAACACTAAAAACGATACCTCGAAATATCGGACACGGCCTTCCAGTCTCAGCTATCCCGTTTTCTTCAGTTCAAATTATCAAATCTGTCATTTACCCCCAACCACTTTCACCAGGAAGAAAAGCAAATCTTTTATCTAATACGAAGATCTTTGACAACCAATATACTTATTTGATATTTACAAGATGTAGACATCTGAATATCCCGCGGCGCATTGGCAGTGGCTTTGGGACCCACTATCGAGCATTTTTTCGACATCTTTACATACGCCCAGCTGCCCATTTCCCCACACTTTCCGGGCCTAGATTTGGTTCGATATGTTACATTTTTTTTTTTTGTTTTTAGTACACAATCAATTACTTTTAATAACTCTAAGTGTCTCACTGTTTAAAAGTACTGGAGTGGTGAAAGTTGCTTACGGGCCGATGAGTACAGGGAGCTCGAGCCGCTCGTTCGTTCGTTCGATACTCAAGTGATCAGTGCCACCCCTGCAAGAAGCTACATATACTTACTTACATCATGTACAGTTGAATTGCATTTGAATTGCAATGCTTCTACACATATACAAACTGCTGCTGCCGCTGCGTAAGCCTCGTATTATATTATTTAAATTTCATTTTTGTTTTTCTTCAGTGACTATATGAAGCAGAAGCCTGCAGGTTAGGAGATATTTCCTGACTTATCAGAAATAAGCCGCGCATATAACTAGCATATTTGGGGGTGCCCACCAAACCTTCGATATGAACTTTAAAGATTACAAAGTTTTCTATGTACTAAGACTAGTGCTTAGGAACTCGATACTGAGGTGCTAAATACTTAGACTAATTGTAATTCCAGGAAGATGTCCCTAACATTATGGTGGGTCGATAAAGACAAGGGTGCTTTCCTTGATCTTCAATGCAGGATAACTTACCGGTGCAATGCATCTTTGGAAGACGGAGCTCAAGCATACAGGTACTTACTCATTATTTGAGGTACTGATACAAAATATACGGGGATAGAGGTCCACCCTGGACAAGTTAAGCCTTTATTTGATGTACATTTTTCAAATCAAGGCCCTGGGACGGTGACATCCGTGGGGCCGAGGTATCAATCTCCGACAAATCTTGATAATCTAAATGCTTATAATCAAAATACTGACCCTACACCATGGGTTTGCGTATTTGATGAAAGATACGAGGACTTGGCTTATCGTCCTTGGTTAACCAATTAGTAAAAAGATCGCGGGTTCTATAATTCAATTTGCCCATATCTTGATCAAACGTAATCGACTCGGGAGGGCTGACGGGAGCTTGCAGGCCGGATCGTCATGTGGACGGCATGTAATTCTAGTCTCAAGCCCATGGCTCAAGCGCGTTCCGAGGCAATCCCATGCGCATGCTACATACCGAAAGACATCCTTTGACTCTTCTAGGTCTGGGTACGAGACAAAATTTGATCTTAGAAAGCTTTGCCACGAGCTCAGTTCAGTCGTGCGTGTCGTACAGACTCATGCCCGCGCCCTGTAAGTCAATGCAAAGCCAATTTACGTAATCTTAGATTTTAGATTTCATTAGATATCCTACATCGCGTCGAATCTAACAATTTGTATACATGTAGCTAGCTGTTCGAGTCCCCAAATAGAGTAAACATCTGAGTAGTAGATGATAGTGATTTATCAATACAACCAACGTAGCGAACCATCATATTACCAATTGGGAGTGATTATGAGGTGCTGTCGGCTGAGGAAGTGCTGAGCCTAGGCTTGAAATAGCTTATTATGTAATCAAAGCCATCGTTGTTGCATTTTGACCCAACGCAATACAGTTTGTTGAATTGAGGGCGAAGGATTTTGAGGTACTTCCTAAGAGCTTCCACCTCGATCGAGCATCTGGGTTTCGAAGCTAATGTAGGTCTGCTAGCTATGAATCATGTCTTTACCTTGAGAGTGAATATACCAAGTTTCCATGGGCTCTAATTCCAATGCTTTCCTGAGATAGAAAGAACTGCTTAAAATGGAATCTGGGAAACGCATCCTGTAACCCACATGCATAGATGTCATTCAACATGAAAGAATCTAAACTTTTTTACTAGTTTAGAGGCAAGACGGGTGCGAGTTCGATGTCTTACTACGTTCTAAATATACTCATGGTTGATGAATGAAAGTCGATAATTTAAAGGTATACTAGCTAAGCGGCGAGAAAACTAGGTAGCCGGGAATAGTGTCATAACTTGGGCATACAGATAGATCCTTAATATTAATATGAACCTGAGTGGATCTATAGATATTATGCATGCCAATGTACTACTATATATAGTCAGAACCTGCTGAACTCAGAATTATATATCAAGCTGTGTCGTTGGAGTGGGTGGCCCTCGTCTTAGGTCTATAGTATATATGAGACAGACCGGGTTCAAATCCTTTTAGATCATTGATCGATTTTCAGATTACTTTTATGCCTTCAGAACCGTTCAAACTTGATCAAGTACGCCAATATATGTCAGAATCGCATTTTCACAGATCTTTTCAGTTTTCTTGGATCATATTGCAGTTTGGTGTATATAATTAACAATGGCTAATTAGGGGTTGGCATGCTATGAACAGGGACTTTCACATTATATTCCTAGAATAGTTCGAATCGGTCTAAGACAAAACAAAGCTTATTGGCCTCGTTGCCCGAAAGTGAAAATGAAGCCCGCAAAGCTTGAGGATCCACGATATATATCTACCTATATATGTATATGTGTATCTAGGTGTATACTAGGAGCCAAATTCAAAGGCACAGGTCCACGAGCCGAAAGTGTTCATATATAAGCCTCTGGTCAGCTAGTCACACTTGTCTAACAAAACATAAAAGAAAGAACAATACTACAGAAGAGTTCCTTAGTGAAAGGACTCTCTGGTTTCTACTTGCTAGTAATACTTGGCCTAGAATAGTACTATAGTACTATGCTTCTACAAACGAGGGTATTTTAAAAAAGCCTCGACCTGCATAATATTGAGCAAAGGAAAGACTTTTCTGCAGGTGAATTAGCCAACTATTAAACTCTGGAGCCAAGGTCGGCATATCACCTAACGCTATCAGTAGAAGAAAGATCTGAGACAACAATCCTCAAGAGTACTGAAGTATAAAATGGGCCCCCTAGATGACCTGAGAAAAACCAGAAGCAGACGCCGTTCAAAGTTCTCAAATTATAGCCTGGAGCTAAGCAGTGGTATGCTCTTGTGCAATGCAGAGCCGTGACCAAGTCGGAGCAGATAATTACTTACATTAATTCACGGTTATCGCAAAGCCTAAAGCTAAGCTTCTTTAAAGAGATTAAGAAAATAAAAAATAAAATAAAACTAAGGTGGGTAAGCTAAGAGGTAAGCCGCTATATAGCACTTTCAATTGCAAATCCAAAGTAGTCAATGATATTCGAGAGTGGATCCGCGCGCGGAAGCTTCGAATTCGCGAATTGGAAGCGTTATTCGATTTTTGCGAATATCGGTCCCACGGCACCAGGATGGGCCAATACTAGGCTATGAAGCTGGCATTAATTCGGCACTACTGTATAAATCTATAATCCGAGCCTGAAGCTGGTGCGAAGCGCGCCAGCGCTGCAGCGCGTGGAAAGCAACCAGAAGAGCTAATTTTATGCTGTCACGTGACCACAGACGTCGAAAGCTTGCTCCAAGATTTTGCCGCACACAACTCCAAAACCTTGAATATAACATTTTTCAACCGACAGCACAGAACACCGAATTCATTAGCCAACCATACAACCTCCTACTAATCCAGAAGCTCTTTCGAAACACGCGTAGCTCGGGTACCTAGAGACGTCATAAAGCGATAACTCAAGATGTCGACGACGGTGGAGAAGGTATGTCCCACCTATATCCACATTTGATAGCATGTCGAAGGTACTAACTAAGACTTTCTAGATCCGAGAGGTATACCATAGCCGCCCAAATCGCGATCGCCCGAGTGCACCGACGAGGAATATATTTACTAACATTGCCTTTCGCTTGACGAAACATAGATCGAGGCCGAAATGGCCAAGACTCAGAAGAATGTATGAGGAGACCCCGGATTTCTGGAAGCCATTCGCAAAGGCGGAATAAAGGACTCACAAAACGGCGATAGAAAGCCACATCATACCATTTAGGTCAACTAAAAGCCAAGCTAGCAAAGCTTAGAAGAGAACTTGTTACGCCCTCTGGCGGTGGTGGAGGTGGAGCTGGAGGTAAGTTCTGCCACCATTCATTTCAAGATTTACGACGGAATTGCTTATATAGTGTATCGTGAATAGTTGGTTTCGATGTCGCTCGGTACAATCCCCTGTGTCGCTTTACCCCTATATCACGGACTAATATCTTCCTAGCACTGGTGCCGCCTCCGTTGGCTTCATCGGGTTTCCTTCAGTCGGCAAATCCACATTGATGTCCAAACTCACCGGCACACATTCTGAGGCCGCAGCATACGAGTTCACAACACTTACCACCGTGCCCGGCTGCGTCATGTACAACGGTGCCAAAATCCAAATGCTCGATCTTCCCGGTATCATCCAAGGTGCGAAGGACGGAAAAGGTCGTGGTAAACAGGTCATCGCCGTCGCCAAGACCTGCCATTTAATATTCATCGTCCTGGATGTTCTAAAGCCATTGACCGACAAACGTATTATTGAAAACGAATTGGAAGGATTCGGGATTAGGATTAATAAACAACCGCCAAATATCATCTTTAAAAAAAAGGACAAAGGTGGAATCAGTGTTACTAATACCGTCCCCTTGACACATATTGAGCCGGAGGAGGTTAAAGCGGTGTTGAGTGAATATAAAATCGCGAATGCGGACATTGCATTCCGTTGCGATGCTACTATTGATGATTTGATTGATATATTGGAGGCGAAGAGTCGACGGTACATTCCCGTCGTATACGTCCTCAACAAAATCGATTCGATCAGTATCGAGGAGTTGGATTTGCTATACCGAATTCCGAATGCTGTCCCCATCTCGTCGGAACATATGTGGAATGTGGATGAATTGCTAGAGATGATGTGGGACAAACTGAATTTGAGACGGATATATACGAAGCCGAAGGGCCAACAACCGGATTATTCGGCCCCAGTTGTATTAAAAGGAGGACAGTATACTGTTGAGGATTTCGTGAGTTCACCTATCGCTTGAGTGATTCCAAATGCTTGATCAGACTTACTGATTCCCCTTTCTGTTTAGTGCAAATCGATCCATAAATCGATTTTGGAGGTGTTCAAGTATGCTATTGTATACGGACGAAGTGTGAAGCACCAGCCACAAAGAGTGGGGTTGTCGCATGAACTTATGGACGAAGATATCGTTACTCTAGTTAAGAGATAAGGAGCCGCAGTTATTGATCCTTCTGTCTATTTCTTCCCAATTGTCATAATTTCGGCGTCATATGGTCTCTCATGTTGTCTGATATCGATATTAGCCTTTGCATACTGTATACGCCACGACTAGTCGTCCTTGTAACAATAAAATATCAAGAGTACTACGTCCGACCCAGGGGAATTTATCTTTCATTGAAAGCTGCATAGCTTTGTGATTGAATAAAAGCAGGTATATTACATTTTGGAAAAGGGGATTTGCTAAAGGCTATGCTAAAGCTGGAGAAAGCAAATGCCGAAAGACCAAAGAAATCGAAAGGATGCGATATAGCATGCGCGCAACATTTAATCGAAGCAGAAATCAAGAACTCTTTTCCAAGAAGATGTATACTCTAGCTTATAAAAAACTAGATCGCGCAGATAAACAAACAAAACAATAACCTGCCTGCAAAGGGAACATAAACTGGAAGGAGATGAGATGAAGATTTCACGAATAATTTGCTCTTTTCGGTATTGAGAAGAGGGTATAGCGTATCTGAGGGGAGAAGGGGGTAAAAAGGGCCAAACCATAAGCAAAGAAATTCATAATCGAAAGCAAAAAGATGGAGAAGAAGTTTGAATCCGAATCAAGATAGCCACCCATTATCTCCACCTCCCAAAATCCAACAGGCAAAGGAAAACAAAAAGAAAATCTTTCTCCGTCGTTCAATCATTAAAGTTTCTCTGTCGTTAGAGTTCGTCATCATCCTGAAAGAGAAAAGCATCTATTACTCGACTTTGACTTCCTCTGCGGGCACTGTCTCAGCCGGCGCAACATCCGTTGAAGGTTCTTCTGCTGGCGGCTCTGGGGCGGTTTCGTCGATTGACAGATCAAAGTGTTTTAACCCTTCTTCCAAGGCATCTTCCCTGACAACAAGCGCCTTGTGAACGATGATGATGTCTTCGGGTTCGCCACCTCGAGGCAACCCTAGCCTCGCAAGACCTGGTCTGGCAACAAAGGAAACCGCACCCCTACCAGCACCGATACCCTGGAATGTCGATTCCTCCATGGTTGTCTCGTCAAACTCGACGCCGGGAACAGGATGGAACAGCGCATAGTACTTGTAATCTTTCTGGATAGTGTCATGTAAAGTATGTGTGGCAAGCAGGACCTTTTCGTAGAGGACAAGGGTCAAAGGCGTATAATGAGCCTGTTGTTGCTTTTCTTCGTCCGTCTGAGGTTCCTTAACGGGGAAAAATGGAGTGAGCGGCGAGAGAACGTTGGCTAGCTCTTGGGATAATTTGACGAGCTGCTTTCTACTAGAGCTTCCGAAGGACCTGGATTCTTGGAGAAGCTTGAGTGTCATGTGTCGGAATTTCGTCGCAGTGATATCGTCACCTAAGAGTACTAGTTAGGGGGTGTAGTATAAAGCAACGTGTATTAGTTCAGACTTACCGAAATCCGTGGTGAAAACCGACATGGCAAGGCCTAGTTTCCTTGTCATCTTATCATCCAATCCAAATACGGTCTTGCCGAAGATTTCCCTGCATGCAAAGTTCGCCAAGATACCAGAAAGCGCGATCTTGCTCTTCCATTCCCAAAATTCCTCATACTTGGCACCCGCTTCATCAATATTATCCCAGTCAATTGATATGTCCTTCGGCTTCTCAGCCCACCACTCTTGAGCTGGAAGGAGGGAAATTTGGGATAGAGCGGCTTCGGTTGATTTGACTAGGTGATCAAATTCTTCGAGGTGGTCCCAACCCGGTCGCCAGTTTAGAGAGTCCGCGAATGAAAAGATCTTTTTATACCAGTTATTGACAGATGATTGCATATTCCTGTCATCGAGATCGAGGGAGTGGTTTGCCGCCTGATGAGGCTTATTGAGGAATTGTGGGGACGTCGTGGATTGATATCTTGTGGAGGTGAAGTCTCTGTCGGTGGACGTGAGGGAGGCTAAGGTTGTAGGCTTTGGCGGTTCCATGATTGGTCTTTTCTGAACAACTGGCTCTTCTGGAGCTGGTTCGGCTGTAGGTTCGGGGGCGGCTTCGGTTTCTGTGGTTGCCTCGACCTCAGGAACTGTCTGGGCCTCTGTTGTTGTCTTCTCTTCTAAAACTGTGTCTCCTTCAGGCGCCGTCTCCATAGCCGTGGTTTCTAGGGCCGGTGCATCCTGAACAGCCTCAGGCTCCTCGGCTTTGGCTTCAGGCACATCTTCAACCGGGGCTGTAGCATCGGCAGTTACTTCTTTCACAGCGGTAGCAGATTCCTCAGGCGCAGGCACCTCTGTCTTCTCTTCAGTTGATGCTGGCTCGGTAGGCTCCTCTCCAGCAGGGTTTTCTGTTGAAACTTCCTCACTTGTTGGTTTCTCGGCTTCGGATTCCTCTACAGTCGCTTTTCCAACTGGAGATTCTTCCTCCTCTTCCTCACCAGCTGCCTCAACAGCTGCGAGCTCATCTGCCAATGATTTGCTAGGCGCATGTTCATCTGCGACAGGCTCCTCAGCCTTCTTTACGACAGGCTCCTCGGGTATGTATTCCTTCGTGTCTGCAGTGTCTGGAACATCAAGGTCGACTGGCGGGGCAAGCTTCCTCTCCTCTTCAGATGGATCTTCGGTTTTCGTGTCGGGGATATCGTCTTTGGGATCCTCAATTTTTGATTCTGGTTCCTCGATTTTGGGGTCCTCGGCATCGGCTTCTGGCTCTTTAGACTCTGGTTCACCGTCTTTTGGCCCCTCGGCATCTGGCTCTTCATCTTTTGGTTTTTCAACATTTGCTTCCTCAACCGTCGCGTCCTCACCCTTGTGTCCGTCGCCATTCACCTCAGCAGGCTTATGATCTGCGGATCCATTCTCTAACTTTTCGGCTGTATCTGGGATCGCATCAGGTTCGCCTACGATGCCCTTCCCCTTATCATCATCCAACCCCCAAGCAGCCGCAGCTTCTTCGCCTTCAGCTTTAGCCATCGCGCCTTTGTCAATTGAGTCTGTAGTAGCAGCGCCGTTCGCTAAAGGCTTATCCAACGGATTATCGAATCTATCGGCTGGCGTAATAAATTCTTGATTCTCGGTCATTGGTGTCTCCACAACGGGGCTATTAAGGGAAGAGTCTGCGTCTAATTAAATCTTTGTTGGTTATCATTGATATTGTGAGATAGTTAAACTGATTAAAAAAATTTTTAAATGACGCAGCCAGACTAGGGTTTAGTGAGTTTTTGATGCGTGACAGACTGGCAATGCATAAAACACCACGCCCTGTTCCGCTTGGTGCGTGCGCGATATATAAATTCTACTTTTATAGAGGAAAAAATATGACGAGGATGCAGTTATCATGCGAGGAATTATGGTGATTCGCTACCATAGGAGAGGGGCACCACCCTATTCAGTTGCCTGCCTTATCTTTAATGGGAGGCGACGGGTTCAAGGTTGGGCATGTCGCGAACGATTGGATTTTGCGAGGGGAGAGGAAGTTGCATTTGTCAGGGAACTGATGATGGAATTCTTAAACTTACCACCATTCTCTTTGGGGATTTGAACCACGCTGTTCCTCTTCTTGTTCTTGCCCTTTTTTGGAGGCATCTCGGGGCGTCGTCTGGGCGCGACTGGTGGAGTGGGTTCTGGTTCCGGTTCGGGAGGTGCCGCGGTGAGTTCGTTGATACTCTGTTTCAACCAACCAAGTGCTGAAGCCAGTTTGAATAGAAGATGGGGAGTAAGAAGGGAATTATTTCAAAAGAATAATTCCCAAGTTACTCAAAAAAAAAAAAAATTGGAGCAGAGATAAAGAATTAGAGAGGCAAGGGATTTAATTTTTCTTTTTTCTTCTTCTTCTTTTGCTGGAGGTTTTCCCAAGGCAAAATGGCAGTACGGCAGCGAACTAGTGAGGTCCCGTCGGCCTGCGGGGATTCTACGAAAAAGCGAGAGGCGAGTGTTTCCCCTCGTAAAACTAGTAACTTCGGGGCAGATATTTGCCTTGAGGGTACCTGACCGAACAAGCAGCCGAGTCGCGAAATCTAATTGGAGAAGGGTCCTGTACCGTTTGACCGACGTGTCAGTAGAATGGTTCCTTAGATGGCCTTGTGGTGGCACATTCTATGCATGTCGAGAAACCATATTGCGAAGCAGCTGGGGACGTCATGTACTCCGAGCTCTGGTTTTCTGTTCGACTTACCCAAAATGACAGCTTCAGATGCGGTATGATACGATAGGCCTGTTCCTCTTTTTCTCTTTTCCTCTTCTCGTACAATTCGATGTGGTACAGGAGAGGTGATGCAAGTACACACTATTCCAACGATTCGATGGGCAGCAGAGATGTGGTTCCCAATGGCGATGCAATGGTGATGGGAGAGATGAGGTATGATGCGCTTTGGAAGTGGGCACTATCGGATCAGAAATTCAACCACGATTCTCTCTTCGCTCGCTGAGACAAAATCGGGTGGCAGGAAAGTCATGCTTGCTTGCTTCCATCTTTCCTTCCTTCCTGATCTCATCCTGTTTCTCCCATCCCGGCAGACGCAGACATGGCTTCGGACTGGCTGAGCACGGGACTGGGACTGACAGCCGATGGATTTGTGCCCCCCCTCATCGTGGCCAATTGATGACTGACAGGGGCCGCCAATTGGTTCGGGTTTGGTCCAACAGCTTAGCTAGTTTAACTAGCCTGCTTTTTCCCCACGATCCGTATATATGTCATATTCTGCCCATTACGTTAATGCTGTCAGCTGGCCAAGCCACCGTATAAATCAAACCAAGATGGATTCTATATATATATTACTCACCCGCTTTGGATATAGATATACTTTATCTAGTGTCAGATCTCGGAGCGTGGAGAAAGATTAGATTAAGAGCCTCAATGCCTAGCTCTTGAGTGATGTAGTGATGGTTTGGGGTAGCCTCGATGCATTGATGTTGTAGTACTTTACTTGGTCAGGTACGTATGCATATGCTGTGAGCGGGTTATGTAAAAGCCTAAAGGTGTTGGCGGACCAGCCTTCTCCCTCGAATACACCCGTCTTGGACGGCTTCTTATCAACACCACCACTAACCACCACTACCAGCAAGTGAAGTCTCACGAATCCCCTCATCCATTCTTTCATCCATTCTTTCATCTAGGAGGAAAAGTAGGAGCAATGCGCCCGGCAATCCAGTAGAAGGGGTTCTTCCGCCAGCGACTTGTCTTCCAGCAATTCGCCTTTCTTCTCTTGCCCGTCCAGCGGACCGTCTCCATGTTTAGCTCCTCCAAAGTTGGTAGCTTGTTCTCCACGCGACGGGACGAACAAGACGTGGAACTCTCACTACCGTTGTACTCATCTGCATCCCACGAGAATCGATCCAGTGGCTTCCTTGCTGCGGAAAATGTCCAAGTTCCAATCCCACGGTCGCCGTCTCCGCGACCACCAGAGGTCCGTATCTCAAGGCCTGCGACGCCGTTGAGCCAATTCTCACCACCATTGCCTCAGATTGTTCGTCGCTCGTGGAGAATATCGTGGCAAACAACATTATTGATAATCTTGGTCATATACACTTTCTTTACATTATTCAAGGGTGCACCGTACCAGACCACCGAAACTGAGATCGTCGCCGAGTACGATGGTGGCCCACCGAGGGCAGATATCACGCATTTGATAGTTGTAGCAGGCCATGCGATTTGGATGGGCGGCAATACCTTGGGAGAAAATGAATCGGAGTGGACTCTACTACCTTATCAGCACGGTCTAGCCAAGACGTTCAAAGAGCATATCACAACTGGCGTGAAGTTGGCACAGAATAGCGAAAACAGTCTGTTGGTGTTCACGGGTGGGGAGACAAGGAATTTTGCTGGCCCTGCCAGTGAAGCTCAGAGCTACTGGGTGTGTAAACCTCACTCCATATTCCCCTTCAAGTATTGAATATGATTTCTAACAGTAATATTGCAGTCCCTAGCCTATCTCTCTAAGCTTATCGAACCAAATTCGTCTCTTTTCAATCGTTCCACTACTGAAGAATTTGCCCGGGACTCTTACGAAAACTTGCTGTTCAGTATTTGCAGATTCCATGAATACACCTCAAACTACCCTACAAAACTCACTATTGTGGGTTTCGAATTCAAACGGGAGCGTTTTAATACGCAACACCGTGCTGCGATTCGATTTCCTCCGGATCAATTCAGATATATAGGTATCGATAACACCGACGACCCAGAACAATTAGCAGGGTTTATTAAAGGCGAGAAAGAGGGTCTGTTGAAGCAGTATAGGGATGACCCACACGGCTGCACAGATCCCGAGCTGAAAGATAAGAGAAAAGGGAGGAACCCGTTCAGGACCAGGCATGGATATGAAGTCACTTGCCCGGAGCTTAAGGAGCTCATGAGGTGGTGTATGTACGAAGATGCCATCAAGGATGGGAAGACGCAGCAGTATCCTGGGGACTTGCCATGGAGCAAAGGGATTGAATAGATACGACCAATATTTAGATAATGAACTGTATTAATAGCGATTACAGGCGTCTGTGTTTCGAAGGAGGATCCTAATCTTAATCACAAATTCCATTACATGAACAAATTTCCAATTACTTTGGGGTCCAGTTACTACTACCAATTCCGAGATGGCTTTATATACCATATGCATGCATGTACCGGACCATATAAAGGCGGCGAGAATGCGGAGCCCCGTGATTGCGGGCCGCGTTAATGAGAGATGATTAACTCAACGCGTGTCAAACCTCCACCACCTCAATCTTTCGCCATTCCAACCCCTCTTCACTCGCATACGGAAGTCTCTTACGACCACAGAAGCTATCATTTTTACTACTATACTGCATCTAGCGATACCGTAACATCTGCGATGAATACCCCACCTCCTGATTTGACGGCTGGGCCGCCAGTTACACCCTCCCGCCACTTCTCCAAAGCCGGTGCACCTCTCACACCAGAACAAATCCGAAAGCTAGTATGTCCCTATGATTCTACATTTTAAACCGCCATGCAACTCCTAATAGTATCATAGGAAACTGAACGTCTAAAAGCAAAGGCTTTGCGCCAGCAAAAAGATCAAGATGCCAGCATAGCATCAGCTCCTCTACCCCGCGGTACAAAACGTACCTTCGACAGCGTCACTACATTTGCAATCAGTCCTAGCAAACCAGAGCACGCCAAAAATGTTCGTAATGCAAAGGATGTCCGTCCGATAGATTCAATTCAACCCGCCAAGAAATTTCAAAAATTCGTCGAATATGACCTCTCCAAGATGGCAGATACTAAAGGCGGCTTCATATCTGTGTCTGATGATCCACAGTCGCTTCTCGCAGCCGCGGAAGCGGCGGGGAAGCCGTCAAATATGACACTGGAAGATTGGGATAAACAGCAACTTAAAAAGAACTTACAGAAGGAAAAGAGGGGAGTGTTTGAACCAGCTATCACACAAAGCGGCAAGAAATGCTTTGAGTGTGAAAGTTTGGAGTTGGATTGGAATTTTCTAGAGGTATTTGGATTCAGGGTTTGTGGAAAGTGTAAGGAAAAGTTTCCAGACAAGTATAGTCTTTTAACCAAGACGGAGTGTAGGGAAGATTATCTGCTGACGGATCGTATGTTACGTTTCTGTACCTGTCTTTCTGTTGGTTGTTGGATTGGCTAACAGTATTACTGCAGCGGAACTACGGGACGAAGAGCTCCTACCTCATATGGATAAACCAAACCCTCATAAAGCGAATTGGGCGACCATGAATCTGTACCTGCGATACCAAGTTGAGGAGTTTGCGTGGAAAAAATGGGGTTCGCCAGAAGCACTGGATGCGGAATATGAACGAAGAACCGAAGAACAAAAACGACGGAAGGAAACAAAGTTTCAGAAGCGATTGTTGGATTTGAAAAAAAGGACGAGGGTTGAGACATGGAAGAGGAATGGGAGGTTTGAAAGTTCAAGTAAGGGGAAGCATGTGCACGAATGGGGAGAACTAATGGGGGGCAACGATGGGATGGGGGTGAAGAAGTGTTTGGAATGCGGGATGGAAGTCGAGGAGATGATCATATGAAGATTCTCGATGTCAGCGGTTTGGTATGCTCGAGAAAAGTGAGAGCTTCATTGTTCCTAATAGTGGTTGGTTCAAGGCAGACTGGTTCAGGGATATCTGATCTACTAGCTCGAATTCGTCCGATCATACCACAGAGACATAAAGGACGGGAAAGGGTCCCTTTGATGTCATTTGTATCACTTTGATACAGTGACACTTTGCTTCGGCCATGTAATGTTCGGGTATGTGCGGACCCGTTCAAAATGTGGGAAGGTATCTTTTTCCAACGCTATATGACAGGCGAGCACTCTATAGAGTGGTATTATGAGACGGAATATTAAGATTGAAGGTTTAAGATCTTCGAGTCACGTTCCTGTCGGCTTCCGTGCAGGAGCAGATCGCTCAGTGGAGCTCCCTTTGAAGAAGAATGTTCTTCGTATTGCGATGCCGGGGAGGGAGTAAACAGGTGCTGATTGACTTTTGGCTGGCACGCTAATCAGCAATGATTAGGCAGCTTCTCAGCGTATAACTAGATCCTGTAGCTTAAGCATGGGTTTATGCCGATGACCTAGTTTTTTAGATAGCAGGTTAGCTAGCAGGTGGCGATCTATTAGTGAATGCTTAGTGCTGAAACCAACATGTGAATTCTACTAAGCTAGATGTACGAAAGAACATTCGATATTCACCACTAAGTCTAAGTCTAAGTCTAAGTCTAAGTCTAAGTCTAAGTCTAAGTCTAAGTCTAAGTCATATATTTGGTGTATGGACTCTAGTCATGCCATCTCTGAATTCATAACCCCGTCTAACTAGGTAGAATTCAATCGTCAATAAGGGGCCCTCTCCTTCTCCTCCTCCTCTTCCTCCTCCTCACATGATATTTTTAGTATTGCATGCATGCATGTTTATTGTTTAAATGATTGTACTCTACATAATGCAATCGGGGACAATTTGTGCAACCCCTTTACAAATATTAAAATTCCGTCGACAACGGTCAGTCGATAGACGTCCCACAGCATCCGAAGATTGTTTAATCTATTTCCTAGATTAGTGAGGCTGTGCAAACAAAGATTTTCGATCTTCGCTTCGAAATTCTCGTGTGTTTCCATGAATTCCAGCAGCTTAGGCATTGAAAGTGGAGTCTTCCGACAAAAGCGCCAAAGATTCTGCCTGTCGGTTGAGGCTGCCGAACCAGCCAAGGCCTCTTTCAACAACTTCCCATGGCACTTCTGAAACTTGTTCAATCTTAGAGCAACCGCACAGCAGATATCTTGCATTTTATTTCGGTTTCCCCCCCTCGCCATTCGCCGCCGTCAGCCGGGCGTGACTAGGGGTTGCAGATGAGAGTTGAGATTATGAAATCATCATGGCTTTCGAGATCCGATGTTTGAGCGCCACCAGATGGGTGGCGAGAGGCGAGAGGCCGCGGCCGATGGCACTGGAAAAGCTTCGAGCCCAGTCTTAGTTATTTGGATGCATCTGGTAATGACTAGTGAGGAGTACACCCGATCATGGCATCGCGTCGTCGGCAGATAATGCTGAGTTAACGACTTTGGATACCTATTACCGGATTCACATTTGCGATCGCACAATGCGAGGCTGATGTGAGAAAAGGACGTCTTTCAGCGCTGACAGCCTCTCTCCCACCTGCCCACAGCACCTATCCGACCGCCATGGGTTCACAAAAAGAGTCCCTGAGTGCCAAATGCCAAATACCATGATGCCTGCCAACCTGACCTGCTTTAGCGAGACTTTTGCGAAACCAAGCAAACTGGCGGATGAGGAAATGGCTTCCAGGGTTCTGATCAGACGTTTCAGGTTTATCACTAGAACATCCTCCAGGCCCGTGATTGGTCGGGCCAAAACCTCAAGCCGGACGAAACCAGGAGGAGCGAATTTCATGGCAGAGCGTCAATCATGTCAGGCTGCCGGTGTTTTCGACAGTTGTCTCTTGACGGTCTCTGTGTCGAGCCGGTCAGGAAACGTTCGATTCGACCAGGCTCAAAGGGGGGGAATGTCTGCGGCGGCCCTTATTCCTTTCCCCGCTCTGGGAATATCATCATATGCGCCAGGCATGGAGCGCCATAGCTTACAAGGCCCATTGCCAGACCTGGTTCCACCCCAAACGCCATGACTGGTGCTGCTGGTTTAAAACTTATTGACATCCAATTCTTCATCTGATCTACATTACCTTCCGTCCTTCCTCTCCTTTCTTTCACATTAACGACTCCTTTCCTTCCTTCCTTCCTTCCTTCTTCTTCTCATCGGTGTTGAGCAGACGCCTGTTTTGTTTGAATTGAACTGACCGACCAAAACGAAGAAGACCCTGGAGGCCCTTTTCCATTTTTCTCTCACTAAATCTAACAAAATAAAAAGTCTCCACCTCAAGTCCCTTGCTTTGCATCATCTTGCATATTAACTCCAGATTGCACCGCGCCTGGGTTTGACGCCAATACATAAAAGGGCCCGTCGACATTTTAAGAGTTAGCTTGGAAGCCTGCATCCACTCATTTATCTGGGATAAAGTCGCCAGAACGCCCACCGTTGCCGAATTCCGAGTTTCATTTCGACTTTCCTTCAAGCCCTTTCTTTCAAGGGTTTCATAAACATCGAAACTCCTCCTGCTTCTGATTTTTCTCTTCCTTTTCACTACTACACTTACCCTTCAGTCTCTCCTTCGATATTTTTTTGTTTCTATTTCTGCAGGATTGTCGAGTTTTTTTAGTTTGTTTGTTGGTTAGCCAGAATTACTAGACTGTTCCTTTGGTCGAGTTTGATATTCAGTAACCTCAGCACTGCTCCGTCCTGCATCACAGCATCGTCTGCACTTCCGCTCCTTCACGCCAATTCATTTCAGAGAAACAAATATCCTGGTGATTAACATCTTTCTATCTGAAAACACAATCGTTAAATCTTCATTTTCTTCTATTTATCTCTGGTAGTCAATACATATACAACTGTTTGATATTGATATCATCACCAGCCTCTCAACCAAATCCAACAACTTCGCCACATATTTCTATCCAAAATGCGTTTCTCAACTCTCGCATTTGCTGCCATTGCAGCCCTCCCATCTGCCATCTCTGCTTTCTCTCTCTACGACATCTCTTCTGACCTTGGGGATGCCAACGACAAGTGTGCTTCTCAATACTCGATTCCCCTCATGTCCTGTGGTTTCCTCCCAGGCAAGTGCTCAGAAGCTTGTCAAGAGCAATTACAGTCCCTTGAGAAGACTCTTCAGGGAGTCTGCAAGGATGCTAAGAAGCCTCAGAACCTTCTCCTTGCTGCTTTGAACGACGGTCTCGTCCCTGCTCTCTGCTCGAATGCAGCCAGTGGTGGTAGCAGCGGCGGCGGTTCTGGAGGAAGCGATGATGCTCCATCTACCACCCCAACTTTTATGTCTGGACCAGGAAAGACTCCATCACCTTCTGTCGCTCAGCTCAGTTTCTCCGGTGTTCTTGAGGCTACTTCTGCCTCCGAGGATCAATCCGAACCAACTGGTCTTGTTATCGACACTTCGGTTCCTGAATCTAGCGTCACTCAGACTGTTGCTTTCCCGGAAAATACCTACGCTTCAACCACTCTTCGGACTTCTAGCGCTGCAGCCAGCACCACAGGCCCCAGCTCAAACAACAATGGAGGCACTAACGGCAGCCCATTCAGCTCCCAAGATGATGCCCCAAGCAGCGGTGCTGTCGTTCGCGTCAGTGCTTTCGGTGTTGCCATTGGAGTTTTTGCATTGATTGCCAACATTGCCTAAAAAAGACAAATAAATTCTTCTTATCTTACCTTTTCCTTCTTATTCCTTTCTTTACCATCCTGGTCTCGTGTACATTCAAACTTTCCTTCCACCTTTTCTATAATTATTAATCATTCGATTCAAGAAAAGAAAAACTCAACCCCTATCGCGGGAAAGAAGGAACCAAACAGTTCTCTTTTAAGGCAGTGTTAACGATCAGTCACGAAAGCATCCCACATCACATCACATCAACGATGAACAAATACCGTCCGTTCTAATACATCCCACCACCTCGGCGAGACCTCAATGTTGTCGGCTGAAACCCAATTTTCCTATGTAAATATCTTTTTCGACCTCGAACTAGAACCCCGTTGATAAATCCGGGATTCCTAGCATTGTTTTTTTGATACCATGTTTTGTATTTCTATTCCATACCCCTTTACCTTTATTTACTTGGATACTAGCGGTCTATCTTTTATTTTGACAGCTATAATTTTCCTTAATTTTTTTAACATGTTCTTTAGCTGCGTTTAGCACCTTTTGGTCGCTTATTTCTGGGGTACCCCTGAAGGATTTGGCTCCGCGGGATATAAGCAGTCGTAGTAGTAGTAGTATTTAAAAGATAGTGTCTGGAATATACAGGGCTGTCCAGGGACAGTGTTATCGATATATCGAATAGTTCAGGTGATAACCTAGCAAAACGTTATATTTTGCGTGTTGTAGGGGCTAGTTAGCGCTATTACAAAAGGACCGGGAATATATACTTAAGTATACATCAGGACCATCGACCAATGAGACCAATCAGGACATACATCGACCTTCAGAAGCTAAACATTTAAATCCAGTCTGCTATATTCAAAAGCATATGTCCTGGCTAGCCTAGCTAGGTTTCTGGGCCTTCCAATGTTCTAGAGTGATATATTAATATACTGTACGCTCCGCCTGCGGTGCGCACTTAGCGTATATGTATGCAGGCTTCCTAACGGTCCCAACAACCCCGTCGACCGTCTCCCTTGGCATATCAAAACTTCTATAATCCTCAAACCCAAACTTTCGACCAAAAAACTTACGATTCTCAACTTTTGTATCTCCATATACTTCCAGACTCGCCACGTCCGCTTGTTCGCATCCCCAGTTTACCAACATCGAACCTAAACCTTGACCCTTATACTCCGGGTGGAGGAAAAGACCACTGAATATTTCGAACTTACTCCAATGCGGTCTGTCCCCCATTGCCTCCGCTCTGGTACATCTTTGAGATACCGCCCCATAAGGCCTCTGTTAATCCTGCATCCCATTCTGGTGGAAAGTCTAGAAGATGGGTGTTTTGTGCACCATGTTGATTGGGTAATTGCCAGCGTGAGAAGACGACAATTTTTTTAGTACGTTTATGTATGACGACGTAGGTTTGGATTAGGTGTGGACTAAGGAATATACCCAAGGTCCAGACTTTGTTCCACCAGGATATGGTTGCTAAGGATGGGGATGATGAGGCGAGGGTTAAGGAGTTAAACTAGAAAGATGTGAGGTGAGGGCAGGAGCACCTAAAGCGGTCGCAGGCCGGACGGTAAAGTCTAGAAGAGGACTATGAAAAATTGTGGAATTATATCCGTAGATCTGGGTATTATGGAGAACTCGGTGGGTAGAATTCGAAGAGAGGGTGGCTTCACAGAAGATATTGTGCTTTGAAGTCTAGATTTTATAGCCCTTGGGGGATATTGGTACTGGCGTCCTGTAGGCATAATTTTGGAATTGATGGGGTAAAAGTCTCTGGCAACTGATAAAGTGCCTTCGTGACGGCATTTGTCGAAGAAACCCAATAAAATGTCTCGATTGGTGAGCCATTGCTGAGTGTACCTTATATGTGAGAGAACTAATTTTTAGCAATCTGGCTATAGATCTTTCTCTAATTATTAGGTAAAAGCAGAGAAATAATATATATAAAATCCATCAACAGCTCGCGAAATCGCTAAATTTATGTTATTTAAGACTTTGCAAAATTAGGCTGCAGACTGAGAACGAGCCCAGCTACAAGTGAGGAACGTATACGGCAAGGCTAACTCCCTAGATCCAAATATTTTATCCTTCCGAGTACGAGTCATGATCCCGATCGATATCATATCATGGAAGTCAAATTTATCACACTCTTTCAACTAAGTCACAATTTAGAAGCCACGGAGCTGTTCGAAGCATCGAATATTGCCCAAGCAGGTAACATTCGGTTAATCACCATGGCCATTTGCTAGCATTTATCTCTTATATACTTGGAAATAGCACTAAATTCAAGACGTGTTTTCGGAGTTCACGATCGCAGTCGGGTTGCAGATATATATGTACGTGTACCTGGTCCGAAGTTAATGCAGCTGCACGCCAGAACATTCGAAATCAGAAAAAAACATGTCGATGCGTCATATATACTCGCCTACTCAGAATTCAGCTACCTGGCAAACATTGATCAAGCGGTCTAGCAGAAAAGGCACTTGAAATTAATGATTAGGCATATATATTCAGCTCTCTGATAATTTACCCGGGATCGATAACTGCGTATGACGGCAATGAAATGAGCCAATATAAATCAATCCCTGTTATCTGCGTCTGGCGTGCGTATGACTGTAGTCAGTTTTGAGCTATACGACTTTAGTCGAAATCGAGAGACCTATTGGTGATTTGTATCAACCCGTTTGGGATTACATTTATGGCTAAGAAATATTAACTGCTATAGTCTATTTGATTAAGGCTAGCTGATTAAATGCGACTAACGATATATCCAATGCAATGCGCATGTGCCTAACATAGCTCACGCGTTTGAACGGAGGCCAGAGGATTCAGCATTTTCAACTTGTTTTAGTGAATTCAAAGGAAAATCAAAAACGAAGCCTAGGGTTCAACTATAAAGATATCGGGAAGGTCTCCTTGATCTCAATTGCATATTTGATCGAGTCCCTAAATATAAAATTATATTCCCTAGTCTCACATTACATCACATTTAAAGCCTATAACTTTGCCCTCATCTTTAACTTATCAATCTTATTGCTCTTTTATAGACAAAACCAGCCTATTGAGTTTAGCTACTTCCTGAAATTTGTCAAAACGTTGAGAATGTTGGCTGGTATTGCACGCCTAACGGCATTGGGGCTTTGTCGTAGCTTCTTACCCAGGGGATTCCAACGGCAAAATTCTTTTATCTTTACATTGAGGTAGGCTCGAAACTTTGCAGCTCTGTCATTGCATATAAGGTTTAGGGGACTGTGCTCAAGTATACGTGCTTATATATAATCAAATTGCAGCTATCCTCGACGCAACTTACATTTGTCAAAATGGCGAGCGGCTTCAGAAAATGCCATTAAGACACTTGGTTACGATATAAACATCCGTCACAACCCACCTCAAGGGTTCTTCATACGAGAAGCTACATTTGTCGATATTGAAGAAATCACTGATCTATGGTTCAAATCATTCAATGACCGAAGGTACATCTCATCCAAATTTTTTGATGTTGCTATGCCCGAAAGCCAAGCTACTCGTGACTTCTTGCGTGATCTGCTCTCGATGTCAATCCGGGTTGGTCCATCAAAACTGGTAACTCACGTCGTCGAAGACCTATCGAATGACGGCAAGATAGTTGCTTGTGGACAGTTTTCACCTCCACAACCGGATGGCCCAGTAGATTTACCCTTTCCACAGTTTCCGAAGGAGTGGGACCCTGAGATCGCAGATGCTCTCTGGGGTAAAAAGTCGGATTCTAGAGCTTTGTTATTGGGGAAACAACCGCATTGGTGTAAGTGAATAGCTCAGTGGTTTTTGAGCTTCAAACTAAAACCATACACCCATAGCTATATAGGGGGTATCATATATTAACGTATCTTTTAGGGGGGATATTTGTGTTAGTTGACACAGAATACCAACGAAAAGGTCTTGCATTCCCACTGATGGATTGGGCTTGTCATCAAGCGGACGCAACGGGTACGCCAATGTATGGTATTGGCACTCCGATGGGGTATCCTTACTGGAAAAAACACTTTGGGTTTCGAGAACGAAAGATGTTAGACTTTCCGGTACGTCCCGAAACATATGGGGTATACTACATGGTATCGATCGTCCGGCCTCCGAGGGTAGCTGGCACTAGCTCCATAGTTCAAGTTTGAAGTTGTCATATGTTGAATAGCATTTAATACTATCGATCCGGGAGAAATAATTGAGAAGCACTCTGGATGGTGCATTGATCGGCCCCATGTAGTTGGATTGAGATTCTTTTTACTTTCTATAGACAAGCAATCTAGCGACAAAATTTGGTATATATACCTTGTGGCCGATTTTCCCTTTAACCATATCTCTTAAAGACTATATTTCTAGCCTTAAAGACTTGCAAATCCTCCTCACTATGAAGTCTCAAAACTTCGGCTGTTATCCACTCCATCTTTACACCAAAATTGTGATGATCGCTGACCCATACATCGACCTCTGTACCGTCACTCTTATGTTCCTTAAAGCTTTCACATTTCTTGATGACAACAAGGAACGGCGACGAGGAATGATAATCGTTGCAGTTCCAGCTTGCCATGTACGCGCCGTCAATGTCGGCTCCTCCTTGGCATCTTCCTTCGACAACCGCAGTGTCGTACATTTTAACGGACCACCAGTCTGACATTTTTGGGAAGGGCCCTAGGACGCTGAGGAGTAGTGTCAGTTGGCTTAGGTACTTGAACACGGATATCGGGACCAGTGGGAGTTTAACGTTTATATGCTTAAGCTTACTAGTTCTGAAAGATTTCAGGACTCTTGACGTCTGATAAACTATACGAGGGATTCTTTGAAGTTGGAGGGATAAGGTTGAATATAGTTATAATGAGCTCTTGCTGGCTTATCAAGGTTGAAAGCAACAGTGAGATGAAGGGTCATTGGGAATCTTCATGGTCTGTTCAGTCCGGTATATATACACAACGGCAAGTAAAGCCCCTTGGGCCCATGCTACTTGTGTGCGGGGCTTCGTCTGGTCCACCCTGGATTAGCGTGTGGCGTGCATACGCAGGCCAGAATACCTTCTAGCCTACTAACTGCCACTAACCAGCTCAACCCCGTCTTTACACAGGAAACGATAGGTATCCACGACACTTCATATTGACTATGGACTTACTCATACCTACTATAATTAAAACAGCAACAACAACAATAATAAGAATAATATACTTATTCTTTTTTAGAGGTGGAGGATAGTAAAAGAGATCTGAGAGATTAAAATCATGGAACATGATAAACACGTGGCCCGGGTCGTTAGCCTTTATCTAAACGAAGCAGTTTGTGGCTTGGCTGCACTGTCGAGCAAAGCCCGCGGTGAAGTGGACATGTTGCATTTTTTGCGTTGATGGAAGCAAGTCTGTCCTTTCGTGGTAGTTAGATCCGTCCAGAGCTACCGCTGCTACCAGGTTCAGGTGCAAGCTACACTATCCTCGCGAGCCTTCAAATCCAAGGGCATTCACGAGCTCGACGACACTGTCTTGTGAGCTTGCGTACCAGGCTTTCCTTTTTACCAACAGCTCCCAATGACCTAATATCAACGATACAGAACATATTTCTGTCATTTTCAACTCTTCCGTGAACCCCTCACTATCCTTCCATGAAACTCGACGTTCTTTCGAATACCCTTGTCCTGCTGGGCATCATAGGCATTCCACCATGTCTGTGTATGCCGGAATCGCACATAAAGAACCTGCGCCACGAGGCAATGGAAATGTTTCACCATGGGTTCGAGTCGTATATGAACTTTGCCTATCCAGCCGATGAGGTTGTTATTTGCACTACGCCCTTGCTTTGTATCACCTCAAACTTTCTGCCGCTCTTCTGACATTCCAAGTATTTCTTCTCTAGTAGATTAGGCCGTTAAGTTGCATTGCACTGGATCGGGACCACGAACCTAATAACTCGGGCATGACGGATGTTCTCGGCAATTACTCTCTCACTGCTATAGATTCCCTTTCCGCCTTAGGTATCCTATCGGTTTCGTCGCCACGTTCTTATACCTGGTTTTGGGAGACGGTACAAAGAGTTTCGGGAACGTACTGGGGCTATGGATTCGACCGGGACTCTAAGGTGCAGGTGTTCGAGACGGTTATCCGTGGAGTTGGAGGATTGATATCGGGTCACCAGTTTGCCGTAGGAATGTTACCAATACCAGGGAAACCCGGATACAGCCACAAAGGATGGAAATACAATGATGAACTGTTGCATTTGGCACATGATCTCGCTACCAGGCTACTCCCCGCATTTACGACAGATACAGGACTACCATATCCAAGAGTTAATCTTAGGTACGGGTGTGTGAATTTTCGACCACCGCCAGTCGATACGGAACACGGAGAAAAGCCCGCAGATAAATGCCGGAAGGATGAAGAAGAGGCCGAAAAGGCCGGGTTCAAGCCGCTAAGAAACGAGCGGACGGAGACATGTGCAGCTGGAGCTGGAAGCTTAACCTTAGAACTCACCACGTTGACAAGGTTGCTCCAAAATTACAAAACCAACTTTCCGGAGAGGGTCGAAATCTTCTTGAGGACAACCCCGCACATGAAACACAGATGGGACGATGTTGAAATATTTGAACGGGTCTCACAGCAGGCATTCTGGGCAGTTTGGGAGAGGCGAAGTTCACTCGACCTCGTCGGAGGTGGCCTGGATGCTGTCACCGGGGCGTGGGAGCCGCAAAGCGGCTCACTAGCAGGCGTATGTTCATTATTCTTTCTGCTGGGTTTCTTCCGTTTTGTGTATTATTCCTGCTCTTCTCTGTTCACAATGTTTATTTTCATTCTTCTGAGGTTTCTGATACATAGTTCTTCCCAATATTCAGATTGGCGCTTCTACAGACTCCTTCTTCGAGTATGCTATGAAGACTTACATTCTTCTCTCGTCATCTCCTACAGTTTCTGACGCAAAGAACCCTAACCCGCGACTCCCCCATGAATACCTCGATGTTTTTGAAACGTCGGTTGCAGCCATCAACAAATACATGTTAGTTGAGTCGCCTGCATTCTTTTACCAGGGAGTGCATATGGCTACGGGTGAACCAATGGTTCAGTGGGTTGATAGCCTGAGCGCGTTTTGGCCCGGCCTGTTAGTCTTAGCTGGCGACGTAGCAACTGCTGAGAGAGCTTGTCTTTTGTAAGTTTTCAACTGCCTGTCATTTGGAGGCTTTCTATCTAATATCAATAATACAGTTATACGGCTCTCTGGCAAAGGTACCAGGCGTTACCCGAACGATATGTGCCTGCGAAACAGTCTATACAGCTTAACTGGTGGCCTGGTCGACCTGAATTCGCAGAAAGTGTTTACCACCTATATCGTGCGACAAAAGATGTCTGGTATCTTCGTGTTGGTGAAATGATACTGAGAGATATCCAACGACGGTGCTGGGGAAGGTGTGGCTGGGGCGGTTTAGAAGATGTGAAAAGTGGTAAAGTCTCGGATCGAATGGAGAGTTTTCTACTCAGCGAGACTGTGGCGTACTTGTATCTTCTTTTTGATGAGGGTAAGGGCAAATACATCTAGTTTTCGGTGCTTAAGTCAGTAATACTAACTTTGGTGATAGCTCATCCCTTGCACAAGGGCGACATACCCTGGGTTTTTACGACAGAAGGCCATCCTATAGTTATGCCAAAGGGCCGCACTCAAAAACAGAATGAGTTACTCTGGCGTAAAACTCGTTCAAAGACGGATAAGAAACCTCGCAAAAACGAGGAAACATGCGAAAACGTAAAAGTGTCGCATCCGAATGTGAAAGTTGGTGAACTATTCTCACGAACAGCTTCAAGAACAGACACTTTCCACTCCTACAACGCAGTCGGGTTGCACCTTCTTCCGGACAACGTCCCACGGGCACCAACTACACTGGTATTTTTGAACCGAGAAAATATCCCAGAGGAATTTGGGTATTTCAACGATAAGGACGAAGAAAACCCGTATAGGTACATAACTCCGTATTCGCCGACGAATGGAAGCTTCTACCCTTGGACTTTGCCACCACAACTCATTGAACCATCATCATATTGCGCGAAGTTGCCTGGTGAAAATAAGATTGATTTGGTGTTCTCGGTTATACCGGTGAAGATTGGTGAAATACCACCGCCATCTTGGATTGACATTAAGGGTGGAGTCTTGATCAACTCTTTGAGCGGACTACGAATCGGCTTCTCAAGGGAACTCGTCGAAGGAAGAATTGAATACTTCATCACAAAAATAGGTGACCGACTGATTAGACAGGATGAAGTTGTAGTGATCGAAAAAATCAATATAGACTCTTTGCAGGTTGATGGTCAAGCTAGGTTCCGAACTTCAAAGGATGAAGGTTACGAGGTAATCTTTGACTTCGAGACAGAACAGAAGCCGCCGACGCCGACGCCGACACCCACAACTGCGAAGGAAGGGTTAAAGGATAAGAAAGTCGAAATAAAAATGGATGGCAAAGACCTCGACGGCGACATCTTAAAACGTGTTGAAGAGATTCTCTGGGATAGTTTTAAAAATCAAATTCACGAAAAAGCGCCCGCTGCCCCGAGGAGGACTCTCACCCCGAAACTGACATCAAAAGGAAAAGCCGTCATCCGTCGGCACCTCCACGCCATCCTGTCTTCAGGCATAGGGGCTCAAGAAGTACCACCTCTCACGCTCAAAACCCACGCTTTCCTCAAATCAATGGAATACACACCTTCTCCAACACTGCCTTGGCGTTCGGTGTATGTTGCAGGGCTAGGTTGTGACTATCCACTCCCTTCTATTGCAGCCACATACCCGATCATTCTTTTCAAACGCGGTAAATGCCCGTTTTCACAGAAGATGAATAACCTTCCTACGTCAAGTGGAATCAAACTCGCAATTGTTGTCAACTTTGATGATACTGTGGTTTCGCATAAACTCTATGAAGAAGTGGTAGACCTTGACAACGGAGGCGGGGTGAATGATTGGGCTGGGTTGAGGGACGATTATTTGATCCGGCCACTACTGGATAAGTACCAGGTAGACTCGAGAAATGGACAGAGGAGGAAGAACCCGATTCCTTTGGTGTTTGTTGGGGGCGGGGAAGCTACTTACGCAGCATTAAGAGAAGCTAGAGGAGTCGGGCTGAGGGAAAGGTGGAAGGTGAGTTTGGATGGTATAGTGGTAGGTAACTTTGTCCCTGTAGTTTAGAAACTCCTAGAGCTATTTTTTGGGTGTAATGTGTAGGGGTATTACCAAACCGGGGGGGCTACATGTGGAGGTTTAGCCATATTTATGATATGATAAAGATAATTGAGGATTTTAGATACGAGGCTTTAGAGTTGTGTATATATGTTTTGCATTAATGCATTGCCTTCTTGTTCCTTTGGTTTTGATATGATAGCGTAGAGTCTGAGCATATCATGATTTCCATTTGTTAACTACATCCTCTTTTAGGAGGAATTATTTATTTGTACTAAATACTACGATTTATGACTGTAGAAATTAAAATAAAGCGCCCGCTAGCAAATAAATGGATACATATGACAATCCATCATGTATATAAACAAAACAAGCTAACCTCAGAAGTGCCTCCCAGCTCCATAGGTACGTGTGCAAATATCATGAAAAAGTGGCTACAGAGAAGAAACTACTCAATTCGCGGGTTGAACCCAAGAACGAAACAATACACACTTGGTCGGCCAGCAAAGAAATTGAAGAAAGAAAGAAAAAAAGAAAAAGTATAGACAGCGCTAGATCGATCGATTTGGCCGTCGATCATGCCGGTAAATCGTGTACTTAGAAGGGTATATGTGCAACAAAAAAAGGTATAACATGGACAATTAAATGAATAAATTAAAGCAGGTACAAGAACTTCGTATTAGAGAGTTATGTGTTTGCCCTCTCACAATAATATAATTTAAAATAAGAAAGAAAAAAGGTGAGGGAAGGCTCGCGGTATCCGAACAGAAAAAGGGTCGTTATTGAGGTTTACTTAAACAAATTCGTTAGGTGAGGAGTTGCTATGCATGAGGAAATGGAAAATTGAAGGTCGGTCTTGAAAAAACTGGGATATAGTGGGGAGAGAAAGCATCAATAGCCGTCACCAACGGGAGGAGAACGTCGTGGATAATTTCGTTGATACTGCAGGTTCGAATGTTCTCTGTCCATTGGTTCGGCAGCGGGCCCGGGGCCCCCAAATCTCATGTAGGCAAATGCTTCGTCATACCTATCTTGATTGCTTCCATGGGGAGAATCCCCCCGCACTGATTCGTCATCGTAAGGATCTCTCTCTCTTGAGCTGTACCTTGCGAAGTCCATCCCGTTGTATCGTTCACTTTCCTCCTCTAGTCGGTCCCCCAAGAATTCGAGGTGGTTGGGCGGGGGCGCTAAATGTGAGGGACGTGGTCCACGGGGACGACCCATTCGTTCTTCGGGGTGTAGTGGATGATGGGGGGACCGAGATGTAGGGTTTCTTCCCCTTTGTATATTGACATTACTTTCTGGCTGAACGGGAGTTGAGTCTATTCGTATCCCCTGGCTGCTGGGGTCCAAATGGGCTCTTCTGAGTTCATGTATCTCGCTGCCAACCGGTGATTGTCGAGTCCTCTGAAGAACGATTCGACCATCTCGACGGCCTCGAGAGTTCCCCATATCGTTACGGCTGCACGATGGGGCTGGGGGTTGTCTCCCCCTAGATTGGATATCACCGTCCTCGCTTTCATGTTCGCTGTGGGGAGCGTCCTCCAGATCAGAGTCATATCCTCTGAACACCTGTCCTTGCAGATAGTTGGCCCGAGAACCATTTGGATTTGCTGAATTTCGAAAATTTGCGTATACGACCTGTAAATTGAGATCTTGAAGGCCGAGGCCTTGTAGATCATCCTGGGTCTCGTCTTCCATATCTGATATTAACCAATGAGTGGTATGGTTGGCGAAGCTCATAAAATCTCTATCCAGAGGCTCCAATTGGTTCTCAAGTACCCAGGAAGGGACTCCGGTCCCCGTAGCAAGACAGAATAGTAGTGAACGTGTGGTCCTCCCACCAAGTCGGACATTCCGTCCACCGAGTATCGCAACAGTCAGTAACTGTCCAGCGTGGAACTGTGTACCCAAGCTCCCAATTCCCTTCTGTGATCCCCGTATCTCAGAACCCTTGAACTTGTAATTCGCGTGAAGTCGAATTTTAGTTAAGGGAACACTTAAAGGTTCACCGGTTCGTAAGTTGAAGACGTTAACTTTTCTTATTCCTTCAACATCCCGTTGGCCAGAATTTGTCAAATTAAAGTCGGGGCGTAATAAAAATGGGTCGCCGTAGTGGAATTGCCATCGAGGTTCATAGAGATTCGCAGGAGGGAACTCTTCGATATTCGAATGGTGGTGGTTAACATTCGACGTTTTAATGGGTTTGGTGGTCCCATACTCTTTAAAAACGCCATGGATTCGAAATTGTTGTATTCCTTCAGCTGGCGTTACACGATCCAGGCACAGGTTCCCGACCTCTCCTGTCCTCTCGTTTATGCCCACGGGACAGTCATAGCACATATTATCCAGGGGGACAAGGATTCTATCATGCCGTTGGAACCTTAAAGGGTGCTGAAAATAAGACGGATCTTGGATGAAAGTCGCCCGGTGTTTGCTGACCCTCTTCACACTGTCGAAGTTCTCCTGTGCAATGAAGACTCGGAAACGCATCACAGCTTTAGCATCCAAATCCATGACAAGGTCTTACAATCCCCTTTTTCTGTTTTGAGGCTTTTAAGGCAGCCTCCGCCAGAAAAAGGGAAAAGTTTTCCGGCAGCTCTGCCTATCAAGGGGAAGACAGATGTACCGCTCTGCAGGTAAGGAATGTGGGCTTTGATTTAGCTGGAAACCTTGTCCGTGAAACTGTTTTACCAGTTAGGAGAACCAGCTCGCTTCAAATACTTTGGGGGATTGGGGCCAAATATGTGATTAGAACTCAAGAACAGAATGAACTGCAGCCGGGGCCACAAATGGGGTTTTCCGATGCTGTCGGGAACCTCGAATTCGAAGGCTAGTTGGAGTACTGACTAGCTTTCATGATCAATACGATTACGGTGCAATATAATGTAAGATGTGATATATGGCACCTCGATGCGCTTGTGTTGGCTGCTGTCTGGATGGAACTGGAGATAAAATTACCACATCTGTCAATAAAACGGCTTGATTAATCGATTAACTCGTTCCCGTACTTTCTTTCCGAGGTTGAAATCGATATCTTCAAATTTTGCTTGAAGGGATCTTCGACTGTGCCTTTATATACAGTCGAAGACGCTGGAAACTGGAAGACCCGAGGAAACTAGGAAGACGGCCCTCATCAAATTACAACTCTGTCAGGGCTTGTCCTGGCATGACCGATTGAATTCAAATGCCAGAAGTCCTTCAATACCCCGTGATGATGCAACCTTACATCCTTCAGAAAAGAACCGGCATGCACATTCACTCTCGGATCGTCGATTTCCCATTTACCCTGTTCGAAGCTACTGAACTATGTATGCGTTCATGAACTGGGCTCATGGGGGCGGCTAAGGATTCCTACAACAGGGGTGACGTTGATAGAAACGCACAGATCGATTTGTAACGACATCTACAAGCCAAGGGCTTCCTTCGCACGATTTGCAAGTTTAACCTGATTGAATTCTTGCATCCGTCTCGTCCTGTCATATTTCGAAGGAAAGGGACGCAGAATTGAGCTCTTTTTGTTTCGAGACCTGCAGTTTGCCGCGCTAATGCGATATAGGATATGGAAAACAAGGAAGGGAAGCACTCTTAAAATCAGTCTATATAGGCAACTATAGAGCTCGAAAGACATCATTAAATATCAGTCCTTTAAACCCGCAAGCCAAAAGGAAACCATATGTGAGGTATGCACTGTGTTCTGGTTAGGCAAAAGGCTGCTATGTCTGGTTTCATTTTTGTGGCTTCGAATCAAGAGGGATATAATTAATTCCACATGAGCAGTTGAGTGCTAGGTTGCCGATTTTTCGTTTGCCGATTTTTTATTTTTTTTTGGCGTGGTCAGGCCCACGAGGGTCTGGATCGGTCTGATCAGGATCAAATGCAGTGCACTGTCATGCGAGATTGGCTGCCGGCCCTTGTGAGAGCAGACCGCCAACCGAAAAAGTGTGTAGCAATTGGGGAAACCGACAATGAAAAGAGCACCGTCCATGACTTAATTAACTCTAAGGCCAGCGAGTTGACAAGGTTCGTATGTACTGTGTATGTATGTATGTACTATACGTACAGTCAGGTATCCATGCGCATGCGATGTAAGATGTAAGATGTTGGATTTTTACAAGCCCCGAATCTAATAATACGAAAAGTTGTACTATATTAGCTCGGGCGCTCAACGATCATATCACATTTTTTTGGGCTCTCCGTTAGCCTGGAAGTTTAAAATAACGCCAGCGTCCACAGTATGTCCTCCCGCAGGAATGCACTAAAGCAAAGCTAGTTATCGTCCATTGAGGACAAGTCCATCGATAGAAGTTAACTCCAACGGGCAGACCAAGCCCGTCCAGTTATCCACTCGAGCGGGCGGGTAGAATAATGTCTCGCGGTCATGCGCAAGCTCCGGAACAGATTCCGTGACTAGGGCATGCATTGACCGGCGGAGTTGGAGCATATTGCAAAATATGGCCAACAGCAACTGCTCCGCGGTTGACAACTAGCGGGGACGGGACAAGGTCTAGACAAAACCTGCAAGAGCCTACGATCCCTTTCCTGTCTTGGAACACCTGGTTCGGATGGGATAGATAGTATATGCATGACTCCATGCATAACTCTGCAAGGCAAACCAGTCGTAAACTCCACGATGTCCGTAACGTTGACAGTTTACTGGTTGACCAGAAGAAGCGAATGCGATAATTGCTACACAGCAGCTCTTAGCTATCGCTAGACTTTCCCTTTACTCTTTGCCACCTGAAGTTTCCGGGTAACGACCGATATCTAAACCAGGTAAACGCAGAATATTAAAGTTCCCCTCGGAGCTCTTTGCACACACTGCATTTTCTATTGTTGAAATGTATGTACGTGCGGAATTTGGGTATGGGGTCGAAAGTGTGGATGGTACAGGGTCGTAGGCCAGATTTGGGCCGCCCGTACGAGCCAACCATGCACCGTCTCGCCTAAACTTGATCCCAGACCAAGGCAAGATTTAGATCTTGCAGGAATTGGCATTAGTTAGCGTTAGCAAAATGCGAGCGTGTTAACCATGCGGTGGTACCGGAATCCTATCCTCACATGGCAATTCTTAGCTAGATCAGCTAGCAGCAACGTTTATGTTAGTCAATCAATCAAGGGACTATTTCTGTCGACTAGCCGCTGTCACAAAATGAAAAATGAGACGTATCAGCGCCAAGAAGCTTGAAAAAAGGTGTGAGTGTGAGGGTGAGTCTGAGTGGGAGTGTGAGAGATATGTATATTTCAAAACAGAACAGTAGTAAGAAGTATGTACTGGTCTCGCAAATCGAAGTTCTTGAGACGATAAAACGTTAGGCGTATATGTATAATTTACAGGTCCCTTTCTACAACACACCATGGCCAATTCTTGCGAAAGTACCAAAGATTCAACCCTCTCCCCCCGCGGAATATCAATGCACATAAGACTAATTGTCAAGATCGAGCCCCACATTCTTGCATGAATGAGTGCTGAGGGGGAAAGAGTTATCAAATACTTGCACGGTCAGAAAACCACCAGGGACACCTCGTCGATAATGTGAAATGCTTTGTATCTATGCCGAGGCTGATAGGATCTTCGATCCTTCGGGCGTCCTCGGTGGCGGCACCAGGTCGTTTATTTGAGCTTCGCCCAGAGCTTTGGAGCGACGCAGTCTCCCTGCATAAAATCAATGCATGTTAGATCTGAAACCCATCCCATGGGACCATAAAGCTCCACCGATCCCGATACCAAATTACAATACACCCACCCGAAATCCCATCTGCATAAACATGCCAAACGGGCGGGCAGTGGGTGAGGAGAAGGAGGACATGGTACTTACTGTGCAGTGCATCAGGTGGAAGTACTCTTCAACGCAGCTCTCTCTTTTGCCCTCCCTTTCCCCTTCCTCAGCATCGTCCCACTTCTGTACGCGTTCGGCACACTCATCGTAATGATGCTTGTAGGGTGCGCATTTCTTGGAGTTTTGGCATTCTAGAAAATAAAGAGCGTTCGTATTAGTAAAAGATTGGATGAAATGTGCCACACCATGCTTCACACTGCCACCGGAATCCTCGCCGAGAGACAGCCATCCACCAGATGAACCCACTTCCCTTGCCGAGGGGGTAAATCATGCCCCTTCCTTGATACCATACATATATATAGTGCGTACATCGACCGATCGATTGCATTCCGATTCAGCGATAGGTGCCCGCACTGACCAGGCTACCATACACCTTGATTGGGATAAAAAACCAATCCTTACCTTCTTGCAACTGTGGCAGAATATCCTCGGGTTCTTCCTCTTCCTCCTCTTCCTCGGCAGCGGCTTCTTCCTTCTCTTCTTCCTTTTCTTCGGAAGCTTCCTCCTTCTCTTCAGCGGGTGGAGCTTCGGCCTTAGCCTCGGCTACGGTGAACGACTCGTAGATGTCGGAGAGGAACTGCGAGAGTGTCATCTTGAAAGGACTCTGTGGAGTAGCAATCGGGTGAGGTCAATTGCGAGAAAAGAAGAAGATGCGAAAGGTGTAAGGTGGGGTTGGTGGTATGAGGTTGAGGTGAAGTTCTGTCGTTGTCTTTGAGAAATTTCGGAACTTCCGTCATTCCAGTTCGCTAACGGAAAATCGCGGTCTTTTGATTGGCTGGATTGGGAAATACTCGTGAACAACACAACAACGCATAATAATACAACAAAGGGAACCTCTCTGCAAGATCAACTTGGATTTATATATGTCGGTATTCAAATAAAGTATTTATTGATCTGGCTAACCAAGTAGATTAAGCGGAAATGATATAATAGCGTCTATTCAGCAGCAAAAGAGTCTAACGCAAGCTTATATGACTAAAGGAGAACTATTTACATAAAATACCGCTTGATATCTAGTGAACGTAAGGCCGGGCGCGCAGTGATATATGTACTATTTTGTCGGCACCCGTCTTGAAAACTAGACTAACCATATTAACAATTGATAAGCTACTTCCGGCATTAAGGTCAGAATATTTTAAGTTTAAAGAAAGAGGGTGATAGGCCGATTCCGTCCGTCTCCGAGATGAAGTATAGGTATCGTGTACTTGAGAATTTGCAAAGGCAACTTTAATTCTGGCCAACCATAGCTTCGAAAAAGGATTAAACTTCTACGTATAAACGGCGTAACATAAATGCATTTATGTTGCTCTCATGCTTAGCCCTTAATCATGCTACACTACACGGTACTCGATCTAACTTATTCTAATGTCGATGGTGGGTCTCGTTTTACGGTCACGAAGTCACTAGCAGAAAACTTTGAGATTTTATGGCATCAAAGCAAGGAAAGCTTCAAAGGAGGAAGGGCACTTTGATAAATTTGTAGTCGTTATTAAATTGTATTATGATCATTACTATCTGCCGAGTATATAAGTTGTAAAGAGCCCATAGTATATATATCCTCCAAAACTCCTTCCCAAGCAACAAAAGGCAACCTAGATATTTACAAAGCAAAAGAAATGGGTATTAAAAAGGGGAAAAATAGCTCAGCAATTAACATAACTCCGGGAGAATTAAGAAGCATTATCCAAGCATAAAACCCTTAACAAAATAACTTATATATCTTCTTCCAAGTAGGCCACGACGCTCTTTCTTCCCGCTCGTCAGCAAGTAAAGCAGCGAGATCTAACTCCCTTCGTCCGGTAACAAGATCAATCTCTTCCAACTTGACCCACTTCGTTCGAAACCAGATCTTATACGACGCGTAACATAGTAAAACCACGGGAACACACAGATAAGTCGAAAAAAAGCTTTCTGCGCTCGCCTTCTTGCCCAGGGGGGATATCGAAATCCACAATTGCGTGCACAATACCAGCACATTCAAAACAACGCCACAATAAGATCCAAAGACACCCGCTTGTGAGGTGAACGCAAGCTCTTTGATGCTATGTCCGTGGAGCCTCCACGCTTTCCTAAATCGAATATGACAAACGCAGATGGAAGTCCATGTGAATATCACGGACAGCCCACAAACTGCCAATAGCCACTTAAAGATATAGTTCTGAATCTTAGGCGAGGCAATGCCGATATAACTCAAGAGGCCAAATACTGCGGCAAGCGCAATACCCGCCATAGGTCTACCCTTTCGATCGATGTATGCGAATACCTTGGGTGCTTGGCCTTGCTCGGCAAGAGAAACGAGGGTACGAGAGGCGCCGAATACTGCAGAATTTCCGACACTAAGAACCGCAACCATGATGACAACGTTCATGATATCTGGGAGAACCGTGATGCCTGCATTGAGGATTGCGATGACAAAGGGAGAAGCGCGGGCGTCGACGTTACTAGTACCGAGAAGACGAGGATCGTCATATGGGACGATAACACCAACAAGGGTGAGGGAGACAAGGTAGAACTAAAACCAGTAAGTATACTAATAAAAAAAGGCTAGTTGGCCAGGATTACTCACGAGAGTTATACGCCAGAAGACTTGTTTGACTGCTTTTGGTAAAGACTTTCTTGGATTCGCTGTCTCCGCCGCGGCCATGCCTACGAGTTCTGTGCCAGAAAACGAAAAGGCGGCATTTGCGAAAACACTACAAAGTCCTTTGAAGCCGTTTGCAAAAGCGCCAGGTACGTGCCAGAAGCTGCCTCCAATATAGGATCCACCAGGCCCACCGGCAATGTTCAGAATGACGCCTAGAATTCTAAATTTCACATTAGATTTATCGTCACCAAAATGGTCTTTGGGGGATCGAGTGTTTCGTACATAAACGAAATAACGGCGACAACTTTGACTATGGAGAAGACAAATTCACCTTCTCCATAGCCTTTGACGCCGAAGAGGTTAAGTCCGATAATGATAACGAAAAATAACGTCACCCAGACGGCGATAGGTATACTCGTTCCCCAATAATCCAACGCCAGTGTCGCGGCAATAACTTCGAGGGGTATTGTTACCAGCCAGGTAATCGCATAATTCCATCCTATTAAGAAAAGTTAGTATAATTCAGTAAGCTCCAGGGATAAATTCGGAGAGGGATACACATACCCATAGCGAATCCCCACGCAGGGTCCAAGAATCTCGAACTATAAACCGCAAATGACCCTGCTACCGGGAATACAATGCTCAACTCCCCCAGAGCATGAATAGTACAGTAAAGCATACTTCCTATCAGTAAATACGCTAATAGCAGCGCACCGGGTCCACCTGTCGCTAAAGCGACGCCACTTCCAACAAACAACCCACTGCCGATGGAACCACCAATAGCAATCATTTGCAAATGCCTTCCCTTCAGCTTCCTCGCGAGCGGTGACCCCGCGACATTGAAATTTGCAGCTTCGACATCATATCCACCACCCAATTTGCGAATTGTGCTATTCTCCCGGTCGTATAATGAAGGATGTGGGAGAAAGCTATCGGCAATTCGTGCGAAGATGTTCCGTCGAGGCGGCGAAAGAGCCTGTTTACGGGGAGGACATGCTGTAGTCGGAGAGACCGATTCGACATCGTATGTGGGGGAATGGACCGACTCAGCCATTGTGCTGATGCTGAGTTTCTTTATAGACATCGTTTAGATGTTATATGGCAGGAAAATTCTTGATGTATTTACCGCAGAACCGTACTGAGGTGTAGAGGCCGACAAGCCGCGGCGTGTTTGGATCCCAAAGGCCCCGTCAATTATTGGAGTAGATAATTCTAATTTCTGATTCAGAGCACCGGATAGTGTATCGGATACAGTTTGTTGGGTCATAAAAGTACCAGAGCCATGACCTCAAAAGACAACTGAAAAATGAAAACCAGATAAGTCAGGAACCGGGGTGAGGAATGTCTTGATATCTTATAATTCCATGTGGGTGACGATCCGCTCTATAAAGAAACACTAAAACAGCATAAGAAGAAAAAGCTCACGTTATCGAAAGGCGAAGGGGGGAAATGGACGATATCAAACGAGAGGTGCAGGAACATGGGGATATGAGTATCATATCATCTTCAATCTTAATCACACCTCGTACCTGGATAACCTCACCCTATCGAAGAGTCGGGATTCATGGGTTTGGGATCATGGATAGTACCAGATACGGATGGTCTATCCGTTGTTATATGAGATGCATGTCGCAGCTTGGAACCGGTGGGGTGGAGCTGCTTTGCGAACCGCATGGCAAAAGAGAGACAAGGCTAGGGTTCTTGTGCGCATCGATCATATGAACGAAGGACGAAAATAACAAATGGGGGAAAGCTCCCTGTTTCGACACCCACAGAACCGTCGAAAGGCATTTCTGTGGAGTAATTTCAAGAGTCGTGGTTGACAGCTGTGCAGCACAGGTTCGAACCGCTGGTAAACGGGCGTGAGGTCCAGCCAACCATTGCGTGAAGGCCAATGACAAACTGGGTCTGGGGCGTTATGTCTCGGAGGCCTTAAGCCCTGTCCTTGTGCGCCATGCTTTTTTTGGCATGGTCTAAAATCGCCATTGCGACCATTTCATCATGATATGAGTTCAAGGCGGCACCGCCATTGGCCTCTGCCTTAGCTCTCTATTTTGCCATGATGCTTGGTTATCAAGATTCAATCGCATGGCATATGGAGGTAGCCGAGGGGGAAGTTGAATCGAGGTCCCAATTCGAACAAGCCATAACGATAAGTAAAGTATTGATTCATAAATTGATTCCCGAATCAATTCATATCGACTTGCAATATCTGCTGGGGGTACTTGGGATAATATTGGGATACCGCCGACCAGTGCAGATTTCGTCCTTCAGGCTCCAAATGTGGCAGCTAACTAAGTAATTACTCTGTATTTTCTTAGTTAATTAGCAAAATACTTCCCACGACCCATTTAGTTAGCTTGGGCAATTAGCTATGTCGCCATATCCCGCTGTTGGAGTCCCGAGGATCTGAACGGCATTAGATTTGCTGGGTTCAGTTGTGAGTTTCCCGACTGAGAATGGACAATTTCGAGGGTTGTAACATGTATTCGGTCGAAGGTTCTATGCATGGCTAATATTAATTCCCAAACATCATAAAAAACATGCATACAGAATAAAGGTTTCGACGTCGAAAGGGAGGTTCGTCACACAAAATGCACATCCAGACATCCATCCCACGTATCGATATTATCGGCCAAACGGTTCGACTGAGACATATGGTTCACAGGCAGCCAAAGTGGCGCATCTTGGCCGTATATTGCGTTCACAACCTCCACGCCCTCCCGCTCCAATATCTGCACTATCGTCTGAGCATCTGTACCGTCTGCGTCCGTGCCATAAAGAAGACGTAGTAACCCACACAAACTTGATACAGAGTATGCAAAGTCGGGAACTTCCATGCACTTATCATATCTACAGATCGTTCTCGCGAATGTTTTTTTCATGGTCGAATAGGAGGGTCTATATACTCCCGAAGGGTGGAGAACACGGGATTTGAATGCCGTGCTTCATGTTTTCTCCCACGATTACCTTGTTGAGGTTAGCCGAAGCCCTCTATGCACATACCGAACATTCCCATTCGTCTGGTAGATATTTTTGATCTAGCTGCCCAGCGCTGCGGAATTATTCAGCGGTTTGAAGCGGGACTTGTGTATAACGAAGCCGAGTTATGACATCGAACTGAAGTTCTAGTGTACTAGTATCTGCAAGGTCCCGTCTGCGACAGCTATCTTCGAAGATTTCGGCGTCGACTCCAAGAAGAATTAAATATGCCCGACAAGATGCTCGCCAGATAATTGTATAAGCAGTGTAGCTTTTCCACAAATGTTGAACATGGCTTCAACTCTAATCCTAGCGGCAAGTTTATCGACCTACTGAATCAGGCGATACCCCGAAGTCTGACCATGTAATCCATCTTATTCTTGAAAACCCCTCATAGGAAACAAATAAAACCTGATCAGCTCAAAATCGAAAAACGAAACATCCCACATGTTAAATATACCAGGGCAACACCTCGCCTAAACGAAGGGGCAAAACACCGACTCGGAAAGAACTTCTTAAGAAGGCTGCCTCGAGTCTCCTGAGATTGCTCTTTCTCTGGGGACCCGGGCACTCGGGTGACACGGAAAAGAGAGCAAGAATCCACCAACGCACCGTATATTCTTGCTCTCTTTTCCGTGTCACCCGAGTGCCGGGATACCGGCACATCTATGTACGTTTCCGCACTCGAAATCTTGAGGTAATCGAAACGATGGTCTAGCTTAATCTCTCTTTTCCAAAAGAAGATTTGGAAGTGTGAACACCGGTATGCGTATGTAACTTGGAGGGTAGATGTTGAAGGGTTCGAAGGCTATCGCCGAATCAATAGGAAAAACAAGCGAGGTCGAAAGCGAAAGTCATGCGAGTATATACAGTCCGATCCAGTGCAGGGCCGATGGCGCGACCCACCACCAAACCTAGGCTTCTAGGAAAGGCTGCAAGGAAGGCAGCTGCACTAGGGTCCCGATATAATAGCTTAGGCATCAAAGCTAAGTATAAAGTGGTCGCGCGACCATTTGCCTCGCCGAAGTCGTCGTTTTAATCGATTTCACATGCGCTTGCGCGCACAAAGACTACAGATATGACAGGGCGCAAAATACGATGTATTTCCTTGCTATCATGACCTTTCTCGATATCTAGTTATTTCCTGACCTAGTGATTTCAGCTTAGCTGATCGATGCGAAGTACGCCCAGATTATTAATTTTTGTACTTACTAACTAAAGTTTTTTCGATTTCTATATCGCTACTATATACTTAGGTACTTGTGTATGCATGTACAAACTAGGTAAGACTACTAACTTAATTCTTCAAATAAATATTAATCCCTAACTGAATAGCTAGCTTGGAAATTATTGGTTAGATATTAAGGGTACTTGTAAAATAGTGCCCTACGTATACGTAGTCGCCAATGGCCTGTTTATACACAGTGCATACAGCAGATATCGATTGATTCATCTAACCATGGAAACCCGCAACTACACTGATATAACAGGCAACGTCCAAAGTATATATCAGAGAAAACATACAACAGAGCAACGAAGGAGCTGGCCTTGAAGGGACAATACTCTGCTGGTAGATCTATAGAGCTATCTAGCTTAACGTTAAAATATTAAATTGAATTACCGAACCATACCACATAATATTATAGATAGCAGATATCAGTATTTTGCAGCCGCAGTTTAGTATATTCCAACATGGAACACAAAAATTGAACCCTCGAATCTAAACTCAGGCACACATAGTTGGAAAGATATAGATGCTTGACACTCCAACGTATCTGATTTGTTTGCTTAGCTTACCCTCACGTGGAGGCCCAAATCGTATTATTTTAACCAAAATTAGAAAACTAGGTGGCAAGAACATGGCTAGTATCTAGTTTCTCTTCATCCTTGGCTTCTCCGTCTCGAGATCTCCTTCGTTGACTCTATATAAGCTTTATTGCGTCGACCAAGGTCTCGTTTAGCACTACCGGACCCGCCGCCGCCACTACCACTACCACTACCACTACCACTACCACCACTACCCTCACCGAACCCGTATCCATACCCATGAGGGCCATGACCATACCCATATTCGTATTCCAACCCTGGCGGAACATCAAACATATCTTGGTCCCCCATACCGGTAAAATCTAGGAAATCGTCCAAGTCGAAATCCAAGTTAACCGGATTCGCTTGGGGGCCATACAGACGAATAGGCGGTGGGTTAGGATCGTTTGGATCATGATCGGCCCAAAGGCTACGGTCAACGTCAAAGTAAGGCTCGAGTGGTTCTGAATTCTCTAAGGGCAACGATGGAGGGTCCCACAGCGGCGTAGTGAACCTTAGTATCTGTCCTTCGTATTCTGCCATGGAAGAGGGGACCTCCCAAATCCAGTCGTCGCCTGCCCTCTCCCGAATATACCTCGGTATTCGATTGATTGCGTCTTGGAAGTAACGAAGGGGCACACTTCGGTAGGTCGCATTTAATGTTGGTTGAATCAATGGTACTGTGCACGCACACTCTACATGCAGGGGTATGCACATCGAGGTTAGTAAATACGTCTCTTTGATTTTGTGCATATATATTTTATTGTTTCTCCCATCTGGTGCTCTCCGGGAAGGGTCCTTTAACCTTGATAGCATCCCGTTGCCCTTTAAATTTGTGATGTCTGGGAACGAGACTAACAACATCTAGGGTTTCTTAAAATTGAACTTACGGAAATAAGCTTCGCACTTGAGTGCAATCATACGGTTCGAACAAGGGTTATTAATTAGTAGGGCATTTGTTTCATGCACGAGCCGGGCCGTCTCGGGGTTACACCGGCACGCGAAGCAACGTTTCTGCAGGTTTTTGACATATCGCTTTGCTTTCCCTGCGGTGGGTTTATCCTCTATGACCTTTTCCCATACATCAAGCTGGCGATTCCATTCTTCCGCGGTTATGCCAGTACCTCCAAGATCAGGAAGCGGATAACGCCTAGTCCGCCCCACATAGTCTCTAATAATGGCCATGATATCCTTCTGGTTAGGACACTCAACGGACATTTGCCCTTGTTGATAAAATAAACTAGGTGATATGAACTCTGCTTTCTTAATAATTCTAGGAGCATTCGGTGTTTCAGCTGCGGTACCGGTAGGTTTGAACGTAGGCGAAGGCGGAAGTTTTGGTGAATTCATAGAAGGTGAATGCGACACTGTGGTATTGATATCATCGTTTGATCTTATCAAATTGGCAGAGTTAACGGAACGTGTGCCATTACCAAGCGGCGTGGAATACGCTCCATTAAAAAGGCAAAGGAAAAGCGCCAAAAATTTGAATATCTTTGGGGCCGGTGGAATTAATGCATTCATTCTGGGTTGATAAAGTACCGTGTTTCACCTCGAGCCTCTCGAGAGGCGCTGGGCCGCTATATGGGTATTTATTTACTACTTTTAATCTTAAGCTTAAAGTTTATATATGTATGAAAGAGAATAGATCGAAGAATTTAGGATACAAAAGACAGGAGAATCGATTTACTTCAACCCATAGGGCCTTGTCCGGTGGAAATCTGGAATTTCAAATAAGCCTAGGGTTTAGATGGTTGATATGTACATGAAGCTGGAGGAAATCGCGGGGTAGCCTGATCTTAATATATAGCTTTCCATTCCGTTCGACGTTCGGGTTAGATCTATAGAGACAAGAACCATATACTCGGAGACAAGAAACAAGCGGCATAATTTCGTAGACTTTGAAACTGATGTTGTGTCCATACTCGAATATGGTTACTTGCAAAAATACCCCGCTGTCTAACCAACTGGTTATGGAATTAATTGGAGATACTTGGAACAAAGATATTAATCGCGCATATACCTAGTTTCTTTAAATAATTCTATTTGGTTGGAAGCCAAACGGTTTGGAATAGAAGGGTTGTCGTTGTATGTTGAACGGAGTCCCCAGTACCCATACATATAATAGTTGGGAAGTCTGGCGACGAGACAATCCCGTCCCTCATTACTACTAACACTTCGAGGCCACGATAACAAGCTAGTTACCTAGGTATATATAGCGCTAGCCCACTGCACCGCGCCGGGAAAGTGATATTTCAAATATCGCCCGAGATCGAATTCCTAACGGGGATGCTGCAATACTGTATAGAGACGAACAACATCGCTTTTGCATTAATACCGTCTTTATTATTAGACTAAAAGCCTGCTACTGCTCACACCCGCGGTGAGATACCTCATATGATCATAGATCTTTCTTCTCTTCATTGAGTTTCTTGTTGCTCACAGCCTGAGCACCTCGGTCTAAACCTCCCCACGCAATTCCCATAACAGCCAACATACTCGCCGCTCCGACGCCATAAGCAACTTCTCGACCAGCCCACCAATACAAACTACAAAAGAGTACAGGGCCGCAAGCTCTTCCAATTTGGCCGGACCCTCTGAAACCACCTAGCCTCCTTCCCCTGTCCTCCTCGCCAACTCGAAAACTCGCCAACGCTGTAAGTCCCGTGACAACTGTGGCACTTGTAACTGAGAGGAAAAACGCCGCAACATACAACATCCCCTTCGTTTGGATACGCGCCAACAGTAAGAAGCTTATCGCCGACGCCAAAAGCCCTGTTTTAACAACTACATGCGGCGGTGCCCGTCTTGTGAACGATCCTTGCAAAATCGATGCCGTGAGACCTACGAATCCTAGGAGGCGTCCATTATCTGCTGATGAAAAGGAAAAGAGTTCGAATGTCATGAAGGTCAAGCTAAACTCCATACCCGAGAAGACGAGGAGGAAGAGAAAGTGTGTTAAGTTTAGGAGGGTTAGAGATCTCGGCCCATCCTTCTTTTTAGAGTCTTCGGATGTCGTGTTGGATTTCTTCGAAGGCGTAGATGGTGGTTTTGTCTCGGGAAGCTTGAAATATAAATAAACCGTCTCCGTAACGATCAATACCAGCGAAAATGCGGCAGCGGTGGAGAACGGATTTCCAAGCATCAAGGTTTTGCTTGCCAAAAAAGCTCCCATCATCGGTCCCAACGTAAATGCAATGCTAAATGCTACACCAACAAGCGCTAGTGTGGCACCACGGTTGTCCTCGCTGCTCACATCCGTAGCAATCGCAATAGCCAACTGGACATTCCCCTCGGACAGTCCTCCTACAATTCTGCTTGCTACAAATGTGGGGAAATCAACTGCGAAAACCCAGATCAAAACGGACAAAATGTTTCCTATCATAGAGTATAATAAAGCGGCCCGGCGACCGGACTTATCGGAGATAGAACCAATTATGGGGGCCGAGAAAGCTTGCAAGAACGAAAATAGGGAGCCCATGGCCCCGCCGAGAAGGACGACATCGAATCGTGACGAAATTGGACGGGAGAAGGCGGCCTTGAATGAATTGAGGTACGCAAAAGTAGTTCGTAAGAGAGTTGGGTTCGTGTATGTGGATTCAAGCGCTTGATAATGCGCGAGAAGTTGTGGGAATAGTGGCAAGATAAGAGTGAATGATAGCTGGAGGATATAGTCGTGAGTTAAGAACATTCGCAGGCCGAGAATAGCCGAAACTTACGAGGTCAAGCAGCAAGGAGATGAAGAGAGTCGTGAGAATCTTCTTCCTCAGCTGGGGAGTTGGTGGTTGGTATGTTGTCATTGTTGGTATATTTTATACGCTGCTCAACAGCGGCTGCATTGAATAAGGGGAGTTGACAGGCGTGACGTAGTTCAGTATATATTTTATAAGGAGAAAGAGATCTGATAAGGAATTCGATTCAAGCAGCCAGGGATAGACTGGCTAGAAGAAAGAAAACTCGGAGAAGACCCGCAAGGAAACCCGTCGATGCGATATTGAAAGGACAATTAATAGAAAACGTAAAATAGAGGAATAGGAACAGAACGTCAGCTTTGAGAGAGATTTGTCAGGCCATCACCGGCGCAGCAGGTCAACAGCACCAGACTTGACACGATGGCCAAAGATGGATGGAGGCTTAAATTCGCGTCCGGACAATCCACCTCAACGCATGCATAAGCTGGTTTTGCCCGACATGGCCCTGACTAGCCCGACCAATGAAAGAGCGCGCAATCATAATAGCCACAAACCGAAATGCTGTGAGATCTGATATCAAATTAGAGGTTTCAAGCCCCTTAATCCTAATTATCGTGTGTAAAAATAAGCTGAAACCGGAATAGAGGTAAAACCACAGTCTCGAATGTTTTGAAGGCGAAAATATGTGTTAAAAATACAACAAAAACAACAAATTCAAATCTTGTAACCGGGATGGCGACAAGCTTTCTTTCTTTCATTCTTTCATGCCGGGCCACCCCCCGGCCGCGCCTTGGAGCCTTTAGATAGAACTGATATATGTCGTCCCATATCTGAAGTCTATATCTAAAATAGATATACCTATGCTTGATCTTGATGAAGTTACGTTTGTGTAACATGCATAGGATACTCGGGCCATTGTCCTGGATCCGTAAGAATCAAGAGTATTAAGAGTGTTATAACTTTATCAAGTATTTCAACTCCCGGGTTTCTTAGTCTCACCAGAGAAATTCACCTGTCCCGTTCAGAATTTGTCCATTCTTTCTCTCTAGTTTAAAGTCAAAATCGGCAAGCCTCTGGTGTATATGTGTAACATCAGCTTGTTGCATTTCGGCCGAGCAACACAAACCAATATCACCTTCATCTCTCATCCACCGATTCATTCACAGCATCACAACACCAGTCGAGCTCGGCGATGCAGTCAGTCATCTCGCAGTTATCTTCAAAACCTTATCTCGGAGGTTTAAGTCAAAGAGAATAGTCAAAACCCCTTATCTCGGGGGTTTACTTCCGCATTTTCAGCTCAAAAATAGTCACATGACCAGATAAACACCAATACCTCGATCGATCCAATACGAAAGCTACTTTGGTAGAAGGTCCCGATCCAGACTATCGAGCTATCGATATCCCATACCGATCTCTCAAAATTATGCTCGCCACCTTGTCTAGCTTATCTTCTAGTGTTTCAGTAAATATCATTCATAAGCAGAGAATTTATAGTAGTTTATCTACTGCTGCAATATCATACAGAGATTTGGAAACATACTATATATTATCTTTAGGTATCTTGAGAGTTGTAAGCCTTGAAAGGAACATCAGTTTGGACCAGTAGCGAGTAACTGGGCCCTGATAATATAGCCAAGGCTATGGTGCTCATGCCAGACCTAGGCTGGTCTCGCTTCCAGACTTTCCAAGTGGAGAACGTCTAACACCAACATAACCGCGCACTGCGCACGAGTCTCGAAAATGGTATCTGAATCAAATCCCAGTAGACTATCTCAATCTCTCGAGCGCGAGGTAACTACACAGCCCCCCAACTTCCCTAATTCGAGTGAAATTCCGATGGGAATTTTGCGCTAACTAGTTGTTGAGTTTTTCTCGATAAACTCGGTGCGTCTGGCTTTGAGACTACCCACTTACCAAGTATACTAGTAGCTAGTAACTAGGATGATTTTGTAGAGACAAAGTCTAGCAGTTTATTCGCAGTATCGTAACGAAATGATGCCCCTAAGCCTAGCTACCAACCAACTGACCCTAGGCACCAAGTTGACGTCATGTATACATAAGTGTATGTACTAAGAAGGAAGTCATATGTTGTAAAATGTTGGTAAGGGTCACTATAGTTAGCATACTCGAGTCAACCTCAAGTCAGAATTGACCTGACCACACTAGTCAGGTTTATGCCACTAATATACCGTCGATGCGAGAAGTTGGAATTGTTGTATGTTGTCGGAAACGGTTGCGGCACGTACCGCAGTTGGAACAATCTAATGTTCTTTTGCGTATGTAGATATAAAGACATCGAACATCACAACTACCATGTTGTCTCAAACTAGAACGGGATGATCTATAGACCGAATACGAATGCACAGCATAAAAGATACTATAAATCTAGCGTGTATGCTGTCATACGCTTCAACCAACTTTTACTACGAACTTCTAGCTATATACTTACATGGGGTAATGGAAGGCGAACGGATTTTATTGGTCCGAATATGCGTTCTAAATTGGTCCGAATATGCGTTCTAAATTGGTCTTTTTTTATAAATATCTCTCATATAATGTGGCGATGCGAACTAGAACACACGGTTAGCATACTTATTCTGTGCGACGAAAAATCCCTACATATCAAAACCATCCTCTTGCAGTCCTAGCTTAGACTCGGGACTGCAGCGCTGCCCCACTTCTATATTCCTTCCAAGAGTGTTACGTATTAGGTAATTATTGTCAAAGTTGTAGAAGAGCACCCCCAAACGTACACAAAACGTGCGTCAGAGCTTGCGTGGAAGCTGATCTGGGGAATATCTATCGCGTATAAAAATAAACAAATATATATATACTTATATATTGGCAGAACACGAAGACTTGAAGACGAACCTCCAACTAAACGATAACGAGCACTCTGATAAATCCATGTATGATGTGATTTGAAAAACTGTCCCTCGACGTTTCCTATAAACGGCATGTTATGGACTATCGATCACACTATATAACATCGATCACAACTAGTTAACTTAAGTACTTCTTCTTCTATGGCCAGCTAATCCGCCCCAAGAAAATTTAGAGTATTTCTTTGTTATTTATTTATCGATATCATTAAACCAAAATTATTCCAGATAGGTATATCTCGTTATTATACAAGTCTTTTTGTTCCCGTAAAATATTTATAAGTTCTGTAAGCCACCGTCCCCAAGATAAATAGAGGCAACCGGCAGCTTTCAAGAAAAAGAAACAAAACACCAAAAAAAAAAAAAAAATTCCAGAGGACTTTTCAAATGCGAAATGGAAAGATTTCCCAAATGAGTCCCCATCGCTCGCTGTCCATATGCCGTGAAAAAATTGGAGGGAAAATAGAGAACAACCATGACATGGAAGAATGATCATAAGTCAGATCGCACGTATTAGTAATCGTTAACGATAGTCGAGAATTGTAAGAAAGCAATGGGCCATAAAATAGAAACGAATCCGAAAAACGCCACCATCCTTGCAAAGTATATGCAGAGGTTTATGCAAAAGTGACAAAGGAAATGTATGTGTGGATGATCAATCCGTGGGTACCGCCTCGTGTTCAGATGTGAACGGAAGCGTAAGTAGAAACCGAAAACAAAAAGACCATTCAAAAAACCATAGCACTCTGAGCCATTCTCAAGAGCAAGCACAGGTTCTGAGAAACAGTTTTTCTTGGTGAACGGAAGAGGTACCTATTCGGTATTTTTTAAACCTCTGTTTAGTTCCCAATTGAAGACAGGATGAAAGGGGAAACAAGTATTATGAGTACGAGACTGGCGTGGAGCCAAACCCTTAGGCCTTTTAGGTTCTTCGAGGGAAAAAAAAGAAAAGGAAAAAAACCAATGCAATAAAGGCAAAATGACCGCCAATAGAGGGTATCGCAGAGGTGAAAAGGAATAAAAAAGAATAAGCCGAACCAATTCGCCGGAGACCGTGGACACAAAAAGAAAATGGAAAAGGAGGTGATAAAACAATAGAAGAATGGAAAGTTAATAAGGAAGAGTACCCAATGAGAAAGACTCCTTTTTCGGTGTAAGTTGGAGAGTCCACTCCAAGACAACGCTGATAATTTGTACGAGAATGGAAGAAAGGGATAGAATATGAATCGAAACATAACGCCGTAAAGGGCTTTTATAACCTTTTAAGACCCTTTGGCGCCTTTCCCTTTGCCATCATACCCTTTGAATAAACAACGCCTTTAGGAACCTTCTGCTGCGGCTGCTCCGGCTGCTGCTTCTGTTGTTGTTGTGGCTTTTCTACCGAATTCTTGAGGGTCTCTGGCCGATTGACTTCCATACTACGACGCTTTGCAGGAGGTGGTGACATAGTGCGGTCAACCTCTCCTCGAATATCGGTTTCCAAGCTTCCTTCTTCATTGGCTTCATCGAACGTGCGTTTCCCGAGTGGGCTAGACGAACGAGAACGGCGTGCATTCGATCGAACTGGCGAAGAAACAGGATCAACAGCTGCGTTCTCTTTGCCAGTTGTCGTGGTGCGAGCAGAATCGGTTGCCTCTTTTGCAGGCTTGGTAGCAGTTGGAGTAGGTGTATAAGGTGTAGCTTGAGGATTGCTATGCTCTTTCGTAGGTGTATGCAATACATTATTTGCATGAGGTGTACCCTCCTTGGAAGCAGGGGCGACGGCTGGTTGCTGTTCCTCCGAAGAGCTTTTGGTGGGCTTAGCAGCAGAAGCTGGCTTCCGGGACGATGATGCAGAAACATTCTTCTTATGTTTTGAAACTGGTGTGGTGGGTGCTGATCCCGAAGCTTTGCCTTCCTCGTCTGCTTTCTGACGCATGGTCTTAACTTTGGTCTTAAGATCAGCGGGAATGGATGCATAAATCTTGGTCATGAGCTTGGCTTGTCGCGCGAATGCCTTGAAATCTTCTTCGGCTAGAAGACCGGCTTCCGAGTTCAATGCACTCGAGGGATTCGGGTGGATGAGAAGACTTCGGATGACTTCGAGAACATCTCTGAGAGTCGTTGTGGGTGTCCAGCTGGTCTTGAGGGTGTCGACACAGACTTCGCCGGTCTTCTCGTCGACGTTTGGATGCCATATCTTGGTCTTGAAGTTAGCTGTCGGGGGTGTGTTCGGGTATGTGTCTGTGCATTTGATAGTGATACGGAAGGCCCCGGTGTCGTATGGAGTCCCTACGGGTCCTACAAGGATAGCGTGAAGAAGGACGAGGTCATCGTGAGCACCTTCGGGTAAGATGTAGTCCGGAGGTGGTGATTCCTCGATTGCAGCGTGTTCAGCCGCCAGACGGCGGAATTGCTTTGCCTATTACGTTATTATATATATGTTAGATATCGGGAGGTGGTAATCTATCGGCAACAAATATATGATTGGATGCATACCATTGTTGGTAGAAGGTTCTTTCGGAAGTCACGAGGGAAAAAGAACGGAAGTTCTTATATCAAAGATGGTAATGGTAATGGTAATGGTAATGGTAATTGTGGTGGTGGTAAAGGTGATAAAGGTAGAGGGATTGAAGGTGATGAGGTGGTAAGTGTGGCAGTGGCGTCTCAGGTGAGGTGGGTGCTTCTCATTGGCTTATTTAGCAGGTAGAAAGGATGTCGCATGGGGAAAGCAGATGCTTTCAGAAAGTGAGGCGAGTCCGGGTTCGAGTTGGGGTCCGAGTTGGGTTGAGTTGGTAACCGTGTATCTGCGGTGGTGGTGGGGAGATTGAGATATCGCGACGTCGATTGGGAGAATCAGGTTGGGAGGCAATTGCGATGAGATGGGGGGGAAGACGTCGGTTGCAGTGTTGGTTGTGGTGGTAGTGGAGGTGGCTGGGAGATGGCGATGGGATAATGACGACGGTAGTGATGGTGATAGTGATGGCGATGGTGTTGTTAACCAAGTCAGGTATCTCCCTCTTTCTATCTCTCTCTGACACTCTTCTATCAATATACAACCAACCCAAAGTAAGGAGGTACAGTAACTGGCGATGATGACCGATTGACTGATTGATTGATGGAACTGTCGCAGAATAAAATTGGCGAGATGGAGAAATATTAATATTCGCTTGCTGACTTGCCCAACTAGCCCCGAACAGCTTTAGTTTCCCACGGCTGGTACTTCGTTCATGTCATGTAAGTCTGTACCGAAGAGACAGCTTTTGTTTACATCTGGCGCACTGTTTTGTTGTTCCACCTCGATATTTTCCTATTCGGGAAATCAGATTGGAACTCTCAGCTGCATTAGCGTGTTCGAATTACCCACTTTACACGCCATTTCAAGAATCCAATCACATCGCCGGAAACGCGCTTTAGCCTGGACATTAATGTATCGGTTACCGCTTTGGGCGCCCTCATTCTCGTGTTCTCACTGGTAACTGCTACTACTGCTCGATATGCATCTGCCAGCGCATCCCAGCCCGTAGATTGTCTCCGGACCCATCGATGCATCCATCATGTGCTGCACACTGCACCATGACGAACAAAAACAATAACCGATACCTATCCCATCAAGGGGGCGGGCTATTAATATTTTTTTCGTTCGTCCCGTCTTTCTCTCTTTTCTGCGACGGCGACAGCTGCCGAAGACATACATACATAAAAGTACATGACTATCTTCTCGCTTCTCCTATCTCGAACATCCGTCGCTGCAGTGGAGGGGTAAATGAGGGAGGGGAATGTAAACATCCAATCTTGGGAATCCGCCGACCATGTTTTGATACGCCCATTCACACCCCTACCCCCGGCTTCCTGCAGATATTCTTCAGCTGGTATGGACGTATACATGTACCGTCTTCTACTGATTTAGTAACTTCTCTAGAACATACTTGGTGTTCGTCGACAGTCGAAACAAGGGCAAGTACAAGGTCACCCGAGGGAATGAACCGTCTACGAACTGCTCATCTGATCCTTTTTTCCCCTTCCCTTTCCCCAACGGTTTTGTTCTTGTATGACCACTTTTTTTCAACCATTTTTGATCAAGACTTCCACTTAAAAATCATATTTTAAATTTTATTTTATAATACCCTTTTTTGACAGAAAGGATGAAACATTTTACCCCTCCTCCCACCTCCCACTCTTCATTCGAAATTTAAAAAAGAAGCAGCGCGTTGTGGCAGCTTGGTGACAGCTTGGCCATAGCTCTTGTGTCCCGTCCAAACCACGGATCTTGGAAGCGGGGAAAACGAATAAACGAGTGAGAAAGCAAGAGCGGGAAATCGCCTGCAAAGAAAGAAAAACACGGCATTTCCTTGCATCGTAACACTGCATATTCCCAAACATTGAACACTTGCATCGCGGTATGCATTATCGGTTTATTTATTTTTCTTCCCTTTATTCTTTCCTCGCATGCTTCCCGGTCTGGGTACAAGACAACCTCGCTTAGAGGGGAAACAAAGGTATAAACTTCATGCGTCGCGGGTCCAAAATCGAGAACATTTTAGCCCTGTTGCACGTAAACAAAAAAGAAGAGGCGGGTTCGAAGTTTCGTAGGAAAAGGCTAACTACGGTAGGATCTGAGTAAATTAATTTATCTTAAATACGAGACTACAAAGTACATATCTACCGTATAACCTTGTCGAGGATCCATGCAATGCGATGCGTCGCACTCGGAACTGATGTCCCTCTTTGAGCATAAATCCGAAAGTCAAAATCCAAAATAAACAAGAAAATTTTGGCTACTTTGAGCGCTCTTTCCAGAGCAGTGTATATAATATTATATTTAATATTGATATTTTCGAGAATTATTTGTTTATTTTACGTAGATAAAGGATCAATGCATTACTCAGAATGGAATTTGGGCTATATCAGGTAATATAATTGCAAAAGCTATTGATCAATTGACTATGTGTCGAGTTTTCGTGAATACACACTGCTTACCATTTGATTTACGACACATTTCCAAATTGGGGATTTCCCTCGTTTCATAATGAAGTTAACGAGCCAAAGTTGCTGGTCGAGACTTTTGTTAAAAAGGTTTTCGACAATAGAGAGCTCTACTCGAGAATCTGAGCAGCGAATAGACCGTCTGAGTATGACAAGGCGATCAATACGCCCTTTGTATTCCCACCAAAACTTCCAACAAAACCAACACGTTTCTACCACTTCTACACTCACATGCATCTTGATATCAATTTGATTCCGATAGGTGCCCTAACTAAGTAGGCAAGTAGCAGGTATTCTGTTATCTAAAATCTACACAATGTTATCCACAGTAGCCCTATCACGCAGTTCGAATAAAATACATCAATGAGATGAACGTACTGTCATCCCAATTCCAGATCGAGGAAGATCAATAAACTTTACAGCCATGTGGCCTCGAGCCTCGCCTTTCCGACAATAACTAATATAACCCGAACTATAACCATGCATGACATCATAACCAGATCCATTGGCATTCAAAATCTCCCCTTTAGCCCTGCCGATCGTTTACACATAACCGATTCACCGACTTTAGTTTCACGAAACAACTGTATAAACCAATATCTCCCCGAAAATTCCCTCAGTAACAGTTGCTCGAGTAGTTAAATGTCTGTATTCGGCGTATCCGCATAATCGGCACATCTTATCCGCGCCTCACGACGGGACGCCCAAGAAAAAGATTCCCAGGAAAACATTAAAAACCTGCATTCCCTAGGGGTCCCTCTCACCAAGCAAAACATTATATATCCCAAGCCAAAGAAAAAGGAAAGCACAAACCAAAACGAAACAACAGCAAGCACCAAACGTAAAACGAAGCCGAAAATTGGGTGACAGGTGGTCTGCCGAATCGAGTAACATGCCTTCATTGGGTGGTTGCTTGCCGAATTCGGTGTCGGTTAGCCGGGGCAGAAAACAACGGACCTAACTACAACGCAACTTTTGTGGTGCTTGAGCTCTATATGCTGGCTATTGAACTTTTTTAGTATTTTAGTAGCATTGGCGTTGGTAAGGTTGTATAAAAGTCGTTTGTGGATGGTTGGAGGGTTATCTGGGCTGGTGATATTGTGAGCTTCTAGTGGTGGTCCAAGGATACCGAGATATCCGGCCTTTTGCATGGCAAGATCTCGACTCAGGCCACCAGATCTGCAGAGGATAGAACGGATAGAATCTAGATAATAATCCTCTGTGCAGTCCGGCTAGCTTTCATAACTGCGGGGTATATAAAAGAGAAGCCTTCCAGATTAGTTTCCATTTAGGAATTGATTTACTTCTTCTTGAAAAGCAATTTTGGATTTTTGCTGTAGTGTCAGGACTTCCCTTCATCATTCGGTCGTTCTCTTCGGTGTCAAAATCTGACCCGTTCACTCCTTTATATTCGGTCGTTGAAATACTGTTTTGCAAACGAAGATGCAGCTTTTGAAATTTATTACCCTTCTGGGATTGACTGGGTAGGTTAGTTTTCTATGTAATTCCTTCATAGACTCCAGTATGCTCATTCAATTTCATGGATTCTCAGCTCTAAAAGTATAGTATTAAGTCCTATGAAGTATATATACTAACCTACGTCTATAATCACAGAACGACACTTGCCGTCCCAAATGCCTTCCCAGAACCGCAACGTGGCCGCCAATGCACCACATACTCCACCATGACCCAAACAATCACCATAGCACCAATAGTTACAGTTCCAGTCGCAATCGTAGCGATCAAAAGAACGGTCAACTGCGGCAGCTGTGTATTGGAAGTGAGGACTAGGGTTATCAGAAGAACGGTCCAGCGTGTAAGTTATGCTCCACACTTTTAACCTCCTCAACTCTGAATATATAACTTAGAAATTTCGTTTGTTAATATTGGGAATTTAATGTATTAGGTACCCAATGGCCGTGCAGTCAGGACGGTTGTTCAACGTTCTACTGCGACGACTTATCAACCTGTTTGTCGGACTCCAGTGCCGGCACGTGCCAAAAGAAATAACGACGAGAATGAAGGTGATGATTAGTAGTGATGACTAGACTTTAAACTCCTCATTCGCGTCGATATTATGCATATGGTGGAAATCCGGAGAAGGACGGATTACTAGGTATCTGCTACCTAGAGGATTATTTCAAGGGTCTAGATGAGCTGAGAGTTTAGAGATAAACTCCAGGTGTTTTTAATACCTACGAAGCATTCAAACCTACTACTAACACTATGCTCGGTTAATGTCAATGTCAATGGGATCGAAATCAGTAACTTAGAATTAACTCCCATTTGTACCTATGATATTCCCATGCAATAATGAAACAGTCGTGCGAATGAGAGCTCAACAGTTCTACTGGGCTCATGAATTTTATAAATTTAAATGCAAACCCAATGCTAAACCGCGTCAATTCCAAGTCCGTTCAATCCCTAAATCTCCTAAAGAGAGCTCATACTTCGCCGTCGATTCTAGTAAAAACTGCCACTGCACCTTTGAACCGTGCGTTCTCATCAGGGTTCGCAACAGCCCAGTAGGGTATACCGACAACCAAATCGTCTTTACCATCACCATTGATATCTACTGAGGCCAATGCTGCTCCGAAGTGTGCCTATAGATAATCCGTTAGCAAGTTTCTAGAATCGTAAAGCAACTGTGTAAACATACCCCAGGTTCTGGTCCCATCAACTGCATCTGAACTTGAAACTCTCTGATCATCTCTTTCTTGCTTTTCTCTACAACAGGAGTTTGTACCGTAGGACCCCTATGCAACTTAACCTTTTTCTTCCAATTCCCTTCCCAGTTGGCAATAGCCCCTATATCGATCCACCAAACTGCACCCCTCTCTTTCTGCGCCCAGGGGCTGCCAACCCACAGTCCCTCGTCTCCATTATCTGCCCTCAGCACCATTCCAAACTTCTCAAACTTTTCGTCTTCCCAGCTTTTCACCCTGGCGACTAACACACCTTCTCCGTTTACGATTCTGTAGACCTGAACATGTCCCTTTTGTGCTACATCGTCATCAGGGACTCCGACAGCGACCCATTCCTTCCCAGCAGATGTAACTCCACTTTCTAAACCCCAGCCTCCAAATCCACCTTTACCCCCTTCTATCGAAAATTCATACGTAAACTGACCATCTTCGACTTCCCAACCCCAAAAGAATACCTTCCCTCTTCCCGGTGCGCCAACTCCTAGCAATCCAGCTTGCTTAACCCACACCAACGACTTCCCAAACCATTCATAGGTATTTTGCCCACACTCTTCTCCTCTCTTTTCCACACTTGGCAACTTAAGCCTCTGAATCGCTCCTTCTACAACACCATCGCATCCATTGAATACGCTCTCCACAATCTTCCCCATTTTGATAACGACAACTTCTCCTTCGGCAAGCTGAACTCCACAGCCTGGCCTATCGCCGTCTGCAAATGGCATGCCAATGATGACCTCTTCCTCTCCGTCGCCGTCAATATCAGCGGCTAAAACCACCGTGCCAAATTCTCGCTCACCAATCCTATCACCACCCGGTAGGTCTTCAAAAGCAAGCCGAAGAATTCGCTGCGGACCAAGGAACAGATCCAGATACCCAGAAGGAATAAATCCAATCCGAGGTGAAGAAGCATTAAAAATTTGGGGTCCTGGTGCAGTAACTACATTGAATACCCCAAGTTTTAACCTGACAGCCGTAGTCGCCGCCCCGAATCTCGCGTTCGGATGATTGGGTTCTTGAAAAGTAGTGTCGATATTCAACTTTGGCTTTTTGACCCCGTTCATGACTACGGTACCATTACCAATCTTGGTGGAGATGCCGCATACTCCATCGAGATTGAAGTTGCTGACCTTAATACCGACTCCGTCATTCCTGCCCGAAAATCGGACGAGTTTCTTGGCGAGGGCCTCAGCCCATATTCTCCCTTCATCGTCATAAACCGTCTTTACGTTCGTGACGTCCTTTAGGTCGATGCTATAAACCGCTCCACCGGCTACATAGTCCTGATCCTCGGTTTCAGAAAGCGCTGAAGCTGTGAGGTCTACCGATCCTTCCTGGGATTCTATCACTCCAAATCCCTTAAGAAGTTTACTTGTACCGTGAGACCCGATGCTCAAATACGACCCGAACTTTGAGAATGCTTTTGCGGTTGAGATGAATATCGGTTCTCCAAAGCTGCCTGGGAATGGTGACGGCGTAGGGAGCGGAATGTGGAACTTGTCCGATTTCGTAGTTGTAGCTGAGTCGTCATCGTCTCGATAATATGAATCGAATAAGGGATGTTGCTTTTCGTCAGACCGTCGAGATGGTGGAGGGCGCTCAAACCAAGGTAGGTTGTCAGGAACATATATTTCCACCGCACCTGACGGTAAATCGTCTTGGTAGATATTATCCTCGTATTTCTCCACCAATTTCTTGAATTCCTTATTGTTCCTGAGCAGATCCCCGTAGGACTCTCCGTGTCTTCCATATCCCACGAGGTCGTTATCTTTACCAGCGGGTGGATCTGGCGGCTCGATTTTACCTCCGTCCCTGGCTTTGATCAGCTGGAAAGTATCACACATACCCCACCCATCTCCAGCACCCTCAGCCCCACTAACCATCCACTCCGTCACATTCCTCCAACACCAAACCGCATTCGCAGCCATCTCATCCATCCCACCGAGATAATACTCATCAAAAAAGTCAACCATAGCCGGCGACTTCTCCGCATAAGCTTCATATAGTGCCCCGCTAGCAGACACAACCGCCTGAATAGCAGCAAGACCCCGAGCGATACAGAACGAAAAGGTAAACCGATTTACAGTAGTAATCCCCATACTCTCATATATCTCGAGAATATCGCTAGTAGGAACCCACCAAGTACTCGATACCCAGTTCTTAGCATGGGATTCGGGTGGTAGGTTATCCATTCTATTCGCAAGGATTACATCGCCGCCTGTATCGACGAGGGTATGTGCGTCGCTATAGGAGCCGGAGAAATCGAGACCAGCGACCATCCGGATGAAGCCATTGTACATTTTTAGTGAGTGCCATGTGGCATCTGAGGAGCCGTGTAAGGCGACTGCAAAAATGAACGATATAAGTTTGTTTTTATGTTCAAGGTCGTCACGGGTCATGGTAGTGCCGTTCGGCCAGAGTTTATTGGTGACGAGTTCGCCATTGCCGTCTGGTGGAGTCAGGGATGTTATTAGAACCGGACCATATTTTTTATGGAAGTGACGGATCGAGGCTGCGACGAAAGGTGGCCAATGAGCTGCTTCTGCAGGGGCGTCATTGGAGAAGCAGCCATAGCCCCAGTCGGGGAAGAATGCCCCGGCTTGCTGAGCGGCACGATTGGATGGGTCCGATAATATGTTGTTAATGTAGGCATGGTGGATGTAGTGTGGGGTATGGTTGCTTGTGTCTGTTGGGTAGATCGAGTAGAGATAGCGGGCACGACGGAGGATTTCGTTATGTGTCCTATCATACCATCGAGCCTGAGTTAGCAAGTCCCTCTTGAGAAATATGGTACAGATTAAGGTACATACAGAACTCCACAGGCAATTGACGAGCCCGTGAACAATAGAATCGAAAATGATAGATACGAGCATATCAGCGAAGATATGCGACTCGAATGGTGAGCCATAGTAGTGACTGCTGCCGATTCGCGACCAGAAGCGAAGCTATTCAAGCTAGCTCAGGTACCAGGGTCAACCTATAGCTAAGCTAAGCGGGACTGCGCAACATTCTTCCGAAAGAAATTAACGACTTGTGACTTCAAAAGGATCTGAATAGATACTGAGGTGGGAGGGAATGTAATGCTTACGTACCCTATATATAGAATCACGTTTCGACGGGCAGGCTCGCGCGGAGCTGGAGGTTCAGGGTTTTAGGCCAGGGGCATTTGCATTGGCCGCCAAATGCTGGAACTGTGACATCGGCCAAGGGACGGCTGACAAGCGAGCCTATCAGAGCAAAACTGCAACCAACGAGTGTCTGGAATGGGCTTTCAATGGTGAGACAGGCTTCGGAGTTTTCGAACAAACGCGAACACGAAGCCTTAGATGAATAATATCATAAAGTATCCCAATCGATCTCGAGTGTTGGTTGGATATAGTTGGATATCTGATGTTGGGTGGCTTGAGGTTGGACCGATGGAATTGCGCTAAATTCTCGGGCTGATATAGCGAGGCAACATGCAATAATATATACTTAATTAATAACAGGAACCCTCGCTACCCTGTTAACATTCGTATATCGACTAATCCATCGAATCCGATTGATCCATGTACCTGTTCATGTGAATAAGGACTGGTACTTACCTAAGAAGTAAGTAGGTACCTAAGTATATAGCTATAGATGCATCTAATGTTGGAAGTCTTAAGTTTAATAACGTTTCGAGTTTATGAGGTTCAGTGTTGCATTCTGTACCTTCAACACAGTTTGCAGACATGTCAGTCTCGACACTAAACCAGCTTAGCTCAGCAGACATGTCTGGCCAGCTGGATGTGCTTGCAGTTTGAAGGATCCTAGCTAGGATCTGATATCTGCTGCCGTATGCGTATACGTGGCAAGCAGCTGTCGGGGGGCTGTGTTGTGCCATTCAGCGAGGCGCCATTGCGAACTCATTGATATCTAGTATTATAATGTCCAGAGAAGTCGAGAAGAGTCGCTGTTTTTGTGGAGAGCACTATATTCTCAAGGAGATAAGTGTGTATGCGAATGGTCGGCCGATTGTGTGGATATTAAAAATTAAAATTTTATAACCGGTTCGTGGCGCCATGGCCTCAAGGCTGATCAGCTTCTGAATTCAACATTGGCAATGCTTGCCGTATGCATACGAAAACCTGGAGAAGATGAAGATATTGCCTTATATACTGCCTTGGATGTTAATATAATTTAAATTTAAATACCTCCAGACCAATATTATATTATCCATGATGTAATTTCCGGCCACAATTCCCGTTTTAGTATGGGAATGATCAAGCAGAAGTTAAGGATCAAAGTATTTCTCTTCTTTTCTTTTTTCTCTTCAGTTTTTGGATCCTTCTTAAATTTCCAGTAGCCAGACTTTATTTATAATTTATGTTAATAACCCCTCCATCCCGTAGATAAATACTATTCCATGAATGTCTAGCCTCTTGAATTATATATATTGCGCGACTTTATTTATTTATAATCATCTATCCATAGGTCGAATATCGATCGAAGCGCAACCGTTTAAACAAAAACACATCTGGATTCAGATCTATAGGTATATATGCATACAATTCTGGATTGAGACCTTTTACTTCTAGCAATGGAAGTTCTCCAGTTGACCGGAAAAGATGATTTTATCACTCCTCCCAATGCAAATTCCGAGGACGAAGTCGACCCAGCTCTACGTCTAGAGCTTCCCATTGAGAAGGATTTGATAATTCTAAAACTTCCACGCGACGAAAGCCGACGAAAGGGGGTATATGACACAATCTCTAAATATCTGGAACGGCTTCCATGGACCCAAACCCAAGACGGCCTAGTCGATTCTAAAGATATTAGCACGAGCCTTAAACAGCAAGAAGCTTTCTCCAGCGGGAATAAGACTCCATCATTAGTTAACCAGTCGAAAGGAAAACAAAGAGACCTCACATCGGAAAGATTCTACAGCTCCACCGAATGTACTGAGTCGCTTAGAATACTAAGCACACCCCCCTGCAATGTGATCGAAGCAAGGTCGCTATCTAGAGAGATTAAGCTTGTACCAAAACGCCGTGAATCTATCAGTTGTGACAATAACTTCATACCTGAAACCCTACAGGACGACAACGGCGAAACCGATTTCTATCGGTCCATATTTACCCACACTATAAAGCAGAAGACTTCTTCAGCTACCATCAAGCAGCGGCTCACTGACGCAGACGACCTTCTCGGTTTCCTTGCCGTCGCCGAACACAGAAAAATCGATTTTTTGCCCTTCGAGTGTGATGACACCAACCCCATTGGTAAAGGTGGAACGGCAAAGATAACTAGAGGAGCAAAAGTCTTGACAACTAGAGGTGATAATCTTGGTCTTGTTTTCAAACGTACCAAAGCAGAAATTGATGACGAGAACCAAGATATAGCTACAGTCTATCGAGCTGTACTATCAGAAGTCTATATTCTTGGTCATCCTGTTGTGCGACACCACCCTAATATCAACAATCTACAGGGAATCTGCTGGGAAGTCGTCCAAAATAGGCCTTGGCCTGTTCTGATATTTAAACAAGCGCCATATGGCGACCTTGGTCAGTTTATGAGGACGGAAGAGGGGAGGAACCTTGGGTTGAAGGATAAGATCAAACTTTGTTGGGAAATGGGAAATGCCCTTCATTTAATGCATAGTTGCAGTGAGTATATGCAAGTCTACCCCTAGAGCTTTCTCCAAGAGTTCCTCGGGCTTCTCATAACCCCTAAAAGTTTAACGTATATAGGGGCAGCTCTGGGCCTCGAGACTAGCGTATAAATAAGAGAAGAATGCAATAGGCTCTCTTGCTGACAGTTGACCGGATTACCATAGATGCCATTCATGGAGACATTAAACCCGAGAACGTTCTCATTTGTAAAGACGCAGATGGAAGGTTTTTAGCACAAGTGATAGACTTTGGATATTCAACAATCTTCGCAGACGAAGAAAATGAAGAAGTTACCCTCCCTACATCATGGCCTTGGACAGCCCCCGAGATAAAGCCACGGCAGCCAGTCACATTGGAGCAAGCAAAGGCAGCAGACATATTTTCATATGGCCTTCTTTGCTTCTGGCTTCTCTGCTACGGTGTTCTAGAACCAGAACCTGGCTCGCCTATATATACCCCCAACAGATACACTATTGACCAGAACAAGAGCTCTCCGCGGTTCGCAGCCGATGTATGCAATACGATAGCCTCGATTCTAGCCAATGAGCCAGAGGATATCCGCCAACGTCTGGCCCTTGACTACTTTTTTCAACGGGTCCTGTTCTTTAGTGAGGGGTCACAGAACCAGGAGAAGAGAGTCCTCGACGTTGATACCCTACCACGTCTCTTCGGTCTCCCAGAGTATGTTACATACACTGCCTAAAAATCATCTTACCTGTTCCAAGTGGTGAGAATTCGATGGAGTTACGAACTAATTAAAATCATTTACGTATCAGGCGCCCACTACCATTGTTAAAAAAATATGGGAAATCTTCGCTTCTCAAGTCGCAGGCATCATTTAAGGTAAGCATTCGTCGCTTTGCAAATTTTATTAAAAAACCTTTGAGTAGCCTAGAGCTAAGACCCTTCAGTTGCCAGCACTGCTATCAAGGCTATCTAAGTGCCCACAAATCGTCATAGATGATGTTTTCAAGCGACTCGTGGAACGAACAGAGGCTTGTCTTGAAGATGACTCTTGGGATGCTAGTTTGGGAAGTCTTGCCTACGATCTAGCTTTGTGCCACGAGCTAGGCTTGGGGACAGACAGGTCGCCCGAAATGGCCGATATCTGGTGCAACATAGCAGGAACAGATCGTGCGGCGCTTGGTAACGTAGTCAAAATGATGGAATCGGATACAAATGGTCTCTATACCATCTTTAACCTTGAGTTCTCCGATCGGCACTCAAGTTTAAAACGGGCTGAAGAGAAAGAAAATGATGCTATCAAATTTTCTGTTCCCTGGCTCGACAAAATCCTTGAACAAAAGGACGACGAATCTATTGAGTACGACTCGAGAGTCGTTGATTTGGACAACGGGAGTGATGAGTCTTGGGTAGGTTATCTTGAAAAGGGGAAAGATGAGGAAGGCTTTTTCGTGTCGTGGATGCAGTTTAACTCTTCTAGTCATGATAATCCCGACACGAGTTCCGACCGCTCCATTTCTTCATCTCAGCTCGTCGTTTTCCCTGCATCAACCAAAGCTATCTTGGACCGAGGAGCCCTAAGAGCTAAACAAATTCAACTTTGTGCAAGTTTGGAGGCAAAGAGAAACGTTATTGGGTCCGAGCATCAAGATACTCTCAAAGATATCAACACGCTCTATTACCTTTATTGCAAATCCAATGAGCCTACAAGTACGATCTTAGCTCTGCAGGAAGAGATCTTCGAATTACAACAAGCAATGTTCGGACCCGAAAATCCTGAGACGGAAAAAAGTACACAAAGCCTCGCAAAGCTCTACATGCAAAGAAAGGAATGGAAAAAAGCACGCCCTCTTATTATGACCCATCTTGCCATGGTCAGGAAAGCCTTTAACCTGGAGGGGGAAAGTGGCCGCAAAGCTGTAGAGTTACTCGAAATCCTCACCGAGAAGGAGGGCGACGTTCTGATACATCACGAACCAGCTAGCACAGCGACAAAACGGATCCTTGCACAGTATATGCTACTGCTCGAGGCATATGACCGGGGAGACGTTAGATTACTTGCACCGTTGATGAAGTTGATGAACATCCAAATAGACCAACTTATGCATCACAATACTTCCTCTCGTGAAGGGGATGATATTGAATTGCTCATTTCAACCTCTGTGCTTGGATTGAAGCGGCTAAAGGGGACTATCTGTGATGTGGGTCAATTGGTTGGAAGCAATCACAGTGAGGTCGCCCGCGCCAAAGAGGTTGCGGCCCTTGGCCACCTAACTCTCGGTGCTGTCAGGCATGGGGAGATTTCGCTACCCGAGAAAATACGCCATACCGTAAAAGCTAACAGACTCCTAGGGGAAGTTATCTTCCCTAAAGGGAATCCAGCCTGTATACCGATACGACACAAAGGGAGGGGGGCCTTCACTCTCGATTCTAATACGAGAGATGATCTGCATCGTAGGCCAGAGGCCTACTGCGAAGGGGCAGACCAACTAGCCCTTTGGATTGCAATTCAAAGCCAACTAAACGAGCTTATTTCGGACCTCAAATCGGAGATAAATAAAGTTCGAAAGTTTCTTGAGAAGGTTCCTGGAAGCTTCCTTGCTAGGGCAGGCAGCACCCTAGAGCTGGCTGAAACGGCCACTTCTGACCCTGGGCGCAGGGCTGACATCAAGACGGGGTTACCATATTTACGCAAGCTTTTGATCAACCTAAGGGAGGCATGGGCGTTAAGACATTTCGAAGGCCCTTTATTACTGAGATATTATACAGAATCTTTGCTTTATCTATACAGGCTGAATGCTCATGACGAGGATTTGAAAGATCATTTCGACGAGGCGGTCGAATCTATGGAGCAGGAAGTACACAAGGCCGAAAACGAGAAAGATATTGCGGAAATCGTACCGAAATTGTACAGGTTACTAGAGCAACGTTATGAGGCGCATTCAAAAATTGGCGACTTACAAAACATGGCGTTGTGGTCAGAGCAAATGTCGTATTTTGATCATGATAGAAACAATACTAATGACTCGAAGCGAACGACTAACCCCGGGCACGAGGCTCTAAAGGACGATTACATCGACTGGTTACAAAATTCGGTAATGCTATATGAAAAAATATACCAGGAAGTGGGTGGCACGGATAGTAGGGAAATTCTTATAGCTGTTTGCGAGCGCCTTCTTCGTGAACGCGGCATACTGCAACCTTTAAAAGATGTTGTAGATGTCTGTGTTTTATTGGCTTCACTTTATCTGGATCGCGGTGTTGAGAATAGTTCTTCTATGGGGGTTCTAGAAGATGGCTTGCTCTTAATTACTGACATTGGTCAGAAGGTTATCAGCCAAATTTTCTACAACTGCGAACTAGCAGGCTTAAAACCAAGCGATTCCGATCCTCGCGGGCCCATAGACTTTAGAGCTCTAGCTACTATCGGCGGGGCACAGCCTCATAAAATGCGGCAGGAATATGAGAAGGCTATTTCGCTACTACCGAATTATGATCAGGCAGCCAATTCGAAAGTACCAGAAGCCGCGCTATTAAAATCAGTCGGACCGGAAGACGTGGCAATGGTACTGTTGAGGGTTCAACCTTTCATGGCAAGTTTGTTAGCAATATGCTTTTTATTAAGATTCTTCATTTCCAATGACGAGCGCGGAGCGGGGGGTAATCGCCGTCAATACCTTGACCAAGCTCAGATCTACACAGAACTCGGTTCGAGATTGATTCAACCTACGAGCCCTTATATCATGCTGCTCGATGAGATTAACAACTCTATTGCGAGTATCAAGAACAAGCTCGATCAAGGCGAGGTATGGGAAGATCAACTCGAACTTTCATCACGATTCAAACATTTGCGCGATGTATATTTCCCATACATCAAGGAAAACCATGTGAGCAAGCAGGCTAGCAAACGGATCATGCCCTCGGGACTTGGGTCTTGGCTTTTTCGAGACGATATCTCCTCGTTGATATGGCTTTAGGTTGCACTTAATACTCCTATATACATAGCCTGTAGTTGGTGTCGACTTTCATGTCTGATGTGTAGTACGTTGTACTTATTTGATTGTTTGGTACGCAGTAGCATTAGTTCTGGTTTATAACGTTTGCGAGACTAAGGTTTATATGTAATTTAATAATGATATTATATGGTTATTGCCTCTGAACTTAGCTTAGCTTAGCTGGCCGGCTGTGTAATGTTGCATTTTGTATATCTTGTTGTTGTTCATCGCCTGGGGAATTAGTAATATATCATCCCGCTACTAACTAGGTACTTACCTAGGTAACAATCGCCCAAGGCTCATCGGAGTTAACGTTACTACTTCACATACCTTCATCTCTCATCTCACTTTAAGTACGTACGCGTACGCCAACGTTTGAAGAACTTACAACCTCTTATCGATCCTTTTATTCCTCGGGTTCCAGGCGACAAGTCTCTCTTCGAAAGGTTGAGTTAACATAGGTAAACTTACTTAGCTCAACTAGCCTTAACTTCTCAGTTGAGAGCCTTACATCGTAAGCTCCATCCTCATTAGAACGTCACATACTACCCCGCCATGGACTCCGACATCCCCCCACCGGGCATCGACGAACCGAACCAGGTCCTCCTACGAGGTCCTTCAATATCATCCGATCCGGTTGCTTCAAGTCCACTTCCAGCTTCACTAAGTTCCGAGGTATCCGTCGACAAATCGACGACTACCTCCGGGCTCGAGCGGCCTAAAGCGACAGCTGCCGGTAGCTCTGGCGACGATATCATCCCACAACCCCTGCAGAAACGTCGGACCAGTAGTTTCGAATACCATGAAGACGGTCCATCGCAATATGATAGCTTGAAGCTTGTTTCCAGGGGTAAGTTTCATCAATTCCTAAATATCCGGAGTAACTACTTAGGTACCTACATACTTGCGATCTTCGCGATGCTGGTTGTCTGACTTCAAACGTTAACCCCCACCACAACACACCCCACCCCTCCATCGCCATCTCCCCATCCCATTTCCACTATATTCACTAGAAACTTACAAATTGACTATCAAATAAACATAGGCCCAAACCCCATTTCCCCTCTTTTCCTCGACCTCCTTCGAGGTAAAATTCGCGAAGCCGAACGTCAACTACACTTCGCCCTCCTCTCAACCTCGACTCGCGACTCCCATGATGCCTCAAAACGTTGTTCCTGCGCTTTGGCGGAACTGGACTACGTCCGACAACGCGTAATCCTCCCACCACCAATCCAACTCCTAGATGCCAGAGTCCTACGAACCACAGCGCTATCAACATTACAATATGTCGGCGTTGGTGAAGATAGAGTTCTCGATGCTAAGAAAGCCGAGAATCTAATAGAAAGGGCCTTTCAGGTACTGGGAGAATTAGTGGATTGGGAGGAAGTCAAAAAGAGAGGCGCAGCCGTTGAGATGTTGGAGGAGTTTTTGCCTATGTGTTATTTTGGGAAGGATGCCGGTGGGAAGGTATTACCTGATGAGACGACTTCGGAGGATACCGCTGAAGGTGAAGAAGGGACCATCGATTTTACGGAATCGTTGGTACTGTGGTATCAAATGATGGTAGACCATGCCAAAATCACACTAGTTAAAACAGAGATAAAAGAAGGCGTCCACGGAAAGAAGATCAAGATCGAGAACCTTGCCAAGGCCGGTCGGCTCTTCGCCGTCGCTTTAGAAGGCATGAAAGAAATCTACGAAACAGACGGGAGTGTTGATACTGAATACGTTGATTACAAGAAGAGTGCCGAAGACGGACTCCAAAGAATCGCAGATATCGCTGTCAGAGTGTGGAAGCAAGACGAACTAGTCGAGATTATGGAATCAACAACGCCCAAGTTGGATATGGAGAACATCAAACTCAAGGTCATCAAAGCGATGCAAAAAGCTCAAGAAGAATCCCAAGAAAGAGCTAAGAGGAAAGAGCAAGCGAAAGAAGATGGATATGCTGATAGACCACCAAAGACACCAGCCAATGATGATGGACCCGAAGAGGAGGAAGACATCTCTAAAAATAAGGGCAAGGGGAGAGCTACCGATGCTGATGACGAATTTACACCGCTCAGTCCGAAGCCGATATCTGCGAAAGAGAAAGGGAAAGGCAAGGCGATTATCCTGGATGATGATGAAAAAGAAAAGGGACTGCCCGCGTATACCCCATGCACAGAGATCCCAAACACTGGCCAGAAAGAGGATGACTGGGTCATTGTTGAACCAAAGGAATAAACTCATATGTTAGCGTTTCTGGATATCAACTCAATCTCTTACCTGTTTTCTGTTAACAACAGTTCTTTCCCCAAACTAACTTAAAGCTACAAAGCAATTTTTCATTTTCCTTTTTCATTTCTATTTTTTTTTTTTTTCCATCTTTCTTCCGCTTATTCCTTACTAATCTTTGTTTCCTTTCAAATCAGCCGCACCATTGTGAGCCTTCCGGCTAAGTTAACGTTCTAGTTTTCATTCTCTTTTTTTTCCGTATTTTTTTTGTCACAGAAATCCACACTTCTTTTGCAAGGGGGCTTCGGTGGGACACGGAGGAGAAACTAGGATTTTAAAGAACTCGGCGTTTTTTTTTTTTTTTTTTTTTGATTATATTAGCTATTAGATGCTGTTTATTACTACTAGTTATCTTTTTATCGTCAGAGCAAAGGGAAATGAACCAAGTTTATACACTTTTTTCGATGGCATCTGTTTACCTCTAACTTTTAGGCCTGGGTACGTACGAGACAAACTTCCACCGCCAGCTACAAACTTTGATATGCGTATGGCAAGCGGGTTTAAACCCGTGGGAAGTGCGATTGCATGCTACGAGGAGCAACCGAAATAGTTTCATCCTCGTCAGGCTGTAGCTTCAAATCCGGCCAGACTGAACAGTTACACTCAGTGTATATACTACATCTACTAAGGTATTGACATCTACGACTTGTGGATTTGTGTATCCATACGCGCGATCTTTGGAACCTTTACTAAACTGTGTCGGACATAATTATAATATAATATTTGGAGTGGCTAAGATTCGATTCGTGTTTGTTTAGAATAAATCTTTCGGAAAAAAGACAAAAAAATGCATACCTTATTCAAGGCTACGGTGTTTAGGTAGCTAGAAGTGAATAACGGTAAATACTCTGGGAACAATTGTTAGCCAATTGCAATCACATTAGACATTCCAACGACGAGGCGTCGAAAAATCCGAAAATTTATCGGGCAATGGGTAGATTTGCGGAAAGAAAAAGAGAAACCAGCGATCCTATATAGAACAAATGTGACAAAAGGCATACCAGGGAACAAAAGTACCCGAACATGATGCGATGGTACGAAGGGCGCAGCCTTCTCAAAAACTCAATACTTAAGGTACCTCGAAAAAGGATATGTCTCCATGCAATCGATAGTATATACAAGTACTTAAATATTTACTTCTTAAGTAGACTACATTGAATATCATATTATATATCACCACCTACGAATCCGGACGGACCAATACAAGTTATACATACTTACATCTTAAGTAGTAAGTCCACTATCTACTAAAAGCTACCAAGTTCTTTCTCTTAATTTTCAATAAAAAAAGAAACAGGAAAAAAAAGAAACATCAACCGTCGACATATACCGACATCACGATATCGCCAAAATGCATACCGCCTACTTGCACCTTCAAAATCCCACACTGCCAACACACCCGCACCCACACCAACAGTATCACCACCCGCATCACCGTCTCCTCCCGGTCCCCTCGACAGGAATCATCACCATCACCGTCCTGTTACTTCTTCTGACATTCTACCACTTCCTCTTCACAAACCTCAACTCTTTCCCCCAACATCAACGTCGTCATCATCAATCCCTTCTTCAACCTAGAGATTACACCCCTCCGCCATCTTCAAAACTTCGATGTCCATACCTCTACTTCATCGAGACATACTTCAAACACAAGTACAATGAAGATAAAGATGAACCTACAAAGACTACTAATTCATTCCCATGTCACTCTTCCACCCTAATTCCAACGGTCCAGTACTCTCCATCATCATCATCATCATCATCATCATCATTGGATAATCATTCACTATCAGACATAAATACATCTCTTCTATATCCACCTTCCATCACAGGGAACCCAGCATCATCATTCCTCTCTCACTATAATATCCCAAGTACCCTCATAACCACAACCACCTACAAACCCACCACGTCCACGTCATCCCCCCTTTGGGCCCCCCCAAGACCAAAACCTCCAGCCCCGTCACTATCACCATCACCATCACAAACACCATCACAACCGCGATCACCACCAGAACCCCAAATCCTAAAGGAATCAACCTTCCTAACAACCCTAACAATCCTCTCAACCCTTCTGCTCATCTCCCTCAACATCTTCATTTGCACCTTTCTCTACCAACGCCATAAACTACTTCGAAATAATAATAACCGAGCTGATAACAATAATACACCCAACAACGGTGGCAACAGCAACGAGGCTGATGACAATGATGATGACGACGATGACGGGAAGTACGGTAATATAACAATCCAACTTGATCCAGAGGACCCAGAGGTTTTCAATCCCCCAAATGGTACCAGTAACAACAACAATAACAATAATCCTGGCCAGGAAAACTGGGAAATTATACACCTTGGGCCCTTTGATTATCCACAACAAACACAACCACGAAACCATTGCCAACTCTTTTAAAGTCATTGGAACCCCTCGAGAGTAACAAAAATGAAAGGCTGGAGATAATCTTCACTATCAAGATTGTCGTTCCTTTCCATGTTATGTCAAAGCATCTGGAGTTCAATATAAGGAGTATTTCCGGGAAGGTGTTCTATTATTTAGGAGGAAGCGGCGTTTGGATATATTATTACTTAAGTACTTTGTCATCTGTTTTAAATTTGAATATTTGTATTATTATATCATTTGAATGGTTCTTCACTTATACATATCATTAAAAAAACATATGATCGAAAAAAAAAAAGAAAGGGACATGCAAAAAAGATCGTGACTCCATAGAAATGCAGCCTCATCTTTCCCATTAGAAATCCTTTTCAAATAAGACCCCCAATAAAAGAAGGATTTCAAAAGAGAGGGAGAGGGAGTCAAAGGGAAAAAGAACGCCAAATGCTCAAAGCAAACATGTGAACATGTGGACATGTTATCTAAAAATCAACCATGCATCGTGAAACAATCCTGCTAGAAAGGAGGACGAGTGGGGGAAAGGAAAAAGAAAGCAAATAATTTCAGCCTTCTTTCTAAAGCAATCACAACCACAATCCCCAAATAGATCTCCTGCAGACCAAACCAGAAAGATAAAGATGCAAATAGTATATCCCATCCAACTCCCGCAACGATCAAAAAGGGTTTTACATCATCTTGCTGCCTCTCTCCAAAATCTCATCCTCACTCATCCCTTCCTCCTCTCTAAACCTCCTCACAACCACGAGACAAACAAGTGTAACCGCACTGCCCACCATAAACACACTGTCGAACCACCCATCCACCCATCTAACATCCAACATAACCCCTAACGCACTCCCCAGCACGCTTCCCATGTTTTTAGGCAAAGAGCTCCTCAAAAGCACAGCCGCGGACATCACATAAATCGCCGTAACCTGACTAACCGCCAACGCCAGTCCCGCATGTCCCCAAACGCTGGGGGCAGCTTTAGTAATCATATTAAAAGTTGTTAAGACAGAATTCAACGATCCCAAAATGATAACGCCTGAAAATCCAAATCCGATGTTCCGACTCCATGCCTCTCGGTTTAGATCCGGATCGTAGTGTTTAATTATTATCGCGAGTATATTCCCTATTGGGTCCTTTTGGGAGAATGTAACCGTTCCGCCGTGGGCGGCTGTACTCCATGCTGAGAACCTGAGGAGTAAAGTGGAGGATATACGGTAGATACAGTATATCGCAAAGGCGAATTGGACGACACCGTACATTCGTCCTAGTATTGTTTGAGATCGACCTTGCTCCTTGAGTCGGGTTGTGATGTTTTGAACGTCGTTTCCAAGACTAGTTTGCATGGCTACTAGGCCGGAGATTTCCATCTGTAGTGCTGAAGCCTCTTTAAAGTCGTCGTTGCCACCACGGAGAGAGGACATCATTTTGGTGAGGATACTGCCCGCGCCCGTGTTTATCTCTGGTGATCCCTTGGAACCCAATTTTCGTTCAATGGCGGCGAGCTTTAGACGCTTAGCTTCGAGCATTTCGTTTGTGACATCTAGACCGCCTTGGGCACGACGGAGGTCGGTTTCTGAGACGGGCTTTTGACGACGAATGAAGCAGTACCAGGGAGCCGAGATGGCACCAAAGCCGGAGAGAAGGGCCATCAACTGTGTATATATCCACCCTTATTAGATTCAACATTCATTCAAACAGCGTCAAGAGGCTGAAGCTCAAGAAGAGAAAGGAGAAGTGAGGAAAAAAGACTTACAGAAACACCGATAACACCCAATCGACTCAAACACTCATCACTAACTCCCTTTGCTGTAGTCTCAAACGACACATTTCCATCCGGGAACAAAGCTTCATCAATAGGCGGCAACGGCAAATGATCCCCCAATTTATAAAATAACCAAATCCAAGTCCCGAACATCAAAACCATCGCAACACTTTTGCTCTTCTTCCTCCAATTACCTCCTCTTTTCGTCGATGTTGGAGACATGATTTCATGACTACTTTCGTCCCTTCTATGGATAAACGAGTAGATTTCGAGTAACGGTGCAACGACTATCAGCATCACTAGCAAGACGTTGGTGGTACACCGAAACCATAGCCATCGCGCGGACATATCACCCCAATCCATTATTTCACATAAGATCAACTCGCCGAGGACTCCTGTGGTACCGAGGGTTATGGCGAAGACAACGGCGCTTAATCGGCGGTAAAGAGTTGACGCAGAAGTCGTTCGGATCATCGGCGGGAGGGATAGAGTGGGTGTGAGGGCCGATCGGGAGCCATTTTGATCGTTTGTGAGGTAGGGAAATAGTCGGAAAAAGGCGAGTAGAGAGATTAGAAGGAAAGTGGTGAAGAATGGGACGGACGAGAGGGTGGTGAGGAGGAGGGATGATGTGAAGGGAGTGGCAGCGGCCTTGTTGAGGCCTGGCGGGAAGCAGGTGTCATCGGTACATTGGTCGGCGATGATGCCTGTAGGGAGTTCCGAGGTGGATAGCATGGAATCCATCGTGATGGCAGTGATAGTGGTGATGGTACCCGTGGAGGTTCAGATGGGACGAAGAGCGGAGAGCGGAGGCCTTATAAGGGGGGTGGGACCAGCCTCACAGCGATGATGACGACGAAAAAGTTCAAGCTCAGTTAAATGTGAGGCTAGTAAGCTTCCGGACTGAGACGGTGTTTATTATAAGACACTTTTATGCGGGAGGATGCCCAGCATTCCCGACGACAACAACAAACTGATAAATATAATGATGATGGTAATGATGATGGTGGTGGTGATAAGAAAGAAGAAGAAGATGTTGATGTTGATGTTGATGTTGATGTTGAGGCTGAAGGAGAAGGAGAAGGAGAGAATTGATTCGAGTTCAAACGATGGCAGCATCATATCGACAGGGCATAAGCAGGGCTTCGAACAGGGTCCCCGGCACACCGAACGGGGTTGCATCTGGTCGACTCTGGCCCACCCGTCGTCGCCACCAACATAACATCCGCATTATCATATGACATTCGATACTATATTAAAACATCTTCAAGATCGAATTGAATTGAATCGATTATATTTTGTATTTTTTTTTTTTGTCGACATAGGCGGTAATAAACCCTCGACGCTATATATAGTATCGATATCCCGGTTCATGCATCATGCATCATGGATACTCCAAATACTGCGCAAACAACACCAGTTCCCGTCTACAAACCTCAACACCTTAAGCTAGCATATAATCTACGAAGCGGATCTCTAGATTTTGAAGATTGGGCCGGGTCTAGTTTAAAAGACAAAAAGATACTGACTTAGATATTTTACAATTAAATAGACTCACTTACAATATATATAGGTATATATGTGGAATCGCCCCCAAAAAATCTGAATATGCATTCGATTCGATACGAATACTCTAATCTAATGCTCGCTATCATATGATCTAAAATTAAAAAGAACTACAGCTATCGGGTACGAGTATAACTAGAGACAAGGATTAATATTCCGAAGACAATCTATAGAAAGAGCAAAGTGGAAGGATGGAAGAAGATCCAGGGTGCCTCCAGCAACCAGTCTATTCACAAAACGTATCCACGAAGCTAATATTAATACAAAAAGGCGGGAAGAAACAATTCGCTGAGGAAGAAAAAAAAAGGAATCAGGGAATAGGTGAACTCGACGGATAAGGTAGGTAATGTTGCAGTGCCGGCTTCTCTAGCGCTATTTCTTCGTACACCCGGCGGTCAATCCGTCGAAGAGGGACAATCGCATGAGGTGAAGATGCATCCTTATCATTCCCTTTCTCCTTATCAATCCCTTTCTCCTTATTATTCCCTTTGTCCTTCTCATTCCCTTTCTGCTCATTATTTTTTCCCGCCGGCTTATCATCATCGTCATCATCATGTCCCTCTCTTACTATTGCCGCTAGCATTGCATAATTCCCCCTCAGCACTCTTCTTTGGTAGCAAGCTGTCGGTAGATAAAACCACGTCTCTATCCAAACCGGATATCTTCTCAAAAACGTATGGTACAAAATGAGATCGCACATCCTACGTCGTTCCCCTCCCTGGTAGTATTCTCCTGCGATTCCATTTCTGAGATCCCGAACCACGGCCCTGATGTTTTCTTGATGTACCTTGTAGCGTTTTTCATCGGATTTTAGATGCCTCTGAAGGATGGAGATGTGAATATCGATGTCAGATTGAGAGATTCCTAGTCGTTTGATGAGAGTTGGGGACTGTGGTGGAGGAGGAGTCAGTCGGCTTCTGAGAGGTCTGTATAAGAGTAGAGAATCTAATGCTTGGTATGGCATTTTTGGATTATTGATATATATAATCAATGCGGTGGTCCGCGGCGTGAGCGAGGAGGAATGTTATTATATGTATGAATTCGCACGAGATGTAATATTGATCATGCATCATGTAATTGAAGAGAAGGATGGTATCTGAATAGAAAATACCTCAATCAAAATTAATAAATCGATGAACAATATTAATCTGATATCAATACAATAAACTTTCTATCTCTTCCTCCAGACTGTCTCATCATCACTTACATATCCTTTGAACACGCTCGCTGGCGTAGATCGCAAGTGGTATAACTAAATATATTATACTCCGATATCTTTTGAGGTGTTTTGTATTAAGATTGAGACAGATCCTCGACAGCAGAATAGATGTATAGACGTCGATCAGATGCAAGTAGGTACGCTTAGGTAATCATTGTCTCGTCGCCAGACTCCTCAACTGTGGGTAATCAGTGTCACAATTACTAGTTATTTGATAAGAGAAGTAGCTGAATGGTGATTGGTATGGTATTACCTGTTAATCAGGACCAGGGTAGATTTAAGAAGAGGGGTAATAGTAGTACCTGTAATAGTAGTATTGAAGGGTATGCTATCCAGTTACCGCGTTCATCTCGATCACCCTGCAGACTTTGTATCTATGCAAATAGTCTAGATTCTACTTTTTATTCCTGTACTCCATAGCAATCGCAGACTTAATATTATTCTCCATACTAAACTAGTAGGTACTAGCTAATTGGCTGACCTATGCTCCGGCAAACCACGATATGATGATACTATGCGATATGATTAATTTAAAGCCTCATGCATATGAATACTCGAATACTAGCAATAGTAACCCCGAAACACCGAACCCGCATAAACAAAATTGGTAAAGATCAATAAGGGTAAATAAATAAAAAATGATTAGACTTCCTCCCCGTCCAACAAACTCATATCATCCTCCTCCCCTCCACCCCCTCCATCCCCTCCGTTCTTCTTCTTCCCCCCCACAAACCCTGTGATCTTCCCCCATACATCCTCCTTCTCCTCAAAATCCTGCCACCTCTCCTCTTTCTCCCAAAGACTATAAAACTCCGCCGTCTCATCAACCCTCATACTCCTTGTCCTCCCCATTCTGTTCTGCCTAACCATCAACCCCGTCAACGCCGGATCTTTCCGTTGTTTACTCCTAAAACTCTGCGTCCAATACATCTGTTCGTGTTCCCTCAAATACCTATCACCGTGAAAACTTCTAAGAACGACATCACGAAGTCGAAGTCCTAGTTTTCGACGATCCTCGGCTTTATCGTACATTCGTTTTGTGATCCATTCTCTGTCGTCTGGTGTAAATGTTTCTGGTAGAGGTGGTGGGGCTACCGCGTCATCAGTGTACTTTGCCCACGGTCCCAACATTGCCAGAATACTCAATTGGGCTCTAGCTAAGGCTACGGGATCATTAGGCGGTACGACTTCTCCATATCTGATATCCGGGTCATCGGGGTCTGTGAGAACCTGTGCTGTAGCTCCGACTTCAGTGGCAACGATCGGAATCCCACTTAACGCGGCTTCACCGATGGCTAACGGTAAACCTTCCGATAAACTAGAGTTCATGAATAACCAAGCCTCCTTCAACACCGTCTTGGGACTTCCAAACCCTCCTAGTTTGACAAGTCCCGTTAGACCTCTAGTGGTAATAATCTTCTGCGTTTCGACGGTATACGCGGGTGTTCGGTCCATGGCGCCGTAGACTGTCAAATGGTAGTTTCGAAAGCCGTAGGTGTTGATGATTACATCTGCTGCTTGAACGGCGTTTTTGATGTCTTTGATGAATTGGACGTTGGATAACATCACTACCGTTGGTTCTTCGGAGATGCATTCCGTCACTGGTTGGAATGATCCCATGTTTCCTATACCGTTTGTTACAGGGTCAATTTTTCGTCTAAACTCCTTTCTCGATTGTCGACGGCCGGAGTCGGTTCCTAGATCTGCTTCCCAGTCCCTGTAATCTGATTTAGTATTCCGCATATATATAAGAGAAGTCGATAATAGAAGGAAAGAGAGATGAGGAAAACTTACGGATTATAAACACTGGTACAAGGCAACAGCACATCAGCATGGAAATACGCCAAATTCGCCGCCAATTTCATCACACTCAACAGCATATTCTGCACCGGTATAGCGAGTAAACACTGTGCCGTCGAAATATTCAAACAACTCTCCCTCCACATGATAGCATGATCCCAAATACCCCACGTAACCCCTCTTCTCAATTTCAAAATCATACCGTATAAAGATCCCACTCCGTGATGAGTACTCTGAAATACTGTTGGCACAACATCGGGGATTTTACAATGGTAAACGAAGAAATAACAAATAAATAATTCGAGGGCGTTGTCGAAATCTGTTAGACTGGGTTGTTCGAGTTCAAAGTACGAGGATGGATTGACCATATTCGGATCATCGTATTCTTTCTGCCATGCTTCTCTCCAGGCTATTAGAGTCTCTTTTGCTCGCCATGATTTGTTATAATCCTTCTCTTCAAAGTATCTGTTGATGTTCAAAAACACATTTGAATATGTAATCAAATCTTCATTCGAATACCGGTTCTGTCTTGCCCCCCTAATAAGTGTTCTGAGTAGTGGTATAAATTTACCCACAACATCTCTTTTGACGTTTGTAGCCCGAATCCGGTTCTCAACTTGTGTATCCAACAGATTATCGAACAACCCATGATTTGGCAATTTCCCATCAAGCCCCCAAAGCGGGATCACCTGCATCGAATTAACATTCCGTTCGATTTGATACCGCGGAACTCCATAATCATTCGCCGATTCAGTAAGAACATGATTTCGAATCGTCGTATGTCCATTCACCAAATCACGACGACAATTACTGACACCACCCGGAGCATCCGGCCAACACCCCGTGTCTAGGAAAGTAACTGATAACCTATCGAACGTATCTTGGTAACATTCCTCTGGTTTGAGGGTTATATGCGTGGCATCCTTTGCTCCTCCCATGGTGAGTAAATCTCCGACTTTGATGCTCAACCAGGTGTTCTGAGAAACGTCGTCCGTTACTTCGATTGTGGCAGCGATCGTGTTAATGTTACTTCGAATGAAATGGTTCGCTTTTCGGAAATGTCCTCGATCTCGGAGTTTCCAATATTCTTTTAGAAGGGGTTCTTCACGGAGTATTAACTCGTCGATATAACAAGCTGATACACCATCTAGATTTCCCGCAGAAGACCACTGTTGCCATAATATCGTCCTCAGCTTTGAAGTATGGACAGGTCCATAAACAACCTTCTGCTTTGAAAACGAAAACTTTGAAACCCAAGAAGGTTTCTCATGTCCCAACTGTCTAGCAAATAACGATCCAATCTTGCTCGGCGGATGAAAGAACAATAAATCCTCATTCTCAAACCCCAACCTCTGTGGCTTCTTAAAGAACCCATAAAGATCTTGTAATGCTTCCGGAGCGGGTTGGTCTTGAAACTTAATCTCGTCGTTTTCAAGGTATACGGTCGATAACGTCGGATGCCGTTGATGTGCATAAGTCCACGTCGTATCCCAAGATCTTGATCGATATGAATACACAAGTCGTGTAATCTTCTCGTATGGTTTCCATTTCTTAATATTCCCGTCTTCATGCAATGGGACAATACACCAGTAAACGGAGTATATGGCAGGGTAATCCGGATCCAAACTCGTATACCTAGCCTTCAGAATCTCCCTACTGGTAGGTGGAGCAATAGCGTAAAGATACTCAAAATACCATTCCCTCCCACCGGCAAAAATACTTCCGTGGCTTTGCCGTCCTTGTGCATCGTAAAATATCTTATCGATCCGATTATCTTTGATAACGGTCTTAAAAATCGGATGGCGACTATGCTTTTCTCCAGGGTCATAGTCATATGTTGTCTGAATCGGTCGATCAAGCGCACCAGCGTTCAGAGATCGAAGTCGTTGTGTACCATCGTACTCCGCCATTCCCCTCCACGACTTATCATCACCGCGGGCTGTTAAAACGCCGGTGAAGAACTCACACTTCAACGTCCCTCCTTCACGACTTAAGAACCCTGTCATTGGAGTCTGTGGATCATCGACTGTAATCGTTTTTGTCGTCAATACCCTCGGAACCCCGTCCTTCGCTACTTTTAGAAGCTTTGTGATAACAGGTCGATGGTGTAGTAGGAATATTGTAATGGCTGACTCTCGAACCTGACGACACACTCTCCAACAGAAGAGTATTATAAACAACAATGGCTTTCGATACCACTTATGCCGTAAAGCATACCATAACTCCCTTCCAAGGTCATACCCAGCCGAAGAAGTGATGGCTATATACTTTATTAGTGCGAATAAAAACCAATAAAATGACATCCATAGACTCCTGCATTTGACTAAAAAGCCAAATCTGGGAGGATCCGTCATTTGCATGAGTTCCAACCCATCTGTTGGTGGCAGATCAGGTAATGCGAATGCTGCTCGAGAGACGTAAGATATGGGGCGTGTGCCACCTGTTCTACTAACGTTTTTATTCGCCATGCCATAGATTTCGAGGCATTGTTTTACTCGTAGCGTCATCCTGTCGACGAATAGCCTCCACGGTTCGCGATTTATCGTTCCCACCCAATTTACCACATCTGGTGTCGGTAAGAATACCCTATTCTCAACTTGCGCAAGAATCATCTCCCGAACGTCTTCAGGGAGTGTTACCCAATTCTGGTTAACAGGTTGGTTATAACTCAAATGCTTTAGTAACTCAACATTAGTTCTTTCGCAGATTCTTGTCAAGCTTCTGTAGTCGCTAAATTCCAGTTGTATTCTCATCCGGTAGGATAATAACGAGTTCTCTTGATCGGATAGACATGTTTCGGCCAATGCTGCGTCAGCATGAGTCAGTGAAAACATTGCCTCGCAGGTTTCGTGAAGAAGACCTTCGGCTAAGATATGCGCCACTATATCCACTTGATCACCCTGAACGAACGCGGGGGTCACACCAGGAACAAATGCATAAACGTCGAGATGGAGATCACGCATTATACCCACGGCTATGGAATACGGTGAACCTAATCTCCTCATACCACTAGCCGTGGTTAAGTATAACACCGTAGACCCATTTCTCCACCGCGTGTAAGCTGCTGTTTGGTAAGAAGATAAAGCGGGGAGTGCCTTTGAGAGCTCAGTGCTTGGTTTCCGAGTTGTCAGGATCCGTTCGATTCGATCCGAAAGCGCGCTACCGGGGTAGTACCGAATATGCTGGTATTCGTCGATGAAGAGGTCGATAGTTTTAGGCTTTACGCAGGTCTCGCCTGGGACGAGGCCGAGGTACTTTTGGGAGTAGAGTTTCCAATTGGTCTTTTCTACGTTTTCTGTGTCGCCAGTTTCTTCCTCCTTTGGTTGGGGGGAGAAGTCCGTTAGAGCATAGCTAAATGCTACACCTAAGGTCGAGGCGGTGGCGAGAGCAATGGTATCGTTGAAGCGGAACATGTGCAGCGCGGGTATGGAATGCATAAGACAACCGGTGAAGAAGCCGATACAGGCGGCAATCATTATGCCCCAGTCGTATTGTCGAATACTCCTTGTGAACACGCGATTGAACTAGAGTCTCGAATTAGCAATTTTATCCTCTACGTATAAAAAACGCTCCAACTTACCTGCATAATCAGAACCCCGGTATACCCATAACAGTATCCAAAGTACAATACTGTCTGGTTGGTATCATACACAAATAACCATATAGCCATCGTGTAGACACCAAACAAAAACGCCAGGTAGAGGAATAATTCCCACAACGCTTTGTAGTACATTGCCCTTTTTCGAGCGATATCCCCACTAAGAGCTTTATCCATTGCCTCTTTATTTTTCAACTTCTTTTTGGATTTTTCTGCCATAAGACCCCAGCAGCCTTGGATGTGGCTGTCGAGTGCGATAGCGCCGGATAAGAAGTAGAGAAGGCCAAAAGCGATACCGTATCTTGCTCTGAACTCGATATATAAACTGATAACGTATCCGTTGGCGCTCATTGCAATTTCGACCCAACGATCGAGTAAAGCAATAACAAAAACTGTGACGTTTTGAGCAATCTAGTTTCATTAGCTCATCTGCCCCCCAACCAAGATATAGGAGAAAATATACTCACATCATACTTCGAATACCTCCACATTTGAAAGGGACTATGCTCCTTCAACCCTCTGACGAACAATCTCTGCGTGTTCAATGACACCTTCAATTGAACATGCCAAGTCGGTGTATATGGCTCTGGAATATCCGCTCCATATGCATCCTTCTTGAGCAGCCATACTGATTCACGATACCCCAACACCAACTTCTTTACGAACGGCGTTTCTTTGATCGGGAAGAATCTCGTAAAAACTCCATGGCGTCTTAGATCAGCCGTGCGCACCCTCTTTAAAAGCAATGCACGAGCTTTATCGAGCAACGCAGATCGAGCTCCTTCGTCATCCTTGGGGATTGCCAGTTTATTCCCACCAGCGTATTCTTCTGCCCACCATTCCAGGATCTTGTTATCATCAATCATGACGATACTATCCAACCAGGTAGCCCAAGTAATACAAAGTTTTCTATAGTTATAGAATAGGACGAATAAAAAGGTATAACAGATTGGCAGATATATAACCACATCATGGCCATTGTAAAATGTTGTGATAATCGGTGATAGGACTAAGACGAACATACTCTTCGCCAGTACTTTTCTACCAGATGGCAGTGGCGCGCCATCTCGATGGGTTGTGGCGAGAATACCGATTAGGTTGAGATATGGTGAGAGGAAATTGAAATATGCAAGAAAAATCGCGGCACCGTACCAGCCGTATTGGAGGCCAAAGGCGATGAAGCAACAGACGCTGACTGTGCAAGAAAGCATAAACCCGCCGACCATGCGAGAAATAAAAAAATGGTTCATAGAATCGAAAGCGAACTAAAAGAAATGTTAGCAGGTAGTACGGGTGCAGTGGGTATATATCAACCTTACATTAAACAAGTAGAAACCACCACCACTACCAACCCAACCCGTAACGCCAGCGCACATCAAAAGCGATGTCAATAAAGCAAAAGAAGCCATTAAAGTCTCAACGTCGTGCATAAACCCGGTTAAGTAAAGGCCTCGCCCCAGGAATGTCAGGAGCAGAATGTCGATGATACCGGGTAAACAGAATATGGAAAGATAACCATATTTCTTGATCCCTTCCATTGTCTCGCTGCTCTCTTGTTTAGGCGCTGCGATGGCTTCTGTTCTTGTTTCCGGTTCCGCAATGTATTCAACTTTCGTATAAGCCGTGAAGAGGTCCTTTCCGTTCCAGGCGTCGTCCGGAGGGGGGTTGGCGCGCAAGTAACTCCGATACCTGTCATATATAACTTCTCCCAACTGTCTAGGTGTGATATCAAAATATAGCTCGCATTGAGATCCCAAAACCCAGAGCTCAGCAAAAACACCAGCTTGATCCTTTTGTTGATGAAATAATGGACATCTGTCGGTCGCTTCCAGGTATACGTCCTCGAATCCATACTTTCGAAATGCGGAGAAGACCATTAATGCGAAAAGATCTGACAGGACGTCAACTCTCATGAACCGATCATCGGATTTATCAAACGCTGCTAGGAGTACTTTCGTGATTACATTGATGGTTTCTCGGTCAATCGTATATAGAGCGTCAAGAATCACACTATCCACTATCTGGAATAATCGATCTAGTCGCCCTATATGTGGAAGCACTCTCGCACCCTGCCGTTTATACCAAGTCAGGCGGTAGTTCAAGACATCATAGGCGCTCATGGTTCCATTCAAGAGATTCTTCGCGTGTATTTCCTTCCATGCTAGCTTCGTTGTATCTTTGATCAGTAGCTCCCTACATCTATCCTCCACAAGCTCGATTATTGGGGTTCGCGAACTATTTGAGACTTGTATCTGAGAAAGAAGCGTAAGTTGTTCGGCATATGTGGCATTGTTTATCTCTGATAGAACCCTCGGCGGGAGAATGCTCAATGGAAGATCAGGTTTGATAGATCGCGCAAGGTCGATTTCATAGTAAAATCGCTCTTCTCTTGGAACCCCAGCTACAGCGAGGTAGGTATGTAATACAGTTCCCAGTAGATCGGGGGCTTTCTGTGAAACGAAAACATGGAGTTTATCGTCTTCCCCGTGATGATGAATAACTTTGCTGACAGCCCAAAGGCGAGCGTTATTGTCAGGTGTCGCAAATCCAGTGTCGAGACCATGAAAAACGAATATCCTTCCTGTTGCTAGGCCATCAATTAAGGGTTGGACTACCCTGCCACGACTTGCATACTCGTTTTGGAGAATCGGATCTGTTTGTTCGACATAGTAAGATCGAAGCCTTCGGTAGGCCTTCGAGAGGGAGTGGATTTGTGTTTCCCCAAGGAGGTGCAACATATTGATATCCCGGAGATGTTCCTGGCTCTTCTGAATTGCATCGAAATGGTCTTGCAAAACCTCTTCACCGAGGTCATAGCACCCCAATGGGCACAAGGGGTCGTTCAAACTCGACATTGTCCAAAAGTTCAACCGCCGAGGTGCCTCAAGGCTATAATTTGTCGGGTTTATCGGGTCTAGGTCAGGGTAAAAAAAAGACTGGTCTCCTTCTTCTCGGATATTGAAAAGTTGGAAATACTGCTCGATTCCGGGTATAACGTCTCGCAGCCCCTCAACATCCAGTCTACTAATTTCATATTGCCCTTGGTCATCACAGCAAATTGCTTTCCTCTCTTCCACCCAGTCCTTATGGAGCACGCTGACGTCGTCTCTCTTCAACCAATCAAAGCCGGCGAGACACATTTCCACAGGGAAACACTCCTCAATTTGTGATAAACTTCTTGACGACGCAACCTGCAACGCCGCACCAAAGAACTTTGCGATCTTTACAGCCCTCCGGACAATTGCTGGTTGAGGCCGAATTTCCCATGTATCGTGGAACCCAACGAAAAATTCGGGCCTCGTTTCCCTCTGCCGTGCGCATCGTCCTATGCCGTATCGAAGGTGATCTGATTGAAAGAAGTCTCTTCGTTCGCCGTTTGCATGAATACAAGCATTTTCGAATATTACACCCCCCATCTGCGTCATATCTAAACCGAATATATCTGTGAATGGCGGTAAACTCTGGAGGAATATCGGAATACCAAGGAATCCGCAATGATATAGCAATTCGTTGAGCATCGGCTTTGGTATTATATCGGCTGGAAGCAAAAGTCCGTATGCATTAGGAGCCCCAGATAGACGATGAACCGCATCAACCACTGCTCCAAGCTTTTGCTCCGGTGTCGTTTTGTCGTCAAAGAATGGCTTGCGCACATGACACAAAACGACCTTGACTGATTTCTTTTCTGGTGTGCCCTCTTCGGGTATACTCGAAAGCCTAGGTCTTTGCAATGTCGCCACAGACTGCTCGTCCAATACCAACATCTCGAATCCCTTCCCATATAAGTCATCAACACCCCTCCCCAAGTACATTCCAAAAGTCTCGATTTCATCTGGGAATGGTTTTCGTTCTCTCGCCGTTGATTGCATCCGCCGGCCTGCGAGATAAGTTTTCGCCGAAAATGACGCGGGAGCTTTCGGTGGTCGTGATCTCCATGCTCGAAACTTGTAGATGATAACCCTAATGAACCAGATGAGGAGTGGAACCCCCATCATTCCTAGCGAGCCGTAAAATGCTGCATATTGATACCAGTGCGCAAACCGAAGATCTTTGGGAACTAAGGAGTTGCTGTAGATGAGAACCATCTTGACGGCGCCCTATACGGACGGAATTGTTTTGGTGTGTAGTCCTCTGCCTGTAAATAGGACCATAGAAAAAAAATTTAGCGATGAGAATTATAAAGACTCCTTGGGTAACCCCTCCACGATATGGATAAAAATTAATAGCTCTGCAAAGCTCCGTCGTACCTTTTTTCTGATTGGAAAAATGAATCTCATAGTCTTGAAAGATCATCGCAAACACAAAGGAGACGAAAATCGCGGCGTCACGGGCTCCCTAAGATTCTATCACGAGCTTGTCTCGTCAGAGGTATTGGAATGAATGACTTTGCATTCCAGTCCCCGCGAGCCCAAACACGCCGTTCGCAGCCCGGCACCCCACTAGCCAGGCACAGGAGCCCTCAAGCGCTATTTTAGTCAGGCATCACTATGACAAAATCCCCATCCGAGAAATGAGGCTACAAGATCGTTGATTTCTAGGGTTTGAATAGAGACATTTTTAGCCTTTACTGCGGAGTTGAATGAGTTAGCACGTGGAACAAACTGCCTTTCTGGGTAGAATATAGTACCATATCCAAAAGCCTAGGCGCTCATGGAATAAGAATTATCGCGAGTATGTGATCAGATCATCTCGATTTAGGTGCAAATCGGCTCTCGAGCCCTCGAGCCCCTCGCGTTGGTACTCTGCATCACGTACGCATCACGATCTTCAACACAGTTACGGTTGTTGAAGACGAACTTTCGTAAAAACGAGACTTTTCCGGCCGATGATTCTGTTGGAATCTGCGAGTCGATACAGGCAAAGCTAGCGAGTGCATACTAGAAAGAGAAGAATTGAAGTCTAGAACGGGATATGCGCAGACATAACGGACGACCGCAGGCAGCCCGATGGCGTCTGTGCAACCTCAGAACCCGGTTGGGTTGTCCAAAATAGCCAGATCAGGAATAGTTCGGGACCAACACATAAAATACAACATAGCTTCGTCCGAAAGCACCCTCGGTTTACAAACGTTATAAACCCCGAGTTCCGATTGAACTAAGCTTTAATCGGATGTTTTTAATGCGGCACTTCGAATATCACTTGAGAACTGTTGGAACCTTCGCATGAAGCTTTATATTCTGCGAAGACTGCAATTTTTACTGCATGCCCCGTTCTAGGTTGCTTCCACGCCAGAACTTGATCCACATCAATGGCCCCATGTGGTTGGCTCTCTCGATAACATTGGCAGCTTCGATCGAGCATTCTAACTGGTTGGAAATCCCTAGCATTATCTTTTCGTATCCAACATTCTGCCTGACCTCAAAGACTTCTTTCTATGGTTGTGTTTCTAGAGCCCGAAAGCAGTATATCCACCCTCCACTCCGATCGCCGGATCAAGTAACTGTCTAACACAATCATGATCAATTGAGCTCAACAGTTCGATAGCATCATTATACGCCTTTGGCTTTCGAACAAAATTATCCGGTCATAGAAGAGCCTACAGATTCAAAGATGTTAGGCTTCTAAGCCCGGGCCTAGAGGTCCAGCCTCTTGATGTTGGCTTTGAATAGGGATAACTTAAAGCTATCGAGAGTTCTTGATCCGCAGATCAGAATACGAGGATATAAAACATAGGATAGAAGGCCTATGTTAACTTTTAACACTTTCTTTTCGACATCATACTCGAGTATCTTCAATTGCCTTCTTAAAACATCAAATCTCTAGTACTTCTAGGACACCATTATTTTGAAGGTTATACTCCTTTCCAAAATGCCTAGCCGCGAAGAAGAAGCCATCAACCAGGCCCGCCAAAAGGCTTTAGGCTTCAATATCATTTTAGTTACGGGGGGTTCTGGGTATATTGGTTCCCATACTGTATTAGAGCTCCTCGTTGCTGGCTATGCAGTCGTTGTCATAGACAACCTATCCAATAGTCATTGGGAATCTTTAGTCAGAGTCCATTGGATTGTTCAACAAGACTTCACCAAAAGAGGACGATCCCCTGGGGAGGTTCCCCCCCTATTCTTTCATGAAGTCGACATCACCGACAGAGAAGCCATGCAAGGAGTCTTTGAGACGTGGAAAACCGACGAGCCCGCAGCCACCGAGCGGAAACCATTGATTAAGTTCGCAGAGGAGAAAATTCTCAAGAAGGAAAAGAAGATCGTCAAGTCTGTCCCGAAAGATATTGGCGCACTCGCCGTTAAGCAGCATTTCAAGTGTCAAGAGTTCAGTGCCTCTTCGACTCAATCTCAGCTTCCAGCCGAAAGACCTACCAAGATCAAGGTTAATGATGTTATTCACTTTGCGGCCTTGAAGTCCGTTGGAGAGTCCGTCTCGCAACCTCTTAATTATTACCGAACAAACGTTGGTGGACTGATTAACCTTCTTGAGTTGATGAAACAGTATAATGTCAAGAATATCGTATTCTCCAGCAGCGCTGTCGTCTATGGTAAAGGCAAGGAAACAAATATTCGTGAGGACTCAGTCCAAGTCGGTGGTGGAGGCTCAGGTGGTGGCCTCCTCACCAACCCTTATGGCCGCTCAAAATGGATGGACGAAGAGATTCTGAACGACACTAGCGTCTCAGACCCAGAGATGCAAGTCATTGCTCTTCGTTACTTCAACCCAACTGGATCTCATCCCAGTGGTCTCATCGGAGAAGATCCACGAGGGACACCCAACAATATCATCCCAGTGGTAATGCAAGCCTTCCAGCGCCGCCGTAGCAAAGTTTACGTCTATGGCTCAAACTATGACACCCCTGACGGAACTGGTGTCCGTGACTACATTCACGTCTTGGATCTTGCCCGCGGTCACTTAGCAGCTCTTCGAAAGCTGACTCCCATCAAAGCGGCGAAGGATGCCGCACCACCGCCACCAGAAGATGACCTCACATCACCGATCAGTCCAACATTTGCCAGGAGACTCTCCAAGGCTAGCGTCAGTAGCAAAAGTAGCATTCGTGGCACTAGCTTCTCTGTTCAACGCACCAACTACCGGTGCTACAATTTGGGAACGGGTACAGGACACTCTGTACTTGATATTCTCAAAGCTTTTTCGAATGTTTGCGGAAATGACATCCCATTCGTTCTTAGCGATGCCCGTACAGGAGATTTGGGTACTGTCACTGCTGATGTCAGTAAGGCATCTTCGGAACTCGGCTGGTATGCTGAATTTGGTCTCCAGGACATGTGCCGTGATGTATACCAATGGGCCGTTGACAACCCTCAAGGCTATGAGCGTCTCCGTCGTCTCTCAATGATGGCACAAGTAGACCCAGATGCCGTTAGACAGATTATGGAAACTGTCGAAGAAGAAGACGAAGATGGCGAAGCTGCCACAGATACTGGTTCTGCTAGAAGCTCCGCAGACTTTGGAAACTTCATCAGGAGATTAAGCGTCATGACTATTGACGATAGCAAATATAAGAATGTAATGAGGAAGGCTAGTGTTGCAGTTCCCCATCTAGGTAACCTGTTGGAGGAAGAGGAAGAAGACGAGGAGAATGAAAGCAGTCAAGGCAGCAGAAATGGGAGCTTCAGTTGGAATACTCCGTTCAAAAATGACCAAGGCCAACAACTTCCTTCGAACCCACCTTTCAATACCTCTAGTAACCTCAAGTCACCATTTGCCGAAAAGTGGGGCTTTGGAGGGAACCTCCAACCAAAGTCGCAAGTTCAGAATGCACATTAGCTCCGAACTTACCCGAGCATGCTAGCGTTAGCGCGATATGTCCGTTGGCCGGTTGCCATTAGGGTAGATCAGTCATGGATTTCTCCGCAGCACCCCCCGTCTTCACAACAGCCATAATTGCGCGGACCCGGCATCAGTCAATATATCCCAAATCATCGAAGTAGTTAAACTTCGAGAGTTCAAAACATCAATCCTAGAGGAGCATCTCCAAATATCACTAAACAAATTATCATCGATCTTTTCTATAACAGTCTTACCAATTGCAATGCCAGATTTGAGAGTTTATATTATGACGTCCGACTTATTATATTAGTTTTATCTATAGCTGTCAAAATTGAATCATGTGTTCGACTCGTAATGGAACAATATGTTCAGCTGTATCTATATAATTTATTTAAAGGTGCGTCTATAAAATAAAGCTGCCTGGATATCCTCGGTTCATGACGAAAGGTTTTTAAAAAACAAGTCCAAGTATTCGACTAGAATACACTGGTGAATATGCCACTATTCCGAATTTATATACATCACAGAGCTTTGCTCGTTGTAAATCTAAGTTTCCCGCGTCCGTATACGCGGAACATATTACACTGAGACCTAGCTATCCATGGATCCAAATCCAAATCCCATGAGCCAGCCAGCCACATGCTTCAAACGTTCGAATTTGTTACACATGCCAGCACACAGGCACCAAAATCCCACTCTCTGCCTCAAAAATACTTAGCTAACCCTTCAATTGATGTTTAGTCATGCTACTAACACCCCGCATTCCTGTGATAGTGCTTACAGCACTGTGTTTCCACAAACGAAACATGCGAACATACAAATATCTCATGTATCCGTTTGCGGCCATTTTCCAACACGAATTTCCCCCAACGGTTCGTAGTGCCGACGTCAAGGTACACTCGGCCCATCTTGAAAATTGTTCCTGATCTAGTTTGAAAAGGAACAGTTGCGGAAAGGCACGATAACGTAGTTGCATGCCATAGTCGGTTCTCACCGCGTGCGGGGTCTTGTTAAATTGCTATAATATCTCTTTATCGTTCGAAATTCTTCCCCAGGTAGATATTCTCTACGTACGCTATGAAATCGATCTTAAGACGCTAGAACCCCGACAATAAGTAAATTGGATTATATATATATATCCAGAATCCCTCGACGGACCTAGTGAAACGGGTTATAGTGTGTAAGCAACCGGTTTCTCATAAGTCTTTATCAATCAAGTTGTACACATCCTATCTCCGTAAATTACCTCTATACCTCTACATTCTTTCTGCAAAATCGACATGAGCAGCATTCTGCAAAGACTTGCAACTCCATTCACTTGCTGCGCTGGCCGCCGCAAACTAAAGCCAACCAAGCCCTCTAACAGTAATGGAACCTCTATTCTCTTCCCTCTTTACATCTACCCAGATCCCGGCTGTTGGGATCGCGTCTTCACAGCGGTCTCTAAACATCCCGCTCAACATTTCACCTTCGTCATAAACCCCAACTCCGGCCCTGGTCCCGAAAAGTTTCCAGACGCAGAATACACAGACGCGATTGCTAAACTTAATGTTTACAAAAATGTAACATTGATAGGATATGTGCATACCACATATGGCACCAGGGATTTAACGCAAGTGATATCCGAAGTAGAAAGATATGCTGCTTGGGCAGCATATCCAGACTTGGATATCCATGTTGACGGAATATTTGTTGATGAAGCGCCTGGTGAGCTTGGGGAAGGGAAGATAAATCTGGGATATCTGAGGACATTACATGCGCATACAAAGCGAGCATTTCAGGAAATGGGATTACAGGGCTATCTTGTGACAAATCCAGGGAAGATTGTCCCGAAAGCTCTTTACGACTATGCGGATAATGTTGTATCGTATGAAGCATCGTTCAAGACGATGATATTCCCAGATACATTGTTTACTTCTTCGGATAAACAGATGAGTGCCGGTACGAAGATTGACAGGCAGACTGTCTTAATCCACAGTTTTGATGGGGGCAGTAGGAAACAAGGGGAATTGGTTCAGATGTTAGTCAAGAAAGGGATCGGCGAGGTTTATGTGACTACCTGTGATCCTGGCAAGGGTGAAGGAGATTATAGCCGGTATTCTGAACATTGGGAGGACTTTGTAGCTGAAATGGAGAAGGCTAATAAGGCCGCTTTACAGCATGATTAGATCGATATGACTAATTGGAAGAATCTACTTGAAAGGCCACCAGATTCGAAACTTACACGACATCAACTTATACCCTTGTTAAGTGTGTATCAAAGTAAATTCACTATGTCCGATAGCATCTCCTTAATTGATCTCATATGCCCAGAGGCGGTGTCCTATATTATAGCTTTTAGACCACCTCCACGTAATTTTTCGAGCTGAAGTATACGTACCTCAGTAAGCAAGCCGTTTCTTTTTCGTAGTATCCCATTTGCAATATATTAATATTTGGCTGCTTATATAGAGTATACGTGTACTAGTATATACATGTACAGCTCAGATAAATTGAGTTCCCAATATTCTTTACAACTCGAGATATACCAGAATTTATCCCTTTATGAGTCCTCAATTGCCCAAGGCCTTTTCTAACTCCGAACCCTTTTGCGGACTCTGCCTTGTGCACAGCCACCGACAATTTCCTGAACTTAATTAAGCTGGGCCGGGCGCCACATATACACGCCTCAGACTCCCAGTTAACCTGTTGTACTTTTCGCGTTGATCCAAAATAGCATTTTACCACAGCCACTAAACTACTATCGACCTCGTCTCGAACGAGCTCGGAAAAGGGCCCCGCATCTGTATTCGACAGTTTACGGAGCCTTTGCAGCAGAAAATGGTATCAACATGGTCAGCCATTCGCCGGTTTCTGCTCCTAACATCTGTTTCGGCCACAGCTTACCCGGCTCTCGAACATCTGTGCGAGCAGTTGCTCCTGAAGCTTGTCAGTTTTGTGACATGAACCAACCTCACTCACGCCAGCATTGACCCCGCACAACCCCCCCAAAACCGCAGAAATTCCTATTTCTCTTTTGATTCGTGGCAGCTGAGCCAGATAATAATATGGCGTAGCCCTGCTGCAGTTGCTGTACAAAAAGTTGACTTCCTTCCGATCAAACGTACTTTCTACCCGTCCCAAAACCTCTACGTACACAAAAAAGCACCGTAGTTCATCGGAACCAAGGATTGACGACAGATCTTTCGCGTACACGGGAGCCCTAACTGTTACCAGGAGTCCGGGTTCTTCCTTTTTTTTTTAACCTTATGCAATGAATTAAATTGTTTAAATCTGGGTTCACATTTTTAAAAAGCCTCGAAATCTTGCATATTGGATGTGTGTCTAACGTTAACCGTACACACCTCGCGCCACAATGTGGATACCACCGCAATCGACGTCGGACAAATCGCTGGAGGTCAGCCAGTATGTTGGGGATAAGTCGCTCAAGAAGAGGGCATACGTCAAGATTGAAGAATGGGAGCCGCACAAGGATTTTGTGCTACGACAGCGGCATGCGAAGGTCAAGGAGAAGGATATATTGTATGCGCTGAGGCATGAGAGAGGGTTCATGGTGGAGTGAGTATTTGTCCAGTACAGATTCTCTGACTAAAGTTATGGCGCTAATGAAAACTACACTGTAGAATGCATCAATTGAAGAAAGTGCTTCAATTATGGAATTCTAAAAGGAATCTTAAGCGCAAGCAAAGAGACTACATTGTCCAGATCGTTAAGGAACGCCGGAGAGCAGGGAAGAACCAGACAATATTCTACCACCCGAGTGGCACCTTAATCGACCTTCCCGAGGTTAAGGAGATAATGCGGCGATATGGAAACTCGGAACCCCGTATGATTCCCTGATTTAGCAAAATATCTTGATCTAGTGGTGACGAGGCTAATGAATCATGGATAGTGGAGCCTCCCAGTCCCGGCGGGCTCATCCCTGGGAGCCCCAGGCTCCGCCAGACGCCGCCGGATATCTTATTCAGCAATCGTGAAATTTCACCAAATTATAATGACCATCTTTCAATGGTCCATAGCAATGCATCCCCCGGATCCCTTGGTAGTCTGCACTCACCGATTGTAGAAACAGGACTGGAATACACCACTCCGCCACACCTTGCTATCGATTTGTTCCTACAACAGACAACTGCACAGTCAAGTGCGAATGTTACTGTTCCTACGACGCTAGGTTACTCAACTGATATATCTCCTGGTGCAATATACCCGCCTTTGGGATTTGAAGACGATTTATCAATGTCGTCTGCATATTCTGATCTCAGTAGGCCAATACAAACAGATCTTAGCCATTCGCTTGATTATAGATTACAAAGACCAACTTTACCGACAATATCTCCATCTTCTATCACAACCGGGTATATTCCACCTCCTTCGAGCTCTAGCTACTTTCAAGGACCTCCTGCCCCGCCTCTGCAATATCAACCAGTAAGTCGATTCATTGGTTTTTCTTCCCCCCATAACATCTCGAATACGGGCAATGGTACTAAATATTGTCCCAGATCAGCGAAGGATACTCTTACTCTGCTCCTGCTCCTCCTCCTGCCCCCCCTCCTGCCCCCCCAAGACGCCCAATTCCTGGACAGTATGCACCGCCGGCACCTTTACCTGCGCGAGCGCAACCATTTGCCCCACCCCCACCCCCACCCCCGGGAGTGCCACAGACCAAGTCCAAAAGCATCTTCTCACGTTTGGGTTTTTCGTCGTCCAAAAAGTCAAGTCAACCAGCAATGGCTGCTGGAGGCTCTATCGCACCTGGTGCGCCGGTATCAGCTCCGTATATGCAACCGGGCGCATCCGCAGATCAACAATTCCCGCCACCACAGGTGCAGTCGGCTCCGCCAGCTCCTCAAATTGCCGCTCCTGGTATCGCACCTGGCGGTCCTCTGCCAGCTCCTTCAGATGCTAGGTTCAGGACACCCGCTCGTTCGAGCGCAAGAACCCCCAAGAAGGAACCATTCGTCAAAGAAGAATTTGCAGAGATCTCAACTCTGGATTACTCTCGTGATGATTCGAAGAAATCAAAAGAGGGCAAGAGTTTTGGATACTCTGAAATGGCTGATAGAGCTGGGAGATTGCTTAGTGGGATGCCACCGAAGGTGGATGAGCCGAGTAAACGATCTAGACAAAGGTTCGAGGAGGAAGAAACTACAATGCGACGAAAGGCCGAAGAAGCAAGACTTGAAAGCCAGCGCTTGGAGCAGCACATGTTTTATGCCCAAGAACAAGAAAGGCTTAGATCCATTGAGCAGGCCAGAATTCGAGAGGAAGAAGCCAGGCATCGACAATTCGAGAGGGCTTATACCCAGCCTGAACCAATGGAGGTTGACGAAGACGCTGAATGGACAGAAGAGGAGGAGGAGACACAAGATAACTGGGCGTCGTCGAGGCCACATTGGAAGCAAGAGCCACAAGAAGATGAAGATGAGGAATGGGGAGAGGAAGAAGAAGTAGATTCGTGGCAAGATCCAGGGACATCACAATGGCCTCTTGATGGTGAATACCTAAGATTGCAAGAGACTCTTCAGAGGGTCTCTGGCAGGGTTAACTTCTACCAGCCAATCATGAGAATCCAACGAGAGATTAAGATCGGCCCCAAGCATACAATTCTCGTAAGGCGAGATTCGAAGAAACTTGTGTTTGATGTGTCAGACGACTTTAAGATCAAATTGAAGGAAATTAGGAATGATGATTATGATGATATCGTCAGTGCACTGAAAGGCCTTAGCGTATCTGAGAAAGAGAAGAAGGATGACGACAAAGAGCTCGCTGACGCCCTAGAAGGTCTTAAAGTCTCCGAGGATAAGAAAGACGGTGGGGAGAAATGGGACGACGAAGAAGAGGAAGAGGAATGGAGTGAAAATGAAGAGAAGGAAGATGAATGGGGAGAAGAAGATGAAAAGGGGGATGAATGGGGAGAAGATACAGCAGAAGAAAAGGTGGGCGATGGTAAAAGTGATAAAGTTCTGGCTAAGTTCGATAACCTTACACTGTCAGAAAAGTCACCCGCAGCTACCGAACAAAAGGCCACCACCATTACTACAGAAAAACCGTTGGCAGCAGAGGTGGCGACTGAACAGCTATCCAAGTTGAAGGACTACGTCCCGTTCAAGAAGTTCTTAAAAGTGGAGTTCGCAGACAAAGAACTCCATGAACTTGAATTTGCATCCGACGATATGGAGCAAATTTACAGGATCCACCTTCGGGACTGGCTACAAAAGAAAGTTGAAGATGCAGAATGGGAACTTGGAATGGCCCCGCAGCGCCCGAAGAAGAGCAACGGCAAGAAGTTCTTAGATGAAAACGACAAAAGACGTCTACCAACTCATATCTACAAAGCCACAAAACATCTTGTCAAGGCGGACATAGACCCTAATGCAACTAAAGCTGAAGTTCAGTATGAAAATAAACTCTGGAACTGGGTGCTAGAACGATATAAGACGATTATATCGTACATGAAAGAGAACTCAGATACCTACTGGACAGATCTGTGGAACAAAACGGAACAAGCTGTTGTATATTTTCTCCCGTTCTTAGGGAAAAGATTCGGGACTAAGCACTGGTTTACATTGGAGGGAATCAAATTGTTGGGGGAAAGTTATATTTGGGAAGAAATCGAAGGCGGGTGGAAATACGGCCTACAGCTGAGGAACCTTGCATATGACGGGTTTGTAAGTCTGGGCTTTGAAAACTCGGGTATAGTGTCTGATTGTGTAGATGATGGAGTAATTGAAAGGGAAAGAAGACAGGGCAGAAGTAAGATGGAACTCAGAAGGGCAGTGGAGCATTATCGAACAATACGAGCAGATTTTGGAGATTGGAGCCAACTCGGAGTCTACGCTATCGGGTTGCTAATAAGAGCACTAGCCAGAGTGGATAAAGAGAGAGCAGTAAAGCTGATACCTATCGCCGCTGCAGGATTCTTAAAGATTCCAAGAGGCTTGTGGTGGAGGCTTGAGATCGCGAATTCAATATGGTTGGTCGGTGAAGCAATGAGAGAAGTTGGGATGGTGGAAGAATCGGTAGGGTTTTTTTGGAAAACGATGCCTGCTATGAGAGAAATACAAGGTATTCAGGAGTCACTACCAGCGGTCAGAGTCCTAGGAGGGCTTGCGGAGGGATTCCAAGTTTTAGGAAAGGCCCCTCAGGCGATAGGATGGAGAGAAAGAGTACTAGAGGTGTCTTCCGTGGCTTTAGGTAGAGGCCACCCGGAGTCTATCTTTTGGGCCAAGAGAGCTCGGGAAGGGTTAGAGGCAAGAGGAATTCAACTATTGAAAGCTCCCAGTCCGAGAAAAGTAGAATGGTTCGTGGGGAAGCTACTTCTAGAAGGAAACAGACGGGGTGTGGGCCAGAAGAGGCTCTTGAAGTTTACGAGGAAGACCATTAGGAAATTCGAGTCGAGCGGTAGATAGAGTATCTGTCGGTTAACGGATCTATTTCAGTATTCTAGAAAGTGTCTGAGGAGTTACAATTACCTGACTGAGTTCTTATAAATTAATCAAAGTAGAAGTATACTCAAGTTAACTCACTTGGTAGAAAAAATACAACAATCCTATAGCCTAGTTAGTCTTAGTAATGTATATTACGGATAGTGACATAATTTTCGCGAGGATCCGATGAGGCGCAATGGAATTGAATTCGAGGCATATGCATGTTGAACATCGTCGAATATCTTATGCCCGTTTCGATTTTAGCATGCGTATGCGACGGGCAGCATTCCGACCTTGAAGTATGTTTAAATTTTACAATTTAATTCTCTTCTTAATGACCAGGCACTTACCGTTGTAAAATATACTTATACATCTCGAGAATATCGGGATATGATGCATCTGCTCAGATGACATTCAAATTCCTGGAACAAGACTAATGTCGACGCCAGTATGCATGCCTAAGTATTTAATATGTAATAGCCGGAGGGATTAATTAATCTGCCTGAGCTCGAGGTGAAATGATGACTGTACTGCTACAACCTCCAGATATTGAAGTCCTGAGAATTTCTTTGGACGAAAAAAAAAAAGAATTCATCAATCAATCAAAGAATTAAAGCTGGCTAATGACCCGGCGGTATATCGATATTTAAGCTTTAAGTCGGCGAGTTGTAATTAGATTTAATATTAATATTCCAAATGCTGATATTGATTACTTGTAACCGTTATACGTGCGTTAATCAGGTAGGAATTAAACCATTTCCTGAAAAAGGTTTATAATCTACCAACTGTTATGCGATGTTATATAAAGAATCAACGTTCAAACATTCCCAAACACCGAAGTTTGGCTGCTTCCAAAGGACCCACCTTTAGCTTCCATGATACATACACTGGTACGGTACCTGTTGTAGCATGGTACCACAGCTAACCAACTTTAAGCTATCTAGTACGAAAATCGTCATGGATCACCTGCAGGCATACATAAACCTTGCATCACTCCCAGCTTTCCAAGCTTTGACCCAACCAGGGAAGTAATAACTTCGCCATAAGGCTGCCCAAACACACCCAATCCTGCTCCTGCTTCTAACTAGCGAACGGATTCTCTAGGGCGGGCGGGGTTAACGTTCACGCCATCGATGCATCGAAAGTGAGAATGGCCTTCCCAAAAATCAAAGAGCTACGCATTAGCTAATGCTGGTCGATCGAGGTCTTCGCTTGGGCATCGAATTTCGACTTGCAAGCTTGAAGCTAAAAAAAAAAAAGGGTCCGCCGCTAGCCAACATGTTTTGGCTAGTTTGACCGTTGAACCACATGCCTCATACACTTTGCCCCAGGGCCCAGAGATTTTACGTCACTATTATAAAATGAAAAGCTTGTCGGTCAAGTGTAGTACTGCATGCTTGCTTGGTCTCAGCTTATCTTTGAACTGCTGCCCAATACTCAGCTGTCCCAATATGCCATCTATCGGTCGTTCCCGTCTGAGGCCTGCTCAGTATTTTTTTTTTTTTTTCCAATCTCATCGATGGAAATGTTCCCGATGCATGCGATGCGGTCAGCGTCTCAATTCGGGTGCTTTGAAGGTCCTTTTTTCGCTTAGTATTACGGGGTGCTGATATCATTGGCTCGAAGCTAACCCAGGAATATCCCCAACTTCGATTTGCGGCGTCCAATCTCATGGGTTTCTTTGGGATTGTCAAGAAGTTTGGGGGGTTGGCTTCCGATCAGATCGAGATTTCGGTTGATTCTCCCCACCTTCAGACCAACGGCCCCAGCCAGCCAGCCCGGACCGCTGTGTCAAGATATGTGCAGTTATTCCTCCCGTATCTGTATCTGCCAGAAAGAGCTCGAGTTGTATGATGCGCATCCATGCATTACATTGCATCGTGAGCGATAAAATCGAAGCCTACATGCCGGAAAAACAAGCAATTGAACAATTAACGACACTGCAGTGACGACGGAAACCCCAAGCGTTTTTCATCCCCAGACTTACATGTACTTATGCGTTTTAGCGCCCTTCCGGATATTATACGAAAGCATCTTCCCTTGTTTATCGATAGCGCAAAACAGGTCCCCAGAAGGTCATTGCATGGGTGGAGCGAGTTCTGGCCGTGATCCTTTGAAAAGCGGCTTCCCGTCTGCCAATTCGAGTAAGCACTTCTGCACCTACTTACAGGGCTACATTCGAAGTACACCGACACGGTTGACGTTCTGGGTAAGACTTCTGCATAACCCCCTCTCTAGACCCCAGCTGGGCTGAACCGCTTGACGGGATATATTAGTGGCACGCATCTTTGATGGCTTGATTTGATCTTGGAAGATTACTATACTTCGCTTCAACATCACTCCAGCTTCTTTTTATCCGTTATTCGTTAACTCCGCTGTGTTTAAATACAAAATATCTTGAAGTCTACGGTGGGCCTCGATTAACTCTCCATTCGAGTATTTCGATATCGAGCCTGTGGTTGTACCGTTTCCCTTCAATTCGGCTTCGAATTCATCCTCTGATCGAGGGAGAGAGAAAAGCCAAATCCAACGGCCTGGTCGCACGACTCCGACCATCTTCTCTTCTTTGAATCCTACGATTAAAATAATTCGAGATCAATACATTTCTTCGCAAAGGTTTTCTATAATATATTGAGAATGCTCCGTTTTTTCCCTCCATTCCCATCTCCAAATCCAGCGACTCTCCAGTCTCCTCTTGAAAATGCGCCTATAGTGCCTTCACCGCCATCTTCGGCCTCGTCTTCTCTAGTGACTTCCTTGTCTCTATCACCACCTTCAACGCCATCCTCACCTTCGTCGACTCCAACTTCCCCAACAGATCAACTACCTGGTAATGGAACTACCGGCCGTTCTCGTTCTGGTTCTCGCAGTTCAGCAAGACGGTGTGTACCCCCGCGCACAAGAATAATAAAACGGGATTCAAATCCAACGTCTCCTACATCTCCGGGACCAGACAATGCATTGAACCTGGAAAGTCCACCTACCACCCCACCATTCAACCAATCCGCAAAACCAAGGTCTCCTCCAATAAACTCTGGAACGAATTCACAAAGGCAACATCATGATCACGAGTCCGAAGTTGCAAGAAATAAAAGCGTCAAAAATCATCATTATGAGGATGCAGTAAGAATTGCGTGTGGCGCCTGGTGTGAAACCTCGGGAAAGCAGCAGCAGCCTCAAGAACAGCAACAACAACAGCAGCAACAGGGGAAAAAGAAGATGGTAAGGTGGGATGCGGATGAGGAGTAGACTGGGGTAGCTTATGCATAGTGGCTGCAGTCTATAGGTGCCTACAGGCTTACTGCGTCCGGATTTCCTATTTCCCATTTCCTGAGCTCGGGCTTTTTTTTTTATTTCGAATGGCTTTTTTTGGCGAGAAACCTCTTGAAGGATACGGAGTAATTCTACTTTTTATCATTTATAAACTTATCAGATAGTAAAGATCTGATTGGGTTAAATAATCTGGGGGATTCGGGATTGTTACGATATTATTTGCAGCAGTCGATGTGATTAGTCGACTTTGACTGCCGCTGCTGCTACTGTTTACCGGGACTTGTTTATTGGGACCCCGCGAGTGTGCATTTGTTTTTGAAACACTGATACGGATTACTATATATTCCTGCATGTTACGATTCATATAATTTGATTTGATATTTGACTTGGGAGTTTGTTTCTTATGATATGCAAGATCAAGGGATTCGAGAATGGTTTAATGTTCATAATGAAAAGCAGGAAAAATGGGTTTTCGAGATTCAATTTAATTCATTCAGTCACAGCTAGAACACTTGTTAATGATTATTGCATACTAAGCAGCTAGCATCTTTAGCTTAATCCTTAACGGGTATTTAGACACAAAAACTAGGCCCCGTTATCCGAGCGTTAGATGTAGCATCGACAGGGCTAATGACCATTGTGCATTAAGCCTGTAGAGATCAAGATAATCTAACTGGCAACTGGCTACTGGTCAGTTTCGAGTCCAAAGAGGAAGAAATGTCTGACTTGTGTTGTGCCTTGCCAAACAACACATCGGTCAACACATCTTGAGCCCCGCCGCCACTATCACCAACCCTCCAAGTCCCAAACCGCAGAGCTCAAGTTAGGCTTCGCTCACTCTCCATCTTCCACCGTTTACCACTGCCATCATCACCACCCCTTCCCGTCCGATCGTCCCAAAATGCGTCTCATCAAGCAACAAGTCGAGCGCGATGGCAGCGGTACTGTCACTCTCTACCCTGAGGAGCCCGAAGACATGTGGCACGCCTTCAACCTCATCCGTGTCGGTGATACCCTCCGTGCCTCTGCCGTCCGTCGCATAGTCTCCGAGTCATCCACTGGTTCTACGTCTTCCACACGAGTACATATGAACCTTACGATCACGGTCGACAAAGTTGATTTTGACAGTCAAGCTGGACAACTTCATATTAATGGACGGATTAGCGAGGAGAATAAGTATGTTAAGATTGGGGCCCACCATACTTTGGATTTGGAACTTAATCGGAATTTCACGGTTGGGAAGGCTGAGTGGGATTCTGTGAGCTTGGGGGTTGTGAGGGAAGCTTGTGATCCTGCTGAAAAGGCAGAGATAGGAGCTGTGGTCCTACATGAAGGTATTTACCTACTTATGAAAAGCTATTGTAAAATCAGTTTGGATAAGTTAATGACTTGCCATCTTCATGAATAGGTCTAGCCAATGTCTGCTTGATCACAGAGCATATGACCGTCTTGCGCCAAAGAATCGACGTCTCCATCCCTCGAAAGCGCACAGGCTCCGTCACAGCCTTCGAGAAATCAATGGAAAAATTCTACGACACAATCTACCAATCCATTCTCCGACACCTCCCCATCTCGAATCTGAAAGTAGTCCTTCTAGCATCGCCGGGGTTCTTAGCAGAGTCCTTACAGAAGTACATCTTTGCGGAGGCCGTCAAGACGGATAATAAGACGGTTATGGGTGCCAAACCAAAATTCGTTACAGTACATTGCTCAACAGGGCACGTGCATGCCTTGAATGAGGTTTTGAAAAGCCCTGCAGTTATTGCAAGACTAGCAGATACAAAATATGCTAAAGAGACGAAGGCTATGGAGTCATTCTTTAAGATGATGCAGACAGATGAAGATAGAGCTTGGTATGGACCGAAAGAAGTCGAAAGGGCAATAGAAAAGGGCGCAGTTTCAACATTGCTAGTAAGCAACAGCTTGTTTAGAAGCAACAACATGCAGGAAAGAAGGAGGTACGTCAGGATGGTAGAAGATGTAAAGGCTAGCGGTGCAGGAGAAGTTATGATCTTGAGTAGTATTCACGAAAGTGGTGTTAGACTTGACGGATTGGGTGGAGTTGCTGCGATATTATTATTTCCTCTACAAGATCTAGACGAGAGCGATGAAGAACAAGATGAAACAGAGGAAGGAAATGAGGATAATGAGAATTTATAAAGCTATATCTTCATTCTATCAAATCTCGAACCGAGTAATCATCAAATGTGGTGTTTTGTGCCGTCAGATACTACCTTTGCCGCACTGCCGCATATAAAAGCAAGAAATCCAACATCTTTTCGTTCCGCCTGAATTGAAGTGGATGCATCCTCGTTTGCATGATTTAACCACCACGCCGCCATTATGCATCGTAAGCTCGCATGTTTCTTTAAAAAATCTATCAAGGTTCCCTGTCTATAGCTAATAAGGTTTAAAAGGCATCCCCTAATCCGACCTAGCACCAACCACAGCTAGCAAGATTGAAGGGCTATAAAAGAGCCCCACCATCCCCACTATGGCTGCTTCGATCCCTACTGTCGCCCTGATCTCCGGCGGCAAAGACTCCTTCTTCTCCCTCCTTCACAGCAACGCCAATGGATTCCAAGTCATTGCACTAGCAAATCTGCATCCTCCAGTGGTTTCTTCTTCACAAACCTCCGACCATGACGACTCTGACGACCTCAACTCATTCATGTACCAAACCGTCGGTCATACGGTTCTGCCACATTACTCTTCAATACTAAATATCCCGTTATATCGGGCGGCGATAACAGGTAGTTCTGTCAACCAGGACTTATCTTATCATCCTAACGCTACCGCTTCCGTTAATGGTGGTAAGCAAGAAGAAAATGAAGAGGTGGACGAGATAGAAAACCTCTATGATCTTTTACATTCGATTAAACTGAAACATCCGGAATTGAGAGCCGTTTGTTCGGGAGCTATATTGTCTTCTTATCAGCGGACACGGGTGGAGAGCGTTTGTCAACGGTTGGGATTGATATCGATTGCATGGCTATGGCAAAGAAAGCAGGAAAGAGTTCTACGGGAAATGGATGTGGTGGGGCTTGATGCGAGGATAATAAAGGTGGCAAGTCTAGGACTGGATGAGCGGTGGTTAGGGCGAAGTGTGGCGGACTTCAAGACTCGCATGGCATTGGAGAACATAAAGAAGAAGTACGGTGGGAACGTCGCTGGAGAGGGAGGGGAATTTGAAACGCTGGTGATGGGATGTAAAGGGTGGGGAAAGAAAGTAGAGGTTCTGGAGAGTGAGATTGTAAATGAAGGTGGTGGAGTCGCTTGGACAAAGTTTTTGGAGACAAAGATTGTGGATGCGGAACATGAGGAGATGACAGTGCCCGAGAAACCACCACCACTAGATGGGGAGTTCGAAGCTGTCTTTGAGTATGTGAAGGAGATAGAGCCGTCGATACGGGATAAAATACAATCACCGACACATCATGCGGCTACAGAGCCATTCCGAACGACAGCCCAGGTCTCTCCACACAACATATACATTGCCAATCTTCACAGTGTCATAGGGGGTATCGCCGAACAAGTCAACTCCATATTCTCACAGCTTCAAGAGCGTCTCTCAAAATCATCTTCAACTCTTCGACAAATAACATCTACACTACTCCTCCTTCGCTCTATGGACGACTTCCAGGAAATCAACAAGGTCTACTCATCATATTTCACCGGTTTCCCCAACCCCCCATCCCGAGTTTGTGTGGCTATTGGGGATTCTATGCCGGGAGATATTGGTGTTCTGTTATCTGTGGTAGTTGATATGCCGGAACCGGGAGATAAGAGGCAGGCGTTACATGTACAAAGTAGATCATACTGGGTGCCTGCGAATGTTGGGCCCTACAGCCAGGTAATTGCAGTTGGCGGGGTGGTAAGTGTGGCAGGAATGATCGGATTAGTCCCAGAGAGCATGAAAGTTTGGGAAAGTGAGGGAGTAAGAGGGGAGACCGTATTAGCTTTGCAAAGTATGGTTAGAGTAGGGAGGGAAATGAATATTCATGGAAAGTGTGGGTGGTTAGGAGGTGTGGGATTTGTGGTTGACGATAAGGACGTTGGGGTGATGAAGGGCGCCTGGAAGAAATGGTTTGAGGGGCTTAATGAAGAAGATGACGGCGAACTTGACCAAGACGTTGATGAGAGTTACTTTGAGAAATCAGACCAGGACATCACTTCACCAGTATCATCAGGGGTCTTTACATCTCCTCCATTGGTTATTGTACAAGTTCCGCAGTTGCCCGTTGGGTCTCATGTTGAGTTCGCATGTCAGGGAGTGGATTCAACCTTCCTAACCAGAGCGGCGGCGGCGGCAGCGGATGAAGATGATGAAGACGACGAGGAGGACACAACTGCACTTGCACAAAACCCATCAACATTACAGATCGAAACAGATTCTTCGAAACCACACGGTAATAGCTTCCAATATCACTCAGTCTCATTCGGTCTACAACAACTTATCTGGGGGGTTTCAGATGAAGAAGGAGGTGATCTCGACCAACTTAAAACTCTTGCAACAAGAATGGTGACTTTGCAGAAAGCCGGATATAAATCAGTCAGCGTGACATTATATCTAAGCACGGATCTGTGGGCGCACGCCGACAGCCTAATTAGACATCTTGCAGATGTTGGACTTCCGGGCGTTTGTTGCGTTCCAATATTCGGGGTCTGGTGGGCTGCGGACGATGATGTAAAGAAACAATGGGAGTATCGGGTCGGGTTCACGATCAGGGCTGTGAAGGGTTGACAAATCCAATTCTTATGATAGCTTTTTTTCTCTTCTCAGAGCTGACTTCATGTCCCTTCTGCCCGGGTGTCTACGGGTTCGAACGTTCTCGGGTTCACGAGGAGAGCAGAAGTTTACTCAGTCCGCGTACATGTATACGTATGGTATGATTTGGAACAGATCTGTATCTTTTGTCATGAGACGTATACATGTATAGAGAGAGCGATTTGATACCCTATCTTCTTTATCAAAATTAACTGACTAGCTTGAATCAATCAAGTTAGGCACCCGTTCTACCGCACTAGCAGTACTGATAAGTCATAATCGATTCGCACTATATTGTGGAGATGGCTTCGCAATGTCCCCTACCAGCTACTTAATTTCAAAGCGAAGATTGCCAATACAATTAATATATAATTACATAACGAGTACCCGGCGCGAGTCGTATGATCCAAATTACGACCAGCCTTTCAAGCACAGGCCACACCGACTTACCAATCAAAACCTCGAGTCTATATTCTTGTTTCTCTGTTTAAGACACAATATGTCTTGTCAAGTTGAATCCTGCGACCAATGATTAAAATGGAATCCGAAGTGGCTATCACCGGAAAATCCGCACTCGGGTACCCGAGTACTCATGTACCCGAGTGTTCTTGGGCTGCCTTCTAAGGCGCAGTGTCCCCACAGCCAGCTGAAGACACCGGGCCCAGAACTTGATATAGGGTCGCACAAGCTTAAAGTTTTTCGCAATATTTTCTGTCAGCTGCATGCGCAAACGCAAGTTTATTAAGGCAGCCTCTTTTCTCCCCGCCCTCCCTCGCTCCTAAGCTTTCCGGCTATCGACGCTGCGTGTGCGCGTGCGTGTGCGTATGCGTGGTGTGTGGTGCGTGAAATAATAAACATATATCATCCGAAGATGTGCCAACGTTCACAGGAAAAGATTTTTTATGATATGAAGCCAAGAGAACATCTCCAAAGGCCAAGAATGTCGCTGCAACCCCTATTGGCACTTTCGCTGAGATGATATGATAAGGGATTGATAATTTCCGCTTATTCTCCAACAGCGAAAACATATTAAAACAGATGCAGTAACATCTGCGAAGGTTCAGTAATGTGGATGCGTTGCTGTTGTGAAATTACCACACATACGTATGTAAGTACTCAGTACGCAAGGACACACTCTATAGCTTTACCCCCTATAGCTCCGTGGATCCAGGCAGGCCTCGAGTCGACCTCAAGGGATTCCTAGGTTAGGTAAGTACCTAGGTATGTAAATATTTCCTTGGTTTTGTTGCCAGCCTCGCGCGCGCAGAGGCAGTGAGGGGGGAGAAGAATGCCTAGAAAAAGCTTAAGCCACCGTGTGCAAGTCTCCTGCAAGGACAAATAATGTGAGTGAGCTCTTAAAATATATCTGATATGAGAGCTCAAACTCAGATATTTTGGCCGACGGAAAACATGTATACTGCGGAGGACTGCGCACGATGTACTCCATACACAACCATCATGTTACATGACAGAGGAAGCGAGGTCTAATTCTGATGAACCTAATCTTCTCGGCAAGCTAAGATATCTAAGCTAGCGAGGCGGGTCTCTATTTTATCTTTAGGTGAGTTAGCTTGGTCGTTTCAGTTTTCTAGTCAACTGTTTCTATAAATTGTTTCGTCAGATTGACTAGTTAGACAGGTACACGGCGAGTAAAGGAGACGGAGTAGTTCGGTTGTATGCAACGTTCGGCTGGTGTGGATTACCTAACTTAAATATGGAGGAGAAGGCTTACCTAACTCACCAACCAAAGAATGATGAAGCTTAGTTTCATTTTAAATCCTGAATTGGTGTGTGGTAGATAGCATGCTTCCCGTTTGGTCGATTGGTAGACGGGACGGGCTATCAAGGACATTAACCCGTTGACCATATGAACAGGACCCATGGCCATGGCCATGACCAAATGTCGATTACGACTATACTGCCAGCAGTGCAGATTATCGCAGGTTGCGAATACGAACCTTGCATATTCTTGCGGGCGTTCGATTCAGTATATTTCCAAATACTCGAGGATTCCTTCGGCCTTTCTTGTCAATCTTTGATGCACAATCGACCCCCAAAACGGTTAATTGCATACGAGTATACGGGCAGCAGTCCGAGGCAAGTCCAGCGACGCAGGGCAAGGGGGCTTTCTTTCCCAGTCCAGTCCAGTCGAGCTCTTCGAGCTATAGCCTAGCCCTGCATGGGCTGGGCTTTTTATATGCACATTCTGTTCCATCCTCTCCCAGATTCGCATTTTTGAACAGAGTGCGACATGCCCAGCCATGCCGAGAGCAGGGACCAGTCCTGTATATCAGTAATCAGAACCATGCAGGCCACACGGTGCTTACTCGCACCCCACCACATCCGGATAAAAACAACGGGCAGACCCGCTATCATACCCTCCGAATATAGTAAGACGCACACCTAGAAAAGACGAGGGCTTTAATAACTAATCGCTGTGATGGTGGCCAATGCGAAGGATGTACATACTGTGTGGAAGCTGGAAGTTGCTGGTTGCGAGTTGATTGGGAATCAAGGTTGGGGGACGCCGGCAAGTTCCAGCCTGTTGGACGTCAGGCGCAACACAAGCGGAAGCTTGCATCCAGGACGCCGGTCTCTGCGAACATGCATCTGTTGCAGCGAATATGCAATAGCAGTGTGGGATGGGTGGGTTATATGGGTCTTCCTTTCTTTTCTTTATTTCTTCTCCTTCTTTCCTTTTTTCAGTCTTTCGTTCCTTCCTTGGGTGGGACTGGAAACCCTGTGAGATGCACATTGCGGAATAGTTTCACCAGCAGGTGATAAATTTGTAAATGCTCTGTCATGTAAGTTACCAGTCCTGTTCCCCGTGATATTCTGACCCACGTCCGCGTAGTAGATAAAGACCTGGCGTTTCCCTCCCCACCTTTAATCCGGTTCCAGATCTCTTGGTTTTTCTCTACCGTTCATCTTTGTTTTTTTTTACGTTTCTTCATGACCGTTCTTTCATTTGATTTTTTGTGATTTTCTTTTAACATTTCTAAAGGAAAAAAGTTACAACATACGGATACCCAACTATATTATTAATACGCCTGTGTGTAAGAATATTGGAGGATAGAGTACATGCAACGGGAATCATTCGTTTGATATCTTGTTAAGAAAGCTGTAATTCCGATATATCCGACGATATGCGTCGAACGTTCACAACATTCGCTGGCTTCGCGGCGCTGGCCGCAGCGGTCGCCCAGCAGGCCTCCTCAGTACCTGATATTGCCATAGCACAGTTCGGCCAAACTTGGTACGTAAATTAGTTTCTTTTTAGCTCAAATTTAACGTATTTCATGCATTTTTTCTAACTATTTAATTGATCGAGCAGGTATGGACCAGACGGTCCATGGTCCGCCGCAGAAGTCGAGGTGGGGACCCCACCGCAAAAGGTCTACCTCACAGTCGCAACCCTCCAAGACACAATCCTTCCTATCACCCCGGACGCTTGTAACGGAATTAAGGCTTGTATAGATGGTCGCGGGAGCGCATATAACCAAACCTCTAGTTCGACATGGACACCTACAGCGGACCGAGATACGGAATTAGGTGCAGATATGTCTGCAGGCGTTATAGTAAACGGGCAGGCATATGGCATTGAAGTCCGCGGTGTTCCCGGTCAAGATACGGTATCCATTGGAGGAATCCCGGGTATCAGAAACGTATCTGTGGGGGCGATCCGGAGTACAAGGATTAATAACGGTCTCCTGGGGTTAAGAAATGTTACACAACAGATGTACCAGCAACGATTGATCCCTTCACCATCATGGGCTTACAATACCGGATCCGGGGATGGGTCGAGATTACCACAGTTGGTATTCGGTGGCTATGATAGATCGAAGTACCTCCCTGGTTCGGTTCAAAATCATACAATGATCCCAGTAGACAACGGGAGGCCAACAATGAAGGCAACCCTTGATTACTTTTTTCTAAATATCACTGGGCCAACGGATAGGAGGAGTTTTAAAACAAATTCAAGCCTGATAGACGAGCCACTCGAAGTTACCATCGATAGCTCGACTCCTTACTGCTGGCTACCCAGGGCAATCACGGACAAAATTGCGCAAAGCGTTGGCGCAGTATGGAATGAGTCTATCGGAGGATCTGGCTACTATGTCTACAATTTGTCAGCGCCAGCATATAAGAATTTAGAAACTGTAAGTCTCTCCGAATTTCCCTCCTAATATATGTATTCTACAACCATAGAAGAATAGACGCTAACACCAAGCTACAGTCAACTCTGGCATTCCATTTCAACGGCACAGGCGATTCCTGGCTCTTCAACTCGATGACTGTTTGTACGTCGAAATCCCTTTAAAACCAGTTGTGGATCTTTGCTAATTGATATATTAAAAAAATCACAGCCCATTGGTTGTTCCTGGCAGCCCCAACAGAGGGGGTTGACCCTGCCTCACCATTGAGATACCTTCCACTCAGACCGGTTGATAATGCCAGCCGTTCTGTCCTAGGCAGAGCTTTTCTCCAAGTGCGTACATGGATATTCCTCGTATATACGTATTACACACAGTTTTAGTCTATAAGAAATCAAAAAACTAATCTTTGAACTCTACAAACAGCAAATCTACCTGACAGCCAATTATTACACTAACACATTCTCTATGGCCCAAATTGACCTCGACTCACAATCAGCCGCTCAATACGTCCGCGTCGAGGCCCCGGTTCCACCGCCACTACCATCTCCTTCACCGCCTAGCTCGAATAAGCTATCTGATGGCGCCATCGCTGGAATCGCCATCGGAGTCGTAGCTTTCGTTGCTATAATACTAGGCCTAATATTTTGGCAGGCAAAGAAGAGAAGAAAGGTAGGGCCACACCATAGATTTATAGAATTGCTGGTATAAATATATAGCGCCCCATTCTTTACTATAAGTTCCGTGAGAGAAATATGTTGTTAACAAATCATCTTTTTTCCTTTTCTTAGGCTGCGGACCAACCTGTTCCCACACCACCAGATGCGGATAAAGTTTACCCAAAGAACGGAGTATACTATCGCGAACTTTCAGCAGACGCCATGGGAGGCCAGGGTAGAATGGTACCACCGGTGGAGTTATATGCACCGAATTACCCTGTAGAAGTTTCTGCAGATACAGGGGAAATAAGCAAGTGATCTATGAATTACGCGTTATGCTTTTGTTCGTTTTATTTTTTAGCTATTTCATTGACTTGTTATTCTATATTGTGGGTCAATAATACTCTGGGTCATATACATATGCATAGCCAGCTGCTAAGGGTTCTGTCTTTTTTTTTTCCTCCTTAGATGTATGATAGCTTAATTTATGGATGGGTTTCTTTTTCTGGAGCTTCTTACAGCCTCAGATTCCTTTTAACACCCTCTTCTATCCTTCTTAGCTCACCGACTGTCTGGTTTTCTTCTAGTTCTAATTTAGAGAATATTGACTAATTTTGGTCTCGTTCCCAGACGTCACAAAGGGCAGCAGTTTGTTTGGACTAATCTTGTATGTGCGTAGTTTGAGGATATAGATTGTTAGGTTCAGAATAGTCTAGAACCGAGATCTTTAGAGATTAGTGCAGAGGCTGCATGCATCATACTGAGACCTCTAGATATATATATTGTGCACGCTCGAAATGGTGTTTTGGAATCCCGTTTGAGTCCGAATTAGTAACAAATCTTCGCCTCTAATCATATTCTAATTCTTATTGAAGGTTATATATAAAACACCGTATTATAACAAAGGAGTTATACTCATGCCGCATCAGTAAATTCGAAGCCCCTCTTTCTGGCACAGTAAGTTTATATACCCACCATCAATTCATTCCACCAACGAATCATTTACTTCATAACTTTATAAATATAACTCACATTGTCTCGAACCAGACCTCGCAGCATAATTATATAAGATAATAAAGGGGATTTCTACGAACATGAGAACTCAAGAGTATAGTATCCCAAATGTATCAAAATTTTCATGTAAACATTAAATTTGTCTCATACCCAGACCTGGAAGATATTAAATGGAAAACCAAGCTCTTAAACTATATTTAAAACCCACTCTACCGACTTTGAGTTATACCGAACATTTACGCATTTTACAATCGACCTAGATTGATCTAGCCAACTAATTGGCCTGCTAATCAGTCTCTTGGTTAATATATTGGTTGGATTATATATCTAGGCTGATTTATGTAGCTACATACCTTTAACCAACCTATAAACCACTAACCTACGTAACTTCAAGTTAAGTATGTATAAACCACCAACCTGTACACAACCAGTCTGCAAACCATCAGTATGTAAACGAGCCTGCAAACAGGCTTATAAACTATTGGTCTGGGAATAAACTTGTGAGCAAACCTGACAACTACTTTAAATTTGTAACCCAGCCCAGTTTGAAAATAGATAGGCTAACTTAGAAATATTAATTTACAACCCAACTCGGAAAATGTATGAGTAACTAATCTGACTCAAGCTTGCAAGACAAATTGAGTGATATCATGATATCATCAAATGTGGTTGAGGAGCCCACTTTTTCCGTCAGACATGTACATAGAAACGAGTACTTCAGTAGGAGCTCGAAACTAGAACGCCCTGGTACAGTTGGAAATTTACAACAAAAACAACAATTTAGCTCAGCCTCAAGTTCGAAGTTCGAAGTTAGGTTAACGTTTCTAAGTCGCAATGGCGTTTGTTTACGAAATAAACCACCTTCCAGGCCTGGGTACGAGACAAGTAAAACATATTAAAACAAAACTTTTGGCTCCGGTACCGGTATACCCGTGTATATATAGTTTCGTCGCTGATCACATCACTATTATAATATTAACTTAAGACAGGCGGCACTGGTCTTGTTCCCAGACGTCACAAATGGCAGCACTTTGTTTGGGGCGGCACCGATGACCGGACCAGGACCGTGCCCTTTTATCGTCCCCAAGGCAAGCACAGGCTGAGTTCAAACCCGTGGCGTTAGTCTAGCTCTTATGTGTCTAGGTTTTGTGTGTTTACATATATATGGTCTGACTTAGTTGTGCCTTCATATTCCTAAACTCCGAAACTAGACTGTCGGATTTTAACTGGCTCTGAAAGGATAATAACAACTGCAATTTCCAACTCATTATGTATACGCCACAATTAACAAAGAACCTACATTATTATTCAGATTCGAGGCAAAGTGTTTCACTACATGCTAGCCCATATTGCTACCTGTGGATCCAGAGGCTAGTAAATCCAATTCAGTTAAATCATAAATTTATAATTTACAGCATGCGTGCATGTCCGCTCTAAATTCAGACAACCGTTAAGTATTTTAGGTGACCAGCTGCACATTCGAATTCTCTCAGCAACCCCATTCCATATTTAGGCCTTTCTTCGGACTCCAGTAAGTATACAGAATTATTTTCCATACCTAAGGACTTACGGTGAGTGCAGAGTATTCCCCTGTTTCTTCCTGGAAACCCAGGCCTGATTTCATATACACAGTGGGTCATCTTGTAAAAGTACCATATATATAGCAATCTTTGGTGTACCCTTAAAACCCAGTTGATTAGAATCCATGAATTGTGCTCCCTTCCCCAGAAGAGCAGTATCAAAGCTACCATGAACCGCCTCCAAATCTTTCTAGTCGCTCAGCTTCTTATTACGGGGGCCTCCCCAGCCCCATTAAGCTTTGATGTAAGTACCAAATATGAATGATCACCCCAAAGTTTGTAGAGTTTGGGGGTTATACCGGCTCGGTTATATTAGAGGCCGTAGGCAGGCCTAAAAACCAAAATTTACACACGACTGACAAGCAATAATTACGTACTTCGTGATCTAGATTTCGAATTCAACCTTGCAAATTACACAGACGCTAGAGAATACCAGATCCCTCATAATCCCTATCACCACTGTGCAAGTTCACGGTACCAAAACCGAATCCGTAGATCCCGCCAACGAAACCCCAGGGCCGGAAGACAAGACGTCTAAGGGATCTACTCGTCCCGGAGCCACTTGTTGCGAGCCTGAAAAAAATACAATCTCTAGCTCCACATCATCCTCAGATAGACATGAGCTCACCGCGACACCACATGCAGCGGAGGAATCAGCTATCGAAAATAATTTAGTCAGCCAATCTCTCGCAACACCATCCGGTTCTGAAATAAAACCGTCACAAGTGATGCATGCAAATGTCCAATACACGCAAACAGTTGGCGAACCAAACATAGACGCCCCGTTTGAAAGTTCTGAGGGAGATCAAGCGGTAGCCACAGAGCCAATTGTAAATTCCAGTGTAGCTTTAGCGCCACCAGATTCTAGAGACAAAAGATATGGAAATGAAATTGGCCCTCAGTTCTTCTATGAAGCCGCACCAATCGTAAGGTGTCCGTCAGCTGCTACTATCCTAAGCAGGGCTGAAGAGCATAGAAATAAAAACTGGCCGAAAATTGGTACCGGAAGATTCTCCACCCGCCCAGACTACGCGAAAAAAATAGATGTGGACGGGTACAAGAAAGTTCACGATGCATTGGTTCTAAGAGTTTCTATCTGCCGCTCGTGTTCGTGTGACCCGGACAATCCTGAGGCGGGCTTACGAGAAGGCCCAGGACCAAACTCAAGATGCACCGAAATTACAGCTCCTAGATGCATGGCGTGGTTCGGCTGCACCTGCTTTGCGCGGCTGATACAACCCCTTCCGACGGATGCATCCGGTACGCATTCTCCTCAGGAATGGCAGGATGCTATAAACAGTATACCTCCCGCGATAATGTACCATAACCACGGATGGACATGGCAAGGCCTTGGAATGGGAGTGGGAGCTCCGGGGGGCATTTTGCCGCCGGAAGAACCCCCCGTATGGGGTCCAGATGATCTAGGACCTGAGCATCGGACTCTAGAAGACGAAGCCAGCGAGTTTGATTATCTTTTTGGCCTACTTCATGATTCTTCCAGTTCGGGGGGGTTTAAAGATCGCGGCGGCAGATGGGACGGTGGACGGGGCGGTGGCAGCTCCAAAGGGGGCTTTAGTGGGTTTCATGACAGAGGTGATGACGGCGCTGGAGCGGGGGTCTACAAACGGGGAGCCTCAGAGGAACAGTCGTCCACAGCAGATAAATTGTATCCGGGAGCAAGGAACTTTAATTAATTTTAGCCAACCTTCGACTTAGAAGAAATATGCTCCAAAAGCCCCTCCATAAAAAAGATTCTCTTTTAAAAGGTCCAGAAACCCCCAAAGAAGGTACTCCTCAATGTCTCACTAAGCTTCCTTTAAAATATATATATATGTACATTTAGTCCACTTTATAGCTCTTACCTTTTTTTCCATATATGCCAATTTCGTATCATATCCCTAATATATTAATATTCTTCACTACCTTAAGTTTGTGACCAAGGCACACAGTCCAGTTACTTGTATGTGTTGAGAGTGTTGGAAAGACGTTAGAAAAGTTGGCTGAGTTACACAGGTATATTCCACCCTAACTACAGCCAGCCGCACATGCACAAACCATGCAATGATCATGATCATGATCTCTGCCCTCACCCTGCGCCTGGTCTCGAGGCTAGATCATGATCGATATCTATCCAAATCGCATCGCATGCGCATCGTTCACATTAAAACGTGCCCTCCGACGATTAACCACCTTCCAGGATCGTCTTCAAACTATCCCCTTTCACAACTTAATTTAATTTATCCATGTAAGAGCCAACAAATGCAAATAATGTCTACATAGCTCCAAGAAGCTGGCATTAATTATATTAATTAATGTGAATTTGCGGACCGGTCCCAGAATTAATTTAATGAATTTAAAGCTGTCCGATTGGAGGATTTAGATCTATAGATTTGAATCTTTAGATTTTTACCCCGTTTCAGTATAGATATAGATACTTATATATACCTCACAACTAGTTAAATTTACTTGTTGATGTATTCTTTTGAATGTTATTTAATTATAAAATCTTTAAGTATAGTATCTTTGAATACACAAATACGGATTGTAAATGTGACGGTTCAACTTCATACTAGTTCATACCAGTAATCTTCTCCCTAGATCTGTATACATAGCTAAGCTCGTGCGGCGCCAGTATCCGTACTGCAGTTCTCTCAAACCAGACTTCGAAAAAAAAAAGTGTGTATACTGCAGTTGATTATATCAGGATGCTATTAATCACCATAAAATCAGACAAATGTTCCTTTATACATTATCCTGCTACCCCATATCGAGGAAATATAATTCAGGTATCGATATTTTCAGCCAAATAAAATTAAGCGCTATCGAATCAAATTAAATATGGTCTTTCAGGGCCCCTTCAATTATAAAACTTAGGTTTAGAGTTATAGACTTATTTTGCTAATCAATTACAGGTCTAGAAATTGCCCTTTGTGATGTCTGTGAACGAGATTAGTCTAGAAGGGGAAAATGAAAGGAAAAAAGGGGGAGGGAGATCTCGAGAAAGGAGGTTATATCATCAAGGTTAAGTGTAAGTGCGAAAACGCTTGTATTGATATATAGGTACCCATAAACTTGTAAATTTAGAGGACTCGGGGCCAGAAAATCAGGGTAGAGATAGTGGTCTCGTCCCCAAATATCCTGAAAGAACCTCGGATTCATCAGAAACCCGAAGCGAGGTAAGAAAGTAAGAATTAGCTTACACGATTAGAATATATATATATATGTATATATAGAAGAAAGCTAGAAGATAAGAATAAACCAAAAGACTTCTAACTCCATATAACCTCCGCCTAAGTTCAACAAGCAAAAGTATACTTAATTATGGTCTGGAGGCAAGACGGGTGCAAGTTCAACTTAATTATCAAGGAAGGAGTGAAAAAACAAACCAAGCTTATCTACCAGCCCAAGAAAAGTTGGATGGCTTTTCGATAAATGTCACTGCAGCGCTGCTGAAGAAAATAAGGGGAAAGAAAGAAGGAAAGGAAAGGAAAGGAAAAGAATTAAGAAAGGAAATACTTGATCTGACTTAAACCGATAGATCGAAAACTCAATTAACTACGATCGTGATAAGAGAAGAGAATCATTCATTTGTAGATATCAACCTCAAATCAACCAAAGAAGACCCAATGAAATATGCATATATGCAAGACCATAAATTATTACAATGGCCGTTCACTCATCGATCCCGAGTTTTAATGAACATATATATCAGTCCGTACGATAAAGGCTAAAGTATCAAGATGTAGATGCAAGACCAGATATTCACAAAAAAAAACCATCTGTGAATCGGTATCAATGCAAAACCTAAAGGGATATTTCCACGACAAAACTTAATTGAAAAAAAAAAAAAAAAAATCATGATAAGCAAAGCGCACTAAAACATAAATAAAAACCAAACCTCATCTATAGTCTTCATAATAATCTCCTGGTCTCCTCCCAGGCTGTTGTGTAAATAACCCACTCCCCGCCGGTGCCGGCGCTCTAGGGAATCCCGAGAACCCACCGCTTCCCCCTCTACCCGCTAAGGGACCTCCCCCGCCGCCAAAGCCCGAACTACTAGCAATGCTAACAGTGCTAGCCGGTGGACTAACCGTCATACTCCTAACTTGTTCTCCAACGGGTGTGGTCGGCGTGCTCCGTATCTCCTTCCTAGGAATAACCATCCCTGCTCCTTCCATAGGCATAGGCATCGGGTTTCCAAACGGATCAAACATCCTCCTATCCATCCTCCTTGATTCTAAATCTTCATAGCGATTCGAAAAACTTGACATATCTCCGTTTTCCCTCCGGCTTCTATTTTCAGCAGCGGTAGCAGCAGCACTAGTCGTAAGAGCCGTGCCAATAAGTCCTTCCCCAAATCCCTGATGAACCGGCATAGGCGGTAGAATCATACTCTCCCTACCACCGTTACCCACGGGACTGTAAGTACTAACACCCTGTTGTTCCGCATATCCAAACTGGAATGGCTCATCTTCGTCGGCAAGTGGACTCCTGGTATGAACGAATCCTCTATCCCTGGTAACCGTACTTTCCGCAATACTCTGTACTTCATCGATAGGCGGCAACGGTGCACCATGTTGATACGGCACATATCCCGGCCCTCCGGCACCACCACCACCTAATCCCATCAACCCGGCTCCGGCACCATAATAACCTGTGTCGACCATCGAATTTCTGGATTGATAAGGGTTCTGTGAATCATACGGATCGCCAACAAGTGTATCCCCGCTTCCATCGCTGCGATTGCTCTTGGAAACTCCAAAGAATGGAATAGTGGATAGCCACATTCGCTTCTTTTTCCGTTTCCCCAAGACACCTGCCGCAGCACTAGCTTCGCCGACCGCAAGGGCGCTGCCGCCGAGCGACGGGTTATGCGCCTTAGAATACCTCCCACGGCCACTTCTCCTACAGAAACCACAGCAGAAAAATAGAAATGCGAAGATTCCAGCACCAACAACTATCAGTCCGCCAATGGTAATAGTCGGAATAACCCATCTTTTGTTCTGATCCGTGATGAATGATGATGAAGAATCTTGTTCTGAGCCAGTAAGAGTAGGAGTCGATGTTGCTGGTCCAGTTTGTTCGCTACCTCTGGTTCCAGTGTCTGTGGTTGATGGTAAAGTTGTAAATGTCGAGTCCCTGGTTGTAGTTGATTCTGAGTCCGATGTAGTTGTACTTTCAACACTACTGGTTGTCCTCCTCGATGTGCTTTCCGACGTTGTCGTAGTTTCTTCCTCTGTACTACTGCTACTGCTAGATTCAACCGTAGATGTCGGAACTGAAGTCTCACTACTTCTTATCCTCGCCTCAACATAAACATTACAACCGCCGGTTCCCTGAAACCAATTCCTAAACTCCTGGGACTCAAAGTCGGACGTGCAGGTACAAGTACTGCCTTCGTAAAATTGCTCCACCCATGATGATTGACAAAGACAGTCGAGACTGGATTGACCGGAGAGTGTGCAGTCGTAATTTGCACTCCAGAGAGGTTGGCAACGGTCGATGCAGGATTTTAGATATGGTGGGAAATAGCTAGATATTTGGGCATGTGTCAAGGTTGGTAGTAATAGAATGAAGAGGGGAGAGAGTAGGAGTTTATGTGGTTTTGAAGGGCGGTGGTGGGTCATCTTGAGATATTGCTTTGACCCGATGGGATGGTGTCTGGAAAACAATGAACAAAATAACTCTAGGGTTTAGTTTGAAAAAAAAAGGGTATGGACGGATTTTTTTTAGTAAGGAGGTAAAGGCGGGTAAAAAGATTTGATTTGCAATTCGTCGTAAAGGATGCTGTGCCGTGAGGTTCAGAAAATTGAAAAGCGTGGGTATCTTTTTTGCGAGTAAGACTTCGATTGTGTGGAAGGCATGCAAACTTGCAATAGCGGCAAGAATTTGAATATCCAAAAATAAATAAAAACCAAGAGCACAGAGCGAAAGTGGGGAGCCCAAAAAGAGACGGCAGTTTCGTTAAAGGTGCGGATTAATTAATCGGATTTGATTCGAGAAAAGTGGTTCGGTAAGCCCGTAGAAATCAAATGTAGAATGCAGTATCGTGAAGAGGTCGTCTGTTAAGGGTTTCATGATTCGACGTTCTCGGGTTCCATCGTTATGTCTTAGGGAAAGCAGTTTATGTCCCAAAAATGCCCGGGACAGTCAGAAAGCGAAAGACGAGGGTGGAAAAAGAAAGAGGAAGAGAAAGGAAAAAGGAAAGAGAGGAAGAAATCCTCTTTCGATCTCTTCCTAGTGGCGGCTGAAACTCGAAAAAAGGTACCGACTGACTACCACCAATCCTTCGTGGAGCAGCAATCAATAAGAAGCAGACCCAGCAAGTCACGGAACCTGACGATGAGAGCAAACAAGAACTAGGATGACGCACGGAAATCAAACTGCCTCGTCACACTGCAGTGATTTCGGGGAGAAGTTGAAGAGTAACAGTTGTTGATGATGAGCCGTTCTCTGCGCCCGTTCCTGACGTTGGGGTAATAAGAATCCAAGAATATGTAATTATTGTATGGGGGTGGGAGTATCAAGGGAATCCTGTCAGCCTTCGAAGGGGACGTCTTATGTAGAGTATCGCAGCGTTATCCCACCAAAAAGAGAAGGGAAAAAGTGGGCGAACAAACGAGAGCGAACAACTGTGATATCTTCAAAAACAAACTATCTGGTATCTTTGATATTGGCGTAAACATAAATCGTAAATAACCCAAGCGACGTTAGCTCGATCCCGTCGGCCCAGATCTAAAGTTGTTGGATGTCGGTGAGATTGAAGATGTTTGGAAGGGAGAAATGCGGCTGTGCTCTGTTTGTATCGAGAAGGAGCCCTGCTTTTTTCGCGCCTAGCAACACCCAACAGAGCCGAAAGGAAGCTAAGGGAGCTGGGGGGGTCTGCGTAAGCTTGGGTCTTGCAGCTGTTATTGGTGACACTATGTTGGTTGGCTGTCAAGTTTACTCAAGGTCGTATCATGCACTGATGGAATGTTGAGTTAGTGATATTGATTATAGAATCAGATCCGTTTGCATGTTAACATTTTAATCACTTCGTTATGGGCATCGAGAAGTTAAGGCTGATATAACCACGAATCCCCATACGAATGCAATGGATATTAATGCTGAGAGCTCCATGAAAACGTCAGTGAAGATATTAATATCTACCCTTCAATCAATCAATCGAATCAAATCAAAGACAGTCGCACAATGCACCGCTTCGTCCTGTCGACAGCTGTCTTTTGCGCCCGTCGCCAGGCGGGATTTCGAAGGCGAAAAGGAACAAATCCCACAGAAAAACCTTGGAGGGGCCAAGAGGATGTTTCTATTTTCTGCTCTGCCCAGTTAAGAAAGTCTGGGGATAATATCAACCAAGGGCAGGGATGTCCGTCACAGATAGCGTGATTTTCGCGCAAAGCCACAGTTGAAGCCGGGAAAGCTCCAAGGTGACGAAGACCACTCGAGGATTGACTGGAAATGTTGCAATGGAGAGGTCGCATTGGCCACAAGCTGTTGAACTCTTCCACGATGCGCCGATGCTCTTTTGCTGGATTGAGAAACCATGGGAATTGCCGTCAAGGTCCTCGGTCTTGAGCCTTGGTGCACAGAGCTGCTGCGTATGTATGGTGTATGAAGCCGGTGGGGTCCTGTCAACTGTAACTCCTCTGCGACAAGAAACTAACCCGGGTTGAGAGTTAGCCTATCATCGGGCCAGGTACGCCCACTTCGACTCCTTGCATTCCATTCCCATCTACCGAACGCCCGCATTTGATGTTTGTTAACTTTTGCGGGCAAAATAGCCATGACAACCAAGCTAGCCTTCTTGCTTGTGATTGTGACTAAAGATGTTTTGCCACATGATCATGAACGTGTGGCACTGTGCACACCATGTGGCTGGAATTGACATTATCATGTGGCTGGCATGAGAATGGAATATGGTGATCAAATGACAAAGTTTTAAAGTATTTTAAGAAAAGAATAACATTCAGAGATAAATCATCCCAAAGACCCTTGTTTTCAGAGGTATGATATATACCTAATAGATAGTGTAAAATGCAGAATATCATTCTTATATTGCGCTGGCATGCAAAAAAACCAGTCTGCTTTTATGAGCATCGATATAGCTAAACAATGTGACCAAGGCCAGGGCATTGTAAGTACATTGTATTGCAGAATACACCTGCATAAGGCCAATAGTACCAAGTATACCAAGAGCATATCGACGAAATTCATGCATGGAAGAATAGCAGAGGAAGGCCAAATATAAGAAAAACCCAAGAAAACGCCTTAGCGCCATGGACATAATGAAAGATCACACCGGCCTGCGCATGCTCAAAAACATCACAAGAAAGCATCCTCACACCCCACTATCTTACCCCGCCCGTTCAACTTACCCCCATCTCGCCCCATCATGTTTGAAACCAAATCATCTCGTAATCCCATACCTCTTTAAGGTATATAGAATTTGGACTCTCTTTTCTTCCCCTTTCTCCATAAACTCCTCTTCGTGCTCCCAAAAGATGTCCCACGGTGTTTTATGATTCCCTGCCCTCACATACTTATCGATCTCTGGCCTCTTAAGCAGAACCTCGATAGGTGCGCTACTCCTCCCATCAAACATACACCAATGTAGCGCCGTGTAACCTCCCGAATTCTTCGCATTGATATTCGCACCAGCCGATATCAACATCTTCAGGATCCTGACATCAGCATTCCAAGATGCCTTCCAGGCCGCAAAGTGAATCGGAGGCTTCCCGGTTATACTCCGAGCTTCGATATTTGCTCCATTCTTGATGAGAACGGATGCAACTTCTGCGTTGGTTTGACGGGCACAGATATGTAGTGGAGTAATGCCCTCGAATAATGTGGTTTGAGGGTTTGCACCTCTATCGAGAAGTAGTTGGGCCATCGGTGCAGAGTACTTCGAATGGCTTCCTGAGACGACATGGAGGAGGGTTGTTGCCCGCCAGGCGTACTGGGGCATCGGTGGGTCAAGATCATAGTATATCGGTGACTCACGTAGGGACTGGGTCGCACACCAATCATTGGAGCAGATGATAGTCATCAAGGGAAGGTTGTCGGAATCCAAGGCGGCCTTTAGGGCGTAGAAGATATCCTTTTGGCGACCAACCAGGATTTTCCCGTCATGACCAAATGAGAGACGGTATTTTTGCATGTCAGCTATGAGCTTAGCTTTGGAAGCCTCGGATTCCTCAGTCGTAGGGGGGGTTGAGGACTGTGAGACGGTTGTGACTAGTAAGATAGGGTCTTCGGTATGAGATTCATGGATCAACGACTTGTAATATTGCGCTTTAGCGGCCTGTGTAGTGTTTCCCAGATCCTCAAGAGTACGAGCAGCAAGAGCACCAAATTCAGATTTGTACTTCTGCTGAGTGTCTTCCGTGAGGAATTTCTCGACCACGGCGAGGCCTCGTCTAGAATTCGTATGAGATGCCTCGTAGTCTCTGAGTTTATACAACGCCACCGCTTTTGCATAGTACGCCCTGGCCGACATTTCCGGTTCCGAAGTCGACTGGTGCTTGAAATTCTTGAGGAGATCGTGAGCTTCCTGCCATCGTGCCTTGGAGTTGTATGTCATAGCCTGTAGAATCTGCATATCGGGATTTTCATCGATATTCAGATCCTTCAGCAAAATCGACAAGTGATTTTCCGCTTCGTCCCACTCTCCGTGCGATAACCCGTCGGCAACTTTGGATCTATGGAAGGATATTTGCTGCTCCTGGAAACTTGCATCGTCATCTTCATCCGCGACGGATTCGGGACTTGTCTGGAAGCCCGTTAAGCTGTCGACTTCAGAGATTATATACATTAGAAACTTTCTTTAAAGAAAATTTGATTTCAAATGGTAGAAATGTGTCGCATTCCTTGGGCAAAATTGCCTTTTTAACAAAATGCAAAAGAGTATTCCGCACGGAGGGGGAAAAAAGAGTCATCAATGCTTACGGTCTGTATTGTTCGTGTATTCAAAACCCGCACTCCCCGATAACGGGCCATAGTGCGACCGAGAGAGATCGTTGGATTGAGGACACTGAAGGACCTGTGGATGCTGTTGTTCGCGCGACAGCCTCCCCTCACGGTCAAAATTCTCGACGAGACCTGCCATTCCGACAGTCAGGTTCGGCGGGTGTCACCTAACTGGACTCGACTCCGAGTTTACGTTCTTTGGGGAGGGTGTTTATGGTTTTCGGCAGAAGGATCCTAAAGTGGAGGTCGAGTGCCCTGTGCTGAGAAGGCTAGCGCTAACGTAGCTAACCAAGTAACCAACCTAAAAGTTGTATGTCGATATCACAGACCTACGACGAACGTAACCAGTCGACGGCCGATGATGTTGTGGCGAGGCTGAGATATTGTCGACGAGGCTATCGAGAAGTGATCAGAGAATAATATTGATTGATGTATGTGGCAGGGAATCAGGGAACCAGGAGAATGATTTAGTAAGGTCGAATGGAAGAATGACATGACAGCAGCGGCAAGTAGCAGCCATTCCCGCAGCAGCAGCAGCGACCAGGCCATACCAGGCCAGGATTCATTCGCTCGTCTTTTGAACCAACGTCAATGCACTGCATGCACGAACATCAACATGAACGACTAACAGGGTATCACGGCTTAATCGCATTGTATCCACAGCTTCAATATATATGTACATGTACATGGAACAATTCTCAGGTAGTTAATCCGAAGCTACCAGAATTTGTCGCCCGATCCAAGGATCTCTCGCATCTCCTTCTCCAGCCGACGTCGCTCTCTTTCTGCGGCCTTCTGGCGCTGCATTTCGTGGCGCTGCTTGACCAGCTCCATCGACCGTCTTCTAGATTCCCCGCCATCTGCCCAGGCCCGCTGCATCGCCGTTCCTTCAACCATCAGGCCATCTTGACATCTAAAATCCCTCTCTCTCTCTCAAAGTCAGAATTTCTGTTACACTGTCCATAATCTCAAGACCGGGGAGGGAGGGGAGGGATTCGTTGGGTTTAACCTCCAGAACCGTCTTTCAATCTCCCAACAGTTAACACCGGCATCACCCAGATCCAATCCCGTCCCGCTCAACATCCTCACGACCTGACAATCATACTGCATCATCTTTTCCAGCACACATTCCTTCTCCAACTTGTCTATTGTAATCGGAGAATTGGTCACTTTGGTCGACTTGGCAGTATAGGGACTCGAAGTGGTAGTCGTCGTCGTATGAGCTGCAAGCCGGGCAGGCAGCTCTGATGCCGGGAACTTGTCGAGCGGGAACGACATTATGGCAGCCGGCGCCAGACGGTTGAAGACCGTTAGCGGTCGTGGTGGTGGTGGTGATGACAATGGAATAGGGAAACGACTGCTAATGGAAGTTGGTAATAGTGAAGAGACTCTCTCGAATGTAAGATAAGATACCAATTCCTATTCTATCCACCCACCCTCACCATCACCATCGTCGTCGTCGTTTTTTGAATCCTTTCCACCGTCGTTTTTGTTCGAGAATGAAGAAGGGAAGAAGAAGAAGAAGAAGAAGAAAGAGAAGAATATCTGACAGTAACCCGCAACCGACTGACCGTTTTCTTAGCTCCTCAGCGACATCCAACTGACTGCCCAACACCACAACACATCCAGTGGTTTCCTCAATATCCCCCAGATCGATGCTCTTCTTCGTCCACATTTACAGGACCATCTCCACAACCAATCCATCGCACAAGCACATTCACAGCATCCCGTTGGATCCTTTGATATTCCTTCAGATGATGTTCCGTTGCCTCGTGATAAACCTGCCATCATTGAAATATCCTCCAATGGCAGCGGTACAGGCAAGACCCACCTGTTATATTACATAACATGCGTGGCATTACTCCCTTCCTCGTGGAACGGGATAAACCTCGAAGGGAAAGAGAGTGCAGTTGTTTTTATCGATTGTGATGGCCGTTTCGATATCCTTCGCTTTTCAGAGGTCATGGAGTCGTATATCGAATCACGCATCTCGCTGGCAATTCAGTTCTGCGAATCCAAACAGACTTCGGCCGCAAAAGATCCTATGTCTGAAGATATTCCTGATCCTCCTATATCTTCGCAAGCCGAAGACGAGGAAATCAAGGAATATTTGACGTTGTTGAGTTCTATAACTCCATCTGATATCGTCGAGCTCGCAGTCTACTGCCTTTCTCATTTGCATGTATACACCCCAACATCCTCCTCCCATTTTCTAGACATCCTTTCTTCGATCCCAGAATACCTTCTCTCTTCCCCTTCTTTCTCTTCACAAGGACTTCCCCTATCATCTGTGATAATAGACGGTATCTCTGCCTTCTATTGGCTCGAAAGAGCCTCGTCAGCATCGACGACCACCCCTTCTATGGTCTTCTCAGATGCAACAACCTCACAATCAACTTCAGCCCAAGACAAGAAAGATGAAACAAACCAGCTTCCCCAGAAGATAATAGAAGATGATATGGAACCAAAACTATCTTTACAAGCCCGTTATGATCTAATAATCTCCCATCTCCTCACCATAACCGCCCGGTTCAACAATAACACAATAATCACAAACACCATCATCCCGACTAACTCCTCACATCCAATATCTCATAATAATACACCAGTATACCCTCGTCACCTACCGACGTGTTATACTTACTCACCCACCTTTCTAAGCGCGAGGATTATATTGTCAAAGGATGTGGTGGCACCTTTTCATGCGGATATAGGAATTTTGGAGGCGTACAAGGAGAGAAATATGAGGATGGAAGTGGTCAGAAAGGCTGGAGTCAGTGCTTGGGTTGAAGGGGCTGGGGTGAGAAAAGGTGAGGTGGGGAAGAAGAATGGTGGGTGGTTTTGGTTCTGGATTGGGGAGGACGGGGTCAAGGTTGGTGCTGAAGATGATGATTAGATGATTTGTCGACGCTTATATCCTTTGACATCATATATACTTTCCTTTTCTTTGGATAGAATAGAAGAAAGTAATAATACTTTCGGACAGGACTACCTTTGCCTAGACGCTAGACATGTACTTTTATCATAGAAGACTCTAATACCATGGAGGTTTCAACCCTCAACCTCTGACAGATATTCATTATAACTCACACCCTCGATACCGATATACCATAGTTCTTGAGAATACGACTATTAGCTCATCTTCTACTACTATTATCGTCAATATATCCTCTCCATAAAAAGAAAATGTTCAATAGATCGTAGATTCACTTTATCGGCATCTCCCCGCAATCACACCATACCCCCCCCTCACTCCCTATAATACATTCATAAGAAGTGATATTCTCTCACATCGACTTAATCAAATCCACGATGTCGATACACTTTCATAATGCAATGAGGCCGAATGACTTCACCCACCATACTACATCGTGGGAACTTTGATATCAGGATTTCAAACTTTATCTCTCCTTTCGTCACACTTTATATTCCAAATCGAACAGTTCTAAAAATTCTAAAAAGGTCGATCTGCATGCATGATTCAGGCACCTTGATTATATTAATATTATTAATACCCGAACACTCGTGAAATCCTTCCTTATAATGAGCATTTCGATCTGAAATTCAAAAAATCAAAACTTAGATGTTTAATTAAGTTTTGTTTCCATCGGCGAGAATCTTAAAGATCTAAAAGTCAAATCGGAATAAGAAATCAGCTCCGTCAAAACTTTAGTAAGCGAAATCCGTGATTGACGAGTTTATTTATAATTTATATACTCAAGTAAGTGGCAATGAATTGAAAGTAAACCGTGATAAAAGTAATATTATAATCGTGAAGTTTCCCAGGACCCCGTACGAATTATAAATTAGGTATATACTATTATCTAATCGGTCAATCTACAGATCTAGCAGACTTAACCGTTCTATACATATTAATAAGTTATGTATACAACTTCAGATACTTTTAAAACTAAAAAAACTTTTATAACAAAAGTGCATCTACAATGATATATCTCAGCCTCCCCGCGCACGGTATTACCTACTCCCCGCATGGTCATCACGAAAACCACAAGCGCAGCGCGCCTCACCTGAACAGTTCCCACTGCCACAAGCGCTCGCGCTCGGTATACACCCGAACCCTCATTCAACCTTCAAACTTCAAAAAAAAGATAAATATAGGAAATAAGATAAGGCCTACCAACTTGGAAAAAGGATTCAAGGCTTTCCATCAAAGCAAGAGAAAGAAAGGCACATGATTAGCATATGCTGCATTTAACATTGTCGCACGGGCTACAATCCATTGGACATCCACCGATTACGGATCACAGATCACAGGCAGACAATCCTCATTACATCGTGACTGTACTCACAATTATAATTAATAGCACTCATTCACTCATTCGAAAAGTAACAGTAACAGTGACAATGGATCCCAAACCTACTCCCAAAAAAAGAAGCACCCGAACTTTCGTGAACCATCTAAGTCACGTTGGTCCAAAAAGGTGGAATGACATTTGGGAACTCTCCGCTACCGAACCGGTATTTCTTTATAAATTTACCAAACAAAAAACCCCACGCACAAGCACAAGCACGGCCACCGGGCACTAACCAAACCAAACCAAACCAAACTAACCACGACCGTCGCCCCGTCGCCCGCCGCCGCTGCCGCACGCGGACCACATGCTCTCCTTTGATCCCTCCCCCCACGTTGAAGGGTAAGTGAACTAGATCAGGCCTCCCCCTCGGATCCTCAGTTTTGGGAAGCTAACTAGGAGCCTCGGAGCCTCAAGGAATAATACCGACGACAATTGCATGATAGTGAGCAGCATCATATAGAAGGAACACGAACATCCTAACGTCCAACGTCCAATATCCAATACCGGGGAACCATTCATCCCATGTGGTTTTAAATAATAAGTATTATTGATTCAGATTCATTAAGGAAGCCTTGTACGTTTTTGGTTTGTTTAAAATCTTCCTTGGGAAGCCTTGAGGCTGTTAATATCGTTATATGTCGGTAGATATCCGATGCATGGAGGTGCAGAACTTGATATAGTTTATTCTACCCCTACGCGTATGTCTGTATGTCTGTATGTCTGTATGTAGGTATGACTGAGCCACGGACTACGATCACGAGTTCTCGTAAGGAAATATGGTTTTTGGTTAGTAAACCGGGCTTCCAGATTTGTTGAGATGTGGGATGAAATGTTCATCCGCTGTTCCGAAGTCTCGGAATCTTTTTTTTCTCTTCTACTTCTTCGCTGGCAGGCAGACATGGAAGGCAAAGGCCAGCCAGCATCATCACCAGCATCACCAGCATCATCATACTTCCCCTTCCCTTACATTGCATTACAGTCGAATATGCATCGAAACTACCAGCAAAAAATGACCAAAAAAACTTAAAACAAAAAATGACCCGAAATCTGATTTAACGTTGCCTACATAATGCATCAAAAAAAAAAAAGAATAAAAAATAAAAAATATTATATTATATTATATCTCTCAGAATATCCTCGTATGCTTCAAAGACTATATGCATCATTCCCGCATCTACTATACCAAATATGACAGAACATGCCCATATACATGTAAGTACACATAACCGAACACTTCACCTGACGTATAAATCTACCCCTCCGACTTGAATTCATACTTCAACTTTCGCGAGCTCAACGAACTTTTTTCGGTCCTGTTATGCATGTTACCCCTCTTTCCTTCCCCCAAAGAGTTTCCCACAAATACTTTTCAAAAAAAACCCCGACCCGCCTTGCTGGCTTGCTTGCTTGCGCAAGATAGATAACCTTTTTACTGCGTATCTATGCAAGCAATATATGCAAAGAGAAAAGGTCATAGGTTAGAAATTATGGCTTCATGCATTTCGGCATCATGCACCATGGGAACCCCGGGCGAGTCGTCAAAAACGATAACTGCAACAGGGATCCGGTTTAGAAATACTTACTTCTTACATACAACGTACAGCTTGTTAAGCGGTTTGTTGGAAATTTAGCCAGCGATATAGCTGACTCGTAACGTTGTTCATCCTTTTTCATCCGAACTCGACTGGAATGAAATTCCGTCTATCTATCGATCTATTCCAAACTAGTATACATGCCACTGAAACAAAGAGAACCGTCGAACACTAGCTAAACCGAACGAGCTCATGAGCACGAGGGTAATAGGGAAAAAGGGTTACCAAATTATGTAATGAAATCCTCGTGGAGGTGGGTGGGAGGTTCATTAAATCTTTTCTATCCATACGGTCTAGGAATAATAATATTCTGAGGATTTTCACTCTCACTCTCACTCACGAATCCTAGATCAAGACTTTTTTTTAAATTTTTTTTAAATTGTAAATTGTGCAAATTTGTAGATTTGTAAAATAATATTGTATCTCGAAAAAATCGTCCTCGAGATTCCTTGCATTTCATTCTTCATTTCATTCTGTCTAATCCTAAATCCTAAATCCATCTCCCCTCGATAAAAGAGGTTTTGATGTTATATGCCCGCTAGCTCGCTTTCTGATCGCTATTCTAAACAAGAAACGCTTTGAGGACTTCTAAAGTACACTGGTATCTTGCTCAACCAACAATTCAAACGATTCAAGCAATTCAAAACAAAGAAACCGAAAAAGACTTGACAATAAAAAGTCGAACTCTGGTTCAAAAAAAAAGGTCAGGCCATGTTGCTGTAAATATGTAGGCCGCTTGTCGAAAACAAAAAACAATCAGATAAAACGAGGGAATTAAACACCTCGTCTTCATAAAGCAAAATGAACAAAAAGCTGAAAAACAACTCCAACTGTCAAAAGACCAAAGCTCTATCGAACAGTGTATAGAAACTTTAAGGTTTTTCAAAGACCAACTAACCGACCAACCGACTCTGAAACCCGCCTCGCCTCGTCTGCTCCGGAGAAGCCTGGAAAAGTTGAGCTCTCCGGTGATTAAAAAGATGTAGAAAGGTTGAGAAGTATATAAAAGAGAAAATAACTCGAAGGAAGAGAAAAAAAAGGAACTTCGTAAGTATGTATCAAGAAGTATTGGGAGTAATGTCGACCGAGAGAGATTCGAACGGTAAAAAAGACAATAGTAGATGCCGCCGTAAGGTATAACGCCGTGGAAAAAAAAGACAAATAACCCCCTTAATGAACTGATAAAAATCAAACTGGCACTGGTTGATATGGCGGCCTTGAGAGAGGAAAAAAATGCTGAGAGTAATGAGTGCAAAAAAAAAAAAAAAAAAGACTGTGATGTTGAAATTCCGAATATCCTCCCAATTAAACATTTGTAGGTGTCGATGTTCGTCGGTATAAAACCATATGTGCAATGAAAGGATATGGAGGGACCAGCTGCCCTCTTCTAGGTGTGTAAGAAAGGACTGCTGATGGGAAACATGTATATATATATTTAGTATAGGATTGATACTTCAGGATTGTAGAAGATGTATCGTTCAATGTATGCCTTCAAAGCACATTTTCGGTCTTCCCTGACTTTGTCGATGGGGAAGCCTGATCCGATGGCTAGCTCTGCATCGAACTTGCGAGCCATGGAATTATGGTTGAGAGATAGGTAGGAGAAGATGGTATCGACGAATTCGGTGTCGACTTCTGCGTAGTCGTCCTCACCGACGGAAGGGACGGTGAGATCTGTGGCCGATGACAGATTTGTATCGAGGGATCCAAACGATGTTTGAGTCTTAGGGAAGAATTCAGATGTTTCCGAAGGCTCGATGTCAGACTTTGAAACGGGGATTTCGAAAGTAGTGACTCTGGGAGAAGGAACGAAGTTCGGTGTCATGATGTGACGTGGCTGAGGAGTCCACAGCGAGGTTGGCATAATCGGCTTCCGTGCCTGGGTGACGGGGTGGTCATCCTCAAGTTCCTTCTCCCAAAGAAGTCTGGCTTTCTCCAACTCTCGTTCCTCTTCCAGTCTGGCTCGTGTCCTTTCGTCAGGAACGTAGTTATCATCGATCTGATCGAACTCTGGCAGAAAGTCGACGGTGGAGTTTCTTCTGAAGGTAGCTTCGCCACCGATATCAAACATGGCATCGAAGTTTATCGCGCCTTTTTCGATCGGCTTACCAACGGCATGATGCCGGGATGGAGCCATATTCTCCGGCGGTACCGAAAGAGGAGCGACGTCGAATAAGATTTCCTCCGTACCTTCTTCCGGAGTGTGAATCATGGATACTCTAGTGGATGATGTTGCAGAGGCAGGTGATGAGCAGAGGGAAGGACAATACACAGATTCCCGGTCCGAGAATAGATAATTGTTCTCCCGATTAGAGTACCGTACTGTAGAGATGGGCTGTGGTAGCGAAGCAGCCAATTGCTTTAGGGCATCAGATGTTAAGGGAACGTATTCAAGGTCGTCCTGGGGCTCGTAGTGGCATGGTGAGCAATCGAACTGGTCAGGCCGCGGCCTGGGAACGAAGAGTAGAGACATTCTTTCTTTATTTCTTTATTTCTTTCTTTTCGTTCTTTGTTCTTGGTTTGAGCCGAAGTTGGATGAAGAGGTGCACGTAGATCTAGGGGGGATATGTATAGATTGGAATATAGATAGATGGATGGATGGATTGGATAGTCGATGATCACGATTGAGAAGGTTAACGTTCTAAGATGTGAGCACGTTGACCTAAATTTGGAGATGTGTTGTCGGTGTTGTTGTTATTGAAGTGTTGACAGGTTGACAGGGGATGCAACACAGGTCGAGATATGTCGAGCTGACAATGCAAAATAGTTTCTTGGATAGTTGAATGTCGAGGATGAATCGAAATAATATTCTATGAACTTGAGATGATGTTAACAAGCTTCGTGAGAGGAAGGGGTAAGATTGATATTTAAGAGTTGAGAGGTGTGACTGAAGGTTTCCCAGCAGAAAAAGAAAAGAAGAACTAACTATCTAAGGTACATACAATGTACAGTACTATGGGGGAGGGGGGGAGCAGCAAGTTGCAATGACTTGGTGACCTCAGATATGTATGCAATTTGGGGTCAACCGAAGAGTACCCAGCACTTGCGCGCTGCACTCGCACTGCACTTCGGCGTATGAAAATTCAGACTTGAATGATTGGCCCGAACGGAGCTCCAGGCCCCAAAAGGTGTTCGGTTCTGATTCAGGCCCAGGTTCCGTGTGGGAATAAGAACTTGTCTGGGGGCACTGGCAGGCACTGACAGGGAAAGCGAGGCTGGCCAGAAAGTTGGGGGTGCTCCAATGTCAGGCGCCCTTCTTTCTCTCCCACACCACACCACACCACACCACCAAATTAAAAATGGAGTCCCAGGGAAGGGAATGCCATGCTTTGGTGCCAAAAGGGTCCCTCCGGAGGACCCTTTACATTGTGCTTCAAAAAGAAAAGTGAAAAAAAAGGAATACGGCTGTGGACTTACTCCGTGATTGTGTACCAATTTGCCTTTTCCAGGGCGCGCACAAACGCCGAAAGCCAAATTCTGCACCAAAAAAAAACAGGTCGCCCTAGCGAGACTGCAGAACAGTGAAAGAAAAAGGCTCCGTGGTCTGTTGGCCGGATTGTGTCTGACTCTGTAGCTTTTTACCACCGTCGTATCCGGCTTTTGGAGATACGTCGGCCGGGTCGGTGGTAGTCGTAGTAGTCGTAGTAATAGTAGTAGTAGCAGTCGTCGACGTTGACGTGTGTATGTATAATAATAACAATCGTCCCAAATTCTTATTTCTTGTTTTTTTTTTTCTCTTTGAATCAAAAGGGTCCGGTCTTATCCCTCGTACGGATCCAACGGGTATATGTATGGTCTTGTCTTTGTAATTGTATTTTTAAGCTTAACCGCTGTATAGATGAGTATATGTATGTGGATGGCGATGGAGAACAAGATCGAGAGAGAGGCGAATTTGTTATAGACTGAACAGCTGAATGAACAAATGCCCCACAGATAGTCAGCAAATCAATTCTATTCAAAGTCAAGTCTCGTGCGGGTGCAGATGCGAGGAAGATATAATAAAATATAATAAAGAAATCATCTAGACCTTGGGCACCGAGGTTCTGTCCTTTGCAATGCATATGCTTGAAAGAGAGAGGCAGACGCAAGCCGGCTGCGATGCTCGACGTCATGGAAGTCAAAACATCGCCCTGAAAACAGCACAAGCAGACTCAACCTTCCATACCACAACGAAATCCCATGCAATAAGCTTGCAATTATCCTACTGGATGAGGATGGATGGATGGATCTATGGAATGCTCGGTCTTTCCAATCGAAATCAAATCCGTGGGCATGGCCATGGGAATCAATCAATCAATCAACCTAGCCTGGCGAGCCCGGCCTGGCGAGCCTGTGATTGTCTGTAACTCGACTCGACTCGACCCGATAGTACGAAATACTCGCTGACATGATTGTCGGCCGTTCAGGTGTCCGCTCGTCATGACGTATGTGCATACGGCTGCTGCGTTATATTTGGTTCTGGCACCGTTTTTTTGCCTTCTGGCACTGGGCACCTGGCCTGCTTTGCTTCCCCTTTAAGGCTTGAAGGTTCAGGGTCCTGTCCTGGCCAGCCTTTTCTGTCCATCGTTTGGAACATCATCCGCAATTTCGCCTAAACATCCATCGCGCGGCTGTTTTCCTGTAACCTCTCATCATGGCGTTTGAGAGACTCATCTGGAAATTTCACGAACACTCGTCTCGCTATTAGTCCGATGCCGCGAATTTCAAACGAGAATCGATTCTCTCTCTCGCTTTCTCTTTTTGCTCTCTTCGCCATGTTTTTGTCTTTATAGACTGATGAATTCAGGATATATAAAGTGCAACTAGCAACGATGCGGGTGGGAATGGAGGCTTATGGCGATATCAATGGAGCGCGGTGCAACGGGTGAGGAATGTGGTGATGAATATAATAGACGAATCTGAACGTTCACGACGTGCGCGTGGGGGGGGCAATTGCGAAATAGTATGTACGATATGCATGATATGATATGGTAATTTGAAGACAAGGAAATAGGTAACAGTATAGTATCACCCAACCTACCCTTTGAATATTGTATGGATCTTTAAGACAAGCTTTAATAAAGACAGTTAAGTTTTGACGTCGAATGGAATTCGGATGCGACGACACGATATTCCGCACAAAGCAAAGTCAAATCACCAATAGCACCAATTTCGGCACAAATCAATGTTCAGTTTCACTTTGGCAAAATACTGTTATATCAGACTATTATAACCCCACAAGCAAGCCCTAGCCGGTGTTTCTTTTCTCTTTTTTTTGATCAGCTTTGGTTGCGGAAATGTTATGTTGTCGAATCGGTACTTGGACTTCTGATGTCTCGTAGTCAGATCCGAAAGGCTTGATTGTAGCCTTCTTCGGTCGCAAATCTGCTGACAATATTAACAGTCGACTGATTCGGTCTCCGCGCACGGAATAAGGATCGCGGATTATATATCTGTCTATGGCAGGAGCCAGGATCCGATTCGTATCGATGCAGGATCGATGTCTTGTAAGCAGACGCAAGTCGACAGTACGATCGATAATAACAATAACCACCACCACCAATAATAGCACTTTCAATCCTTCGCACACTTTCCGTTAATTTGTTTCTTTACCTTTTTTTTCCTCTCTTGAGGCTCCCAAGTCGTCGTCGTATTTTATTTTATTTTTATTTTATTTTATTTTATTTTATTTTATTTTTGATTGAAAGGTGGTCCAAAGTTGAAATAAAATCCTTGAATTTGAGAGGATGCCTTTCAGGCAAATTCGCTAGAGAATCAGGAGACTTTATGTAGAGCAATCCAATCCATACCACCGTGTACCATGGAGAACTCCTGAAATCGCTTGCGCTTGCTCCCTCGCAAGCCATCAAAGCCAGTGCCCGGGCCAATAACAATATCTCGATATGGATTTAGTGTGGAGCTTTGAGGTTGGTGTTGAGAAATTGGGCTTTAGGACAAAGGCCGACGGCAACAGTCCTCGCCATACAATGACCTTTGTGCCTCCACAACCTCGAAACACCATTCGCTGGAACCTCAAAAGGTCACAGGAAGAAGCAACCACGCAGGAACCGATCTCGTAGCCCGGGACGAAGCTTGCCTGGCTTGGGTGTGCTCCTCTTTTAGTCTTGCGCTTCGACAAACCAGACCAAAGTCGTTTTTGACAGCCCGGCCTCCTCCAGAATGCATTGATCCCGGCAATCGATCTTCTAGCGCCATGCAAGCAGAACAACCATCTGCACGGTTGTTTTCCTTCCCTTCTTCCTTCAACAGGTTCTTTCCAGGATTAACTTGCTTCTCCGTGGGCTCGACCCCGCCGGCGACCTCCATTTTGTAGACGCCTTTCACAAGACTTGCAGATGGTTGTCAACATCCTCGTCCATGCCATCTGCACCGAATCCATGTCAATGCAGCTGTTGCCCCACGCATCCATCTTCTTCGCGAAGAGGCAACTGATTGCTAATTTTTTCAATTGGTCCAGTGCAAGTTCAAGCATTTCGCAATCGCACTTCCCCTTAGCTCCATGTGCCGTGAAAATTCGTTCATGGGAGCTCCGTTAGACGTTATCATACAACGTACATACATAGGCACCACCCCTTTGCTTGCTTAAAGATACGAATTGATTTGAGATCTAATTATGAATCTAGATGAAACATATCGACCTTCAAAGCAACTAAAAAGATTATTCTATTTTTTTTATACCGACGCTAGGTCTGATAAATATATTTCTCCGACGAAGCTGAAGCATGCTTCGTAGCGCCAGAAAAAAAATTGTTTGAATCAAGTTTCAAACCGGACATAAGATCTACGTAATGTCATGATGAACTCGGATATTAAAATATATCTTATGGCATTCTGGATCTTCGATAGAAGCTTGACTATTTAGCCGCAATAATCCACCGTCTAAGCTTCGTTTTACCTAGTATCAAGCCTACCAAGACATTCCATTTGTGAAGCCCTTAACCCAGAGCAGCCAGTCTCAATCTAGCCATCTTGAGATCACAATCTTGATAAATTACCCAAAGTTACCCAAAGCGGAAATTCGCAACCTCACACACAACGAACGATCGATAATCGACATCGAAGCAAGGTTGTGAGATGTAAGGCGACATTCCTTTATCCGTTTCAAGGTGAAATCAACCATCGCGGACGTTACGATATCTCCTCTCGCTCCGTTGCCGAAGGGCTTCATGTTCGCTGCTTCAGAAGGAGGTGGATGCAAAAGAAGAAATCCCCCCACGCCCAGCAATTCCAGGTTGCCCCAAGCTTTCCCCAGCCAACTCTAAATGGAACGTGCAACCCCAAACAACCACCTGCTCCGTAATCAAATATCCCTTTTTACGACATTCACAGCTTCAATTGCTAAGCCGAACAGGACCGAATTTTGAGGAGTTCCCGTGTTAAGAATACGGTAGGAACGGCACACGCATACTACCCATACTACATACATGCTATGTAGGTATCTCCGCACTATCCCGTGCCGTGATACCCATTTGA